CTTCTAGAACACTTATCAAAAATTTTTTACGAAATAAAAATTTTAACTCGAAACTTTACTTTAAAAGTGGGTGGGCCTCTAGATGTTAACAAAAAAAAATTCTAAACAACGATGAGGCTGTAATAAAAAAAAATATTTTTAGCAAAATTAGTTTCGAGTTAAAATTTTTATTTCGTAAAAAATTTTTGATAAGTGTTCTAGAAGCTGTGGAGAGTCCTCCTTCTGGCTGCCTCTAGATGTTTAAAATTTTTTTTTGTCCAAAAATTTTCTTGTTTTAAAATCTATAGATTTTACCCTCAGGCTAAGCAAAAAAAAAAAATTTGTTTTATCGCACCCTACTGTAAACTGTTAGGAGAATAATACAGTTTTTGAATAAATTCTGTCGTGGCACGTACTTCTCTTTCGCCGCTTTGAATGACTTCTTGCGCGGTTTCTTGTCGACGGTGTCTGTGCCGGCTTCGGTGTTGGGCAGATCATTTGGTGATATCATAGTTAGATTATCTGAAAAGCAATTCAATTCTTAAGTAACTCCAACTCAGCAGTTCATTTCCCCAGTTTGTGTTGGGACTCACTCACCTGGATGGCAGAAGAATGCTATTGAGTGGCGTCCTCGTGTACGTATATGATGTTGCTCCGGTATCACAACACGATGAGGCTGTAATAAAAAAAAAAATTATTTTTGCTTTGGCCCTTATATCAAAATGTTCAGCAATGCTAGCATCAACTGATGCTAACTTGAAATCGTCGACTCTAGTATAAGTCGTATAATTATGCGATTGCAATGTCCTACAATGAACTGTGTTTATAGCTTTCAAGAAATAGAGTTTAGTGCATTATACATACTTATATATATATGTATGTATACCATAGAGTATGTGGTCGCATAATAATTAGATCTTCTTTTTTTCTAATTTAGCGGTCATTAATTTTGCTCAAAAACTTGCGATAAAATTAATATTAAACTAAGATGAAACTGTGCTTACCAATGCAGGATATCTTTCTTTCGTCCATATTGAGAGGATTTCACCACAGTTTATCAATATGGCACCGGGCAGATGACCCACGCGCTGCCACTTTTCACTACCAGGTAATTTCACCTCAAGTCCACCTTCTGAGTCTTGTGCCAATAATGTGAATGTGCCATAATCTGTGTGCGCACCACAGCGTATCATCTCACCATTGGGCAATTGGCGGACGGTGCTGATCTTGTTCTCTTCATTTCCATCCAGTTCGTTAATTTCATCACGCGGATTTGATTCGGGCCGGAAATCAGGCTTATCTGACAAACAACGCTGATAACTGTAAATGCAACTTCCCTTGATAAAATCATTCTTATCATCGGTGTCTTCAATGATGGGGGGATAATACAGGAGACGCAGTGTGGACTCATTGTCGTGGTCACCAGACAGCATGTGTGAGTGCTTCTCGAGGAAGAACGACTGTGGTATGTCGAGGGAGACAGCAAGTGCCTGTAGGATGAAGCGCGAAAGGGCCTTGAAATCCTGTGCCAATGAAGATATATGTTCTGCAAACCCGGGCAACGGTTCCTCAGGTAGATTTGTAGCATTTAATGTGCATATGTTGAAAGCGTGACGTAATTCGGGTGTTTTGCCATCGAAACGTTCAACACCAGGACGTACGTAACCATGATTATCGTCTCCAGTGCGTATATAAAGCTCCCTTACGTCATTCGGTAGATCAACAAAGTCATCTAGATGATCCCAAGCGGTTTTCAACTAAAAGTACAGAGGTTGTAAGAGGGTTAAATGTTAAGCAAAAGAAAATATATAGGTTTATCTAAATAAAAAATAGTCTCTATTTTCCGCCTAACCTTTTCATCGGAAATACCATGATTTACAAGCAAGCAGAGTCCTTTCTCACTCATACATTTTTGTAACTGGTGACCAACACGATTCACAACTGAACGGACTGGCGCCTCCTCAGTCCCTGTGGTGAGAAAAAGTAAATAAATTTTAAAATATAAAACTATGAAAATAATTTATTATGGCGTTGAGAATGAGAGAACTGAATGGACAGAACCTTAAGCAAGGCGCAAAACACCAATGACAAATTGATTAGAATCATGATTTCCTTCGAATTGTATATATGTATTGCCCATTAAAACGTTTAGTAATAAATTATGTAGATACCTATCAATCAATTTGGTAATTTCACTTGTAGCTATTGAAGCCAATAGCTCAAACCCAACTGAATGGCTTTGAATTTATGACAACACGATCTATCGACGATTGTTGACTTCTGCAGGAACTAAGCCTTACAAACAGAAAAATGCGATACGAAATACAAGCATCTAGGTTGGAAGTGTTATGCAGATCGTTTATTTTATCTTCCTTCTATTATCAATTGAAATTTCCTTGTTCACATTAGTTTTATCAGTATTTTCAGGCCGCTCCATTTAATTATGTGAATATTATGTCTTCCCCACCCTTTAATGAACAAAGGCCATGACAATGTTGGCAATGCAAAGGAAAATAATCAAACAACCGATTTCCAACGACTTTCGAAGTAATCAATGACGATTTATATTATTAAACTGATTTTCACAAATAAATACACACACACAGACGTTATGCGTTTAGAAGCTTTCCTCTAGGTATTTTTCCCTACAAGAAACTGCTGATGGGTTCACTAATACACTCACGTTTATTATGTCAGTACTGACGGTCAATTTACCGGCACTGTTGCTGTTAAAAAGAGGCCCTTACGAAGTATATAGTTGCATTATTTAGTACTGTCACCACTGACAGTCAAATGAACAGTAAAATGACTGTCAATGTTTACGACTTTTCCAAAAGCAAATTTTGTATACGACGAAAAGAGAAAGCACACATTTCCATAGGAGTTTCGAGAAGTTCTGAAATACCTATGTAGTTGTTATTCCGTGCGATTAACCAAAAGTGTTGCGGCCTCCTGTGCAATAACTCTTTTTGTGTTAAAAAAAAAAAAAATAAATAACGAAGGCGTTTTCAAATATAGTATACGTAAGTTATTTTTAAGTTTCAAGGAAAATTATATTTTTAGTTAATTTTCATTTTTATTTAGGCATTTTTAAATTCTGAAATATCCATTAACTGGAGGAACAGCATAGCTTTTGATAGGGGCAAGCATGGAATCAAATAAAAATTTCTTTTCATAATTTATTATTAAATATACTTTTTTGTTGCACCCCTTTTTTATATTTATGTATATTATTATAACTTATTTTAATTTAAAGTTTTGAATTTAGTAAAGAAATAAAAATTGAATAATATACTGCGGAAAATAATTTTTCATATTTTTTTTTTGGCATGAAAGTGATCAGTATAGTATGTCACTGTTCTTGTAGGTTTATTTTGCGCGCAACTGAAGTGCTTAAAGTATTGACAACAAAACATAATTTACACAAAATTTACTTTTTGGTTTTAACGTTATACTGCTCCAAAGTGCCACTGTCGTCGACAATAGTTGCAACTGAAAAACTATTGAAATCTGATCGAACCAGAAGAAGCTTTATAAAGACGTTCTGGTAATTGTTAGCAAAGCGGGGGGGCTACCACAGGAGTTTTCTTTATGAAGCTCGTATAACTAAACTTAATGTACAGTCTAACGGTATTTTTTTTATCTGACTGGTGTTTTTCCTATTCATGGAGGTGATAATGAACTGGAAATGATATCAGAAGTGCTCCTATTATTTTTCATTTGCATTGCGATGTTAAAGCAGAACTTGATGTTGCTGTTGCTTGCACTGATTTAAAATGATTTGTTATTTTGCTGATGTTTGGCTATCTAATAAGCTTTATTTGTTTGTTTATTTGCTCTTCTCGTGCGCCACGTCGCACAGTGTCGCGAGTTCCTCAGCAGAGCGGACAAAATAGTTAAAGTGCACCAATGTTGTCAAAATTCATAATATGCACCTCATTTATCGTGGAAAGAAGAAATTCAAAATATATACAACATAAAAAGTAAATTGGTCAACTTCGAAATTTCCACTTTAAAAGCTTTGTAACATAACTAAACACTTTTTGTTTCCACATATATTTTTATTTGGTTAAGTGCAGCTATAAGCTTTAAATCCCTATTTACGTTTTTTTTCCAAATACAGCATCAACTTTTTCATATTTTGTCCAGCTTGCTATACTGTGCGTCGTTGCTATGGGTAGCTTGATAGCGGCTTTCCGTCTCGTCGTCTCGAGAGAGCAGGAGAGAGTTAGTTTTTGATTAGGAGTTGAAACAACATTCGACTACCTTCTGGAATTGAAAGGATTTACATGGTACATACTTACACACATACATATGTACATATGTATTTATGTACATCCAATCAAAATGAAATAAAGTGGTTCACAAAAGAAATTGAGGCAAGAAGCTTCCAAAAATCCCCAAAAAGAACTAGTTTTGCAGTAGTCAATAAAATGCCTTTGATGCCACTGTTAATTCATAATTACATAGAGGAGTTCTTTCAAACCAGTTGAAGAGTACAATCACCTAACGGACAATATATAATGAAGATATCAGCTAAATGTGTATATTTGTTATTTGGCTGATAACTTCAAAGGGGGTCGATCTCAAAACTGTGACAGAAAATACCGAAAAATCATATACACATACTCATGTACAGCAGTAACAGTTGTACTTAGAAACTGTAGAAAGTTTTTTTTATAAATGTACGTGTGAATACAAAGTAATCAGCTATTTGTGAGTGACTGCGCTGTGAAGTTGGCCTTCAAAGCTTCCATTCCGTAGGTTAATCACACGATAATAGCTGAACAGTTAGCAAGTACGCGAGTGTAGGTACGCGTGCGAGCTGTACCGCGCGCCGCGTCCCTCCCGCCAACACCGCCTCATTTCAGACCACGCAGAGTGTAAGTAAACAAAAGGTAGACTTCATTACTTTAATATTTTTCAAAATCTTGGCGGTGGGTAAATGTTTACGGCAAATTTGTTTCTGTTATCATTCGCTCCTTCCAATATTTTTATCAAAATATTTTTCAAAACTTTTTGTTTACTTTCATGATCATGCTTCTTGCAAATTCGAAATCAGTTCTCTAATACTTTTAGCACTAGTTTTGCTACTTATGCGACGACACGTACATATAATATTTGTGTAGTTATGTAAGTAGATACATGTGTCTGTTCCTCTGCGGCGCTTACTAGTTACCTAGTTATTCACATACTCGCACTACCGCTCTTATTTAAATAATTTATTTGCGTGAAAATTCAATTGAAATGCGCTCAATTTGGAATTAAAATTTACATTTATGCGTCTCTTTGTTGTTGTTGCTGCTCTCATTTATCTAGACACAACTCAATTAGTCGGCGTGCAACGCGTTTTCATATACTTACGCATTCGGCGAGCGTTGACTGCAAGCGCGTAATTTATTCAACAACACGACTGACACGAAGACAAAAAAATTTATGCAACTTATTTTCTACAATGCAACACAGCAAATGGCGTTCGGAAGTGGGTAAATTGAATACGAGTATAACCTACAAGCGATATGGCAATAATGTGTCATTGAGTTGTATTTGAATGACTTTTGATGTAAAAGCAAATACTACGAAAATCAAATACTTCACATTCTTTTTGGATTGTGGCGAAACGAACCGCCATGTATGTACTAGAGACTAAAAAAGGTCGGTAAAGTCAATGCAACTGAATACATCTGGTTGAGTTTGAATATACATATGTATGTACGTAGTAAAAATCCTTGAACTTGTAATGCTTTTAAGAAAACTTCAGTAGCGAACCGCAACGGGTATACTTTACATCTTTACATTACAATATGTAATGGAATGTTGCAATATAACGGTATGCATCGGAAAAAAATAGATAATCATTTTGTTTCGCAACTTTATTGTTTGACATAAAACTTAAAAATGTAAGAATGAAAAAATGCATATCTGGGATCGTATGGAAGAGGAGCTTAAGTCGAGTAAAGTTTGTAAACTCTTTTTTGGGAAATTACAGTGAGTTCAAAAAAATAACGCCGAAAACTGGTTTTATTTTTTTGCGAATTAACAATTGACTCGTACAATTCGGTCAGTTTCTTTCAAACTTAATTAATGTATCACGCCGTGCCATGAAATAAGAAAAATTAGTGCTCAGTATAAAAAAAGGTTTTGAAACAGACTTTCTAACAAAGTACCCTACAGATACAAAATGATCGATTAAAAAACTGCAAAGTATTTAAAAAAAGAGTTGTACATTTGTGAGGAGATGGTGTGGCCATTACAGATAAACTGGTAACGTAGATGTCAAGCCAGGGACAGACTTCAGAGGTCTGACATCAAACGCAGCAATACTTTAATCATACCCCTAGGTTCACTGAAGTCAGCTGAAATCTTTTATGGCAAAAATAACCATGATAGGATACTGAATGAAGACAATGATCCGTAATATATGTATATTGCTACTTATCGTTAATTTAGATTGGCCATCATAGTCACCAGACGCCAATCCAGTAAAGAATTCTTGGGCCAAAATATCAGTAAAAAACCATTTAACGTCAACATAATATTTCATTCGGCTACTCTAATATATCTGAATGTCGCTTCCTGTAAAATATGCAAAAAATTTAGTTGCAAGTTACCATCAAAGGTGTCAGGCTATAATAGACAACACGGGAGATTGGATCAAGTATTGAATAAACGTTAGCTATAACAAAACAATGTATTTTCTATAATTACAACATTTTTCTTTGAAAAACGAAGACTTTATTTTTTGACGAAGATCGATTGCATTTCCATTGACAGACGAAATACTGCTGTTCAAAATGATACTGTCAATTATTTGAAAGTAAACTGCATTATTAAATAAGCACGCACACACGAACATGCCAATTCATATAGATGTATGTTTGTGTGTTGACAAACCAATAAATAATGAAAAATATGGAAATTGGAAATTGCGCTTTAAGTGATTTAGAGTATATTTTCCGGCGCTGATGTAACGCCAACTAATTGCAGTAAATATGGAGTAATGTGTTTATGTGTCATCACTGCGTTCACGTGGTAAAAACTATCTCAAATAGATGAGTACAAAGCAAGTTGACATAACAAACGCCACGGCGGTGATAATGAAATGTCAATAGTAGGTTGTGATTAATAAATAATGCATAATACAATAACCGTTTTTTGCTTGAATAAGCATGGTGGAAGTGCAACACTCAAAACAACTCGAAAATTGAATAATGACGAGAAAAGAGCGTTGGTGACTCTGACAGGAAGTGATAAACGACCAGCAAAGAAAGCGGGTCGTGTGACCAGGCATTTGCGAAGAAAAAGTCAAACTTTTGGGAGCCTTATTGCACAATAACGTTTACGTTATCAAAATCTGATAACGAATGTCTAAATGGCAAAAACAATTAATGATATTTATTAATAGAAATGTGAAATAATTTCCCCAACTGTTTGACTCACTGTTAACAAGGGCCACCACAAAAAACACGCCTAAATTGAGTGTAACGAAGTGAAATATGAGAAACTTTTAATGAATAAAGAAAAAATGCACGAGCACTTATGAGCGTATGGACGAGCATGTTGGAGTATGTGAAGCAATGTTGATTAATTTAAGTCCAGATGTTGATAATTTTTAATAAAATTGGTTTTGAAATAATAACATTGCATATTTCTAGAGACGACTGACATATAAGAGAATTTTTACGTATGTGAGTCTCAGTTGATAGGCAAATAAAGGTATAATCATTATTTGGATGAGCAGTACACAGTGCGTGAAGAATGTGAGGTGATGTGATCGGTGTAATTACTTAAGACTTGTACCATGGTTGATAAGTACACACAAAGAACTTATTAAGGGTTTACCTTTAGACTTAGAGACCAAAACAAGGAAAGGATAGGGAGACTAACTAGGTTTATATAGCAGATAGGTAGCAAAGATAATCGTCCGATATACGTACATACATATGTATGTAGAGAACTCAAACAAACAGTTTACGCAAATTTTTCTTTAGATAGTTGTGACAAATTCAGTCGGCTAAGCTCGTTGCCTTAAGTAAATCTCTTTTTTTTTTTTGACTCATAAAATCCTCGGAAAGTAAAAGGTTTTATTTTAGGTTTTTGTTCCTAAGAGGTTACTGATATGTGGTCATTGCACTAATAAAAACTGCCCTTGACTACATATTGCACATATTGTATGTATGTATGTAAGGGAGCTATGAACTTAAATTTAAATTAATGAATGCAAAAACGGCAATAATAAAATCACATACATACTATATAATAAATAGTAGTCACACGTCGGCGACATGTGATGGATGAGTGATTAACGGATGGATAATTTGCACACCTGCATCAAAAATACCTAAGTACGTACACACGAATATGAGTTCTGAGCTTGAACCTTTATTGCCAATTTACACTCTCAAAGTGTCGCCATAAATTATACGGACAATGAACAACGCTATTAAAGATAAAAAGCGCTTTGTCATCTATTTTTCCAATGATTAATAAAACATCGAATTAACAAATTATTCTCCATCAAAATATGATTGAGTGTCAACGGTGGTTTCAGTATTGCCGAATCTGGCGAACAAAAATACACGCACAGTGAGTGAGTTTCCGTTGCGAGCCAAACACCTGATGCAATAAATAACAAATTAATGAAAGAAGAAAACATAAACGCTTCAAAATAAAATATCGTCTATTAAGATAAAAAGCCAACACAGACGCAGCTACCCTACCTAGGCGCCAATAACAAAGAAACATTTCAAATTTCGCATGTTCCGTTACTTTATTGGAATTCCCATTAAAAATTATTGGATTTTTCATGTCTCATAGAAAAATGTATGGCATTGAAATGAGGAAAATCACACTCGTATTCCGGAATTCCAAAAAATTTAACCCTAGTCCAAGTGTGCGAACATTCTTATGAATGTACATACATACATATGTATATAAGTAAACCAATGTGTGCAGATATTTTATATGATTTTATTTGCGTTCTTTCCACTTTTTAATTTTTTGTCCATGTGCTTGCTCAGTCTTGTTGCTTTACTCATTGTACATTATGTTTGTGCACAATTTTTGTTTTTTGTTTACTTTGTACAGTCAAAGCTTAATTGCACACAAACAGTGATAAGTTAATTGCGGACTAGAGCAGGCGAAATAAAAAAGTTCGGTTCAAATTCTTAAATAAAAACATAAAATTTCAAAGAATCGAACAAAAAACGCAACCACAAAGCCAAACTGGTCAGATTAATAAGTTCATTATTAAACCAGAAACTTGTGAAAGATTAATAGCGTTTTCCTTTCTCACAAAAATGTTGCATTTATTCTGCCCTATGCCCGGTCTGTCAAAGTTGCATGTTCTTTTCTTAAAATGTTGCCTTCTAACCTGAGAAAAGTGCAACATTTTCTTCCCTTATTCGTTTCTGATAGTAATTTAATTTTTTTTTTTCTACTTTTTCTACTAATCATAATGAATCGATCAGTTTTATAAAGCTCAATAATAGATATTGCAAATGAGTTGGTTGGAATTTTTTTGTTCTTTTGTCAAAATATAACATTTATGTATTTTTGCCATTTAATGAGGCAGAATTTTTAACGAGAAAAGAAAATGCTATAAGATTAAAAACAAATAGGAAAGGGCTAAGTTCGGCTGTAACCGAGCATTTAATTCTCTTACAACTTGCAAGGAGCAAAGCCGGAGAAATACCTTCAGGTGTTGGCAAAACTTTATATTAAGAAAAGTAGAAAAAAGGTTCAACTTCATTGCTCGACGAAATAGTGAATGGAATGTCATTTATATAAATATAAACATATACTTGTATATGCAGTAGTCAGTCAGATGTTTCAAAAGCGCGAATATCAGATATATGGGGGTTAAGGAAAGTTTTCTCCCGATTTCATTCATTTTAGGCACAAAGACACGCTTTATCTATTTCATTAAAACAACTAACACATTGGCCAATGTGTGTGGATAAAGTCAACTGGAAGTTCTAAAATCTTTATATTAGGTATATTGGGGCTAAGAGAAGTATTGATCTGATCCAACCCATATTTAATACAAGGGTATATTATTTTCCGAATTTCAATTATATGTACATATATCTCACATATTTTTGGCAAAAAGTCAGCCATAGACTCTGGGATCCACATTTCCGATATCTGGTATCTAATTATGGTCCGATTTTGACAATTTTAGACCTGACATACTTAAAAAGAAATATTCGTGCAAATTTTTATCCCGATATATTAGTTAGTGCTTGATTTGTATACTGGAAAGTGAAAAAATCAGATAGAATTAACAGTTGTGTTATATAGCACATTGCGCACTGTTACATGGAAATATCAAAATAATCTATGTCCCGAATTTGGTTGAAATTGGTGGAGTAGGTTCGGAGACATGTATTGTAACTTCACCTAAATATGGGCGTTGCCACGCCTATTGTCAAATTTTGACCCCTGCTCTATAAAGCCCTTTTATGTCATCTCGGATGTCAAATTTTATGTCTCTAACGCATTTCGTAATTCATTTATCGCAGATTTAGTAGTTTTTAACAAAACCTTTACATGAGGAGTGGGAGTGGTTATCATCCTATTTTCATGTTTTCGCAAGAGGTGTCGAAATAATATGTTCTTTGCAAATTTGGGTGATATAGCTTGAATATTTTGAGAGAAAGGTTTTCAAACCACAGGTGCCCCTCATTATTGCGATTTGTTGTATCAAATTACGGTTGTGTATCTTAATTTGCGGGTAAGTTATGGCAGCTTATAGGTTTTCGATTAATGGCGTTTTGTGGGCGTGGCATCTACGAACTCCTTCTCACTTTTTTGCCAAGGAACATTAAGATAGCTCAATTTTTACTCAAGTTATCGCTTGCAAATTTTGTTGTAAGATGGAATTAAGAACAAATCTACATCAGTTGACGTCATAGTGACTCTCTATCCTTTACTAAAAGATGGGACTCATGCCCGAAGTGTTCGATGCAAAACAAAGTGAACGCAAGTAATCCTACGTAACATAATATGTGTACTCAACGCAGTCCATTGCTCGCGGATATAAAAATTCAATAACAAAGTCATACGTCATCAACTGGTGCGAATACGGCAATACAAGTTTGTTAAAACATATTTTTGTTTTACCTTAAAATTAAGTGAATTTCCTGAATCAGAATAAATGATCGCGAGTGCGCAAATGTTGTGTACTTTTTAATACCCTAAAAAAGAGGTGCGTTCTGTGGAATGTTAAAAAAAAGAAACAAAAAAAAACCAATTAGATGCATATACGTATGTGTGTACATATGTTCATACAAATATTATTTTTGATACTTTTAACGATAATTTCTTTCGTCTTGGCATGATCGCGATTTCACATTTCTCTTGTTTATTGAGGCTTAACAAGTTTGACTAATTCAAATGATTCACAGTTAGAAGTTTGACATTTGTTGTCAGTCAACAACAACTAACTTTCCAGGCACGTAAAATAATGATTTCGTTCGTTTTTCTATAAAATTCCATAAAAACTTTAAATATCTTTAAAATTAATTGGTAGACATAATGCAGTACAATTCATGCCAAGGCCACAATTCTAACACAGTCGGCTGAATAAGCGCCCGCTCAGGGGGAAGCCAAGCGCCTTGGTACGGCTGGTTCAAAACAAAGGCAATTGAATTAGCTACGTCACAAGTTTAATTAATTTCTGCTTATTTGTTTAATGTGAATGCTAAAGCTGACTCGATATGTATGTAGGTATAGCACAAATTGTAAGCACATATGTATACATACATATATTTAATAATAGATAGCTTTATCAGCCTTTAAATGCATGCATGTGTGTGTGTATGCGGTTTTGAAAACAATCAGATCGCTGAACAATTTCAGTTGGGGAAATCACTAGCGAGGAACTTCAATGGAAGCCGAATTTAACCGTAAGTGATTTTGCTAGTTTTATAATAAAATGTTTTATTATTTTTAGCGCAAATTTTATTTACAGCTTAATTTAGTTGTTTCGAATTCAAAGCCTTGGAAACCCCCTCAAAAGTAGCATCGCTCTTAAATGAGTCAGCTTAAATACTAGAAAAACTAAACTGGTGAGTTTGTAGGAAAAGAACGGGCTTCAAATAGCTACTGGCACTCAATATTTACATACAACTCTGGCAAGTATTTATAGAAAAGTGTATGTCTAAAAATAAATTGTAAAATGAAAAATGTAAGGGCAAACATCTATAGGGGTTTTAAAGAATATGAATATACGAAAAATACGAAAATATTCGTATGCGATTTTGTTTCTTCAATTGTTCGTCATTTGTTTTCAAAAAGTGTATGAGGAAACTATATAAAACTGTAACCCAACAAATAAAATAAATCTAAAACACTTGTGTTGTTATTATATATTCGTACCTGATCGCAACTTGGCCTCGAATTAAGTCAAGTGGAAGGCAGTGCCGATAACATTTTTAACTGGGTACACAGCATGCAACTATACATACTTATATGTTTGCCTTAATAGAAGAATAAATTAATTGCAGTGGATATTTACTAAAAACATAAACATTTAAACCAGAGTTCAAGGAGAAGGAATTTAAAGCCAAGATGTTTCAGAGTTTTCAAAAGAGGGAGATAAAACACAGTCACCGCAAAAACAAATTATATTATATTAACATACTGGATCGTGAATTTTATATTAATGTTGTCATCGACGTATATACCATAGACTACTGACCGATTTTAGTAAAATTCAATACACTGTGTCCAGTTTGAACCAACTTAAAAAATAGGATAGTAAATATCTTAATTATATTAACATTAAAACAATTCATAAATAAATAAAAATATATTTCTAAACAGCAACATTTTTCCAAAATTCAAAAAAAAAATATTTGTCCTTTTCAAAATTAAACCTCAAGTACAATCACTTGGATTCTTATATCGGCAATAACATATTTACCTTTATTCGTAAATAATATTTGCACTGTATTGAATAGTTTCTTATATGGAAATATGTATGTACAATACATATGTATGTATATCGAAATTAAAAGGATTGCTGAGATCGGGTATTGCATTAGTTATTGCTTTTTTATCTATTTTGAAGTAGTTTCAAACTGCTATATTTATGACCGAGATCTGGCAGGTGCCATCTCGTTGAACATAGATATACGCAAACTGCCAGTTATTTGCATGGATGGAATGACAATCGGATGCCTAGTCGGTGTATGATATAACTAATTGAATGCTATGTATGCGTGTATTCGCAATAATATAACTAATTACAGATTCATAAGTGCATATGAATGTATGTATGTGTGTGTGTAGTCAAAAATAGATACTGAGAGTTTGCATTGAAATGGAATATTCTATTCAAACGATTGCTAAATGGTCCATTGAAAGTATGGATAGCTTCAAGGTAATGGCGGCAACATGCAATTACAACAACCACACAAGCAGAGTTCCTAATATTTTCATATAAATGCTTAGGTATAAATACATAGACATACATATATAACGCTTACCGCAATGAGCGAGATCAATTATCGGCACCAGACCCTTGGTCAACAATGTATCCACTTTGTCATCATTCGCTTTTGTTTTCAACATTTCTGTTGTACTTTGTTTGTCTGTTTGTTGTTTTGTACTTTGCTCTTGGTGCTATTACGGATGCTGCTGCTGTTGTGAGACGACAATCACCAATCGCCGCTGACTCTGGCCAGGTTGCTGACTGGTTGCTTTGACTAATTATTTGTTAAGCCGACAATGTGAGCACGAGCAGGGCACATTGACGGGAGGTGCTGACTGGCATATAAATGCTATAATCGTTGTAATAGTTGCTGACCGCTGCCTTGGGATGGCTCAACTGCACTGCGGATAGTTTCGACGCGGCGAGGCAATTATTCGTGCTGCTTATCGCTGCTTATATTGCAACTGCTGACTTGGTGGAGAACTTTTTCGATTTGAACTGGTGGATTATTGCATTATATAGCGTGCGTGGATGTTTTGCAAGTTCTTTCTTCTCTTCTTTTTGTTTCTCTTTCAGCTTTGTTGCTTTGCAGTATTTTGTTTTTGTTGTTTATCAATTGCGTGGCAATAGCTGTGAAATGACGCACATATGTACATATGTAATCGGGGTTAAGAACTTGATTTACTGAAAAATATTTGAGTATAGTGTATGCAATAAATATAATACTGCTGGTAAATAAAAAACACTGACAGTTCGTCGGCGAAAATTAAATCAATTTAATAAGCAGCCTAATTATTGGCAATTGATGTATCTGGAATGTCCGGTAAACAAAGCAAACTGCTCAATGAAAATAAGAGGTTTCCAAAAGCAGCTCCAATAATTAATAATGGTTAGGGTTGTACGTATGCAGGCATATATATGTATATGCCAAGCGATCGAGTTTGTCACTAAAAGCGTCCTCCATACATATGTATGTACTTATCTCGAAAACACACTCACAAACGATGCCCTTCATTTATTTATCTGACTTCATTTTAAACAACTTGCATTATTTCATGTTACCGTAATCTTAAAAATGTAGTGTGTCTTCTCTCTTATTGATTCATTAATTCACTGTTAACTCTTTTCGGATATCGGAGTATCTTTACTGCTATTCCGTTTACTACGCGATGGCTGACTTTTTACGACTGGCACACGCTCGTCACGAAAAATTCGTGCTTAACGGTGTGATTGAGATTATTTTACTTTTATTTGTTTATTATTGACTGTTTTTGTTATTTTTGCTTTCATTATCACTAACCACAGCAGAGCACTCAGTTACGCGCGCGTTCAGCGCTTCCCGCTACGACACAGATGAGCGTGCAGCTAGATGAAATGCATGCACACACACACATATGTACGTGCATGTGTATGGGTTTGAGAATGAGCGGAAATTTCGAGTGATCATCACGGTTTGCGACACACGGCGCCAGTGATAAGCGACTGCTTTGACTCTGAGAAATTGATAATTCGACTGAATTGCTAGGTGATCGCCATTAAATAACTATATACCATATGTGTATCTATATGTTCATGAAAGTAAGTACATATACATAAGCATGTGTAGCAAGTTCCCCTCAGAGATTAAACAAATTGTACACGGAAAGCGAGCGTTCTTTGTGAGCGCATTCACGAGTCGATTCCTCGATCAGACGGTCTTCTGAATGATCGCTCGGCTAGTTTGTGCACCAACAATTTGATGTTATCTAACACACATACACAAATATATAGATACTTATGCAAATGCGTTCGTAATGATCTACGCGTCTACGGCGGTGACGATCACGTAAATTCACCGTTTTGCTTACTGTTTTCATTTTAGGTGTGTACATAACATAGATTCGTTGCCTTTTTTGCTTTTAACTTTTCGTACTTGCCCATATTGACACGGTATTCATTGTCATCTATATTTTTATTCAATCTTTCAATTAGAGCAATTTGTATCTCTGTCACATCTCTACGGAAATTCAATGAAAAATAATATTAAAATTATATTCCTATTGAATTGTTTCTGTACTCAGTCATCTTTAGCGACGTTTCTAACTTAATTTGCGGTCAAATGTGCCAAATAATAAAGAGCCAAAAAGTAGAGCTCAACGGGGCTTTATACACCCGGAACAAGGTCGTGCATTAAATTAGTAATAAATATTTGAAATTTCTGCTTCGGTAACGAATAAGAGAACTTTTTTGAGTAAAATTTTACACAGGGAGTTATATAGGAGGTCGAGCTATTCAAATTCAAAACATAGACATACAGTGGTATCAAAATTTTGAAGTACAACTGCCCTTCTGTTATATGATCCAGGCATAAATCAATCTTTTGATAATTCCGTTATGTTGTTTATTAGCACAGTTATAGCACCCTTACGCAACAGGTTGTGGTCTGGTAGAAATACTTGTTTGACAAATGACACAAAGAAAATTGTGATAACCGCATTAGCACTTTTACACCTAGGCACAGAGTAATACACTAACGAACAAGCGAGAACATTTGAGACTCCGACCAAAGTAAGTATGAGTCAATATACGAGAGTAGTCACAATGTAGGTACATATGTATGTACATCTATCATGTGGTTGGAGCGTGGAAGGGGACTCAATTTTTAGATAAAATGTGTATGTATGTGTAAACTTTCCCGCTTAATTGAATCCGGCTAATTGGTATTGAAATTTGTGTTATTGAAAAAAAATATACTTTTAATTTCCCCCGGTTAATTCCACAAAAAACTTTCGTTAAAGAAAATAATCTAGCTTTGCCGCACAAACATATTTCACAGCATTTGTGATAAGCAGCAATTGACATCTCTGTAAAGTAATTGAAAACATACCTATGTTTATTGGAGGTATTTTCGATGGTGCTGATGTTGAGGAGCAAGCGAAAGGAGATGATCCTCCAAAGCCTCCTTCAGTTATCGAAGTTTTAAAATATGTACACACAAAAACTTCAAACATATTTTTTTTCAGAAAACAAATTTTTGTATGAATTAGGGAATATGGAATCACATATTTTACGTGGATTGAACAATAACAGAAAAAAATTATAGACTCCTTTAATTAACATTTTAAAAATGTAAGCAACGATCTCTTTATTTGTGAATGCGAGTGCTGCATATACATACATACATATAAAATAACATAATATAAAATGTTCTTGTTCCTTAAATTAATTTTTTTATAACAATGATCTCTTTTTATTCCTTATATTGTTTCGGTTTAAAGTTAAAAATATTATTTAAATATCATTACTAAAACCTAAATAAATAAAGTGCACTCATGAACTTTTTTTAAATTTGTTAGATTGTTCAATTAAGTGGGATTCCAGTAATTGAACGAATTGTTCAATTTAACGAGTATCCGTTGATTGATTTCCCGGTTAATTGAACCAAAAAATTGCAATTTTAGAAGTGCAATTATCCGAGGGATACTGTACCTATGTACATATTTTTTGATGCGTTTGCAGCAAAATGGAAAAACTGAATAGTAAATGCTTCAGTTTTATCTAGATCGCATTTTCCTATCCATAGTTCAAAGAATGATATGGGGATTAAGTGGAAGTTTTGCTTTTGTTCGGTTTACAAGTGTTGCTATTGAGAGAAGGCAGCTGGTATCCAAATTTAACTTTCTCATCTTTAATTTCTCTCCCTTCTTGTTTTACTAAAGCTATGTTCAGACAGTGCAGCTCTCGTTGGTAACTCGGTAAGTTTTTAAGAGGCAGCGGCAAGCGATATTTAATGAATGACCCATAGAGGAAATACTATTTTAGACAATCGTTTGAATTTGAACCGAATCGCGACCATTAGCAAAGACACCTTTTTTATTATTAAACGGGTTGAGGATCGAATACAGATCTATCACAACTGCCGTCGCTTTATCATAGCAAAGACAAACAAGATAACTGTGATGTGATATGCGCAGTTAACTATCATGAAATAAGCGCGTGTTCAAAAACTTAACCACACATAATATTTTTAAGTTTTTACCTAGGTACATATGTATACATATGTATCATGAATGTGGTTGCTATTGGGAAGTTTTCGTAGAATATTACTCATATTTGTTGGTGCCCAGTAAACCGCCCATTAAAGATAAATATAACTACAATACAATCAGTTTTCTGTGTTTTTATTTGAAGCTATGTAACTGAACTGCCGTGACGCTCACCTCCATAATAACGGTATACTTCAATTGATATTTACCTAAATCAGCACGAATCAATGAACCCCAAACCCAAATATAATCTATAATCACAATTTTTACTATATTTTTCGAAGGTCAAATAAAACAAAATCAAGCAGAACTGTTAACATTTAAGGTGAGGTGAGGTGTGATTAACATTTGCCGCTGATAAATGGAAATGGAAAATGGAAAGAAATCAGGTAAATTTTGGAACATCGAATACAATCCACTCACTCACACATACATATGCACATTACCAATGTGCATATTGCACGACTTGCTTATTGCGAAACATATTAATCATGAAACACTTAACTTTATTCGTGTCTACAGTTCGAGCATCCGAATTTGAAACAAAGGCGGTCTGTGTACCTACCACCTCAACTGTACTTATAGAGTGGCTGTGGCTATATCTGTTAGATAACTCAGAGGCGAGAACACGGTTTCTCTGGAGAAAAGGTTAAATAAGCAAATCATTTTATAAATCGATGACTAGAACTAGTCAATGAGACAACAAGCATGCACATAAATGCACTTTGTACACTTTCGTAAAAATCCGAATACGTAAGAGAGCATATGGAAAAAGAGAGAAAACCGAGCAAACGAACAATCCCTATGATCACATTGGAGGGGAGGAAAACTGAGGGCTAACAAAAACATAAAACCTCCATTAAAAATACACACTTCCACACCGTACCGAGATTACTAATGAGCCAAGTAGGAGGGACATGAAAACAGCTGCACTCCTTTAAGCAGATCCCTAAATAATAACAATCGATATCAAGCGGGGCGTCAGCGGTGTGTCTACTGACGGCGTTTTCGAGGGCGCATGAGTAAGCGACTTTCACCGAACTGTTCAAAAAACACATATCCATACATACATGCATACCTACATACATATAAACAATCATGCACTAAATGAGTTAATATGATTATTTCTGCAACGATTTGTCACAGCTAAAATCCCGGCGCAGTGCCGACCCCCGGTCTTTAAAACTCCTATTCAATCACGCTGCTTGCACATGATACTTGTTTGTTGGGCGTTTGTCAACTCGTTTTCAGTCTTAAAATAAACTGCTACTTGGAGCGACGAGATCCCGATTGTCGAACAGACTCTCCAGCCACTATCAGCCAACCGCGTTGTTGGTGGCCAACACGCAGACGTGGCGTGCCAATCGGAATATTTAGTTCAGTATCTGCCGCCGCAGCAGAAACTCAACAAGCGAAAAATAAATGAAAATGAAAAATGCTACCATTTGAATTCTTCTACTTGCTACTTCCAAGTAGTGCAGGTTTAAAAATAGAGTTTCAACACCAGCATGCTGCATGTAAAAGCCTGCTACTCTAGCTATTGCACTGCAATAATTCTTCACATTTCATATCAATTAACACATCAAATTTGTTTTTGTTCAAATTGGTCGAATTGACGAAAGTGCATCAGACGTTTACGGGTGCCAATATATGAATAAAGCCAAATTTATGCAAATAATAAAAACGGAAATTAGAGAGAAAAAATTAAACTCACTTCACTCCACAAATGCAAACAAACAAACGACGAAATGACACCAGCAACAACCAGAGGCGGAATTAAGGCGAAACGGCGGTATTGCGTAGAAGGATTGGACCGCGAGCGCGATCACTTCGACGGAACAAGATGGCAACAACTTTAGCGCTGACAATTTGAACGTCGCGAACACACTGTGGACTGTGTAAACGAACAATCGAAAAAACGATTCAACATATGGCAGAACTCACTGTACGCGTGAGATTGTTGAACTCGAAGCGGCACACTACTCCACTCTACAACATCGTCCCCAACACTGGCTCCACATATACGAGGAAGAGCTGAAGCAACAATTTAAACGTTTCCGTAAAAAACTGCACACTTGCCATCCCGGTATTTTCTGTACGTGTGTGTGTTGCTCCCCGGTATTCTTTTGTTTATTTTGCACTTGGCAGATCAGTAAGCACGGTTGTATTTGCAATACTTCAATTGATTTCCTACATGCAAGATTTATGTATAATACACAGATGAGTGACAACTCTACAGATTGTGTTTAATTAAAAAAATCCATTAAATTTTTTGAAAAAAGGTTGAGAAAATTTCTTTCCTCCGCAACCAAAAATAAATAGTTTACTAATTTATTGATATCTAGGTAATACACTAACATGTCAAATATTTGTGAATAAATACCCAATTAATTTAGAAAACGTTTACAAATATTCAATTGATTCTATTGATTGTCGGCGTTTAAATTCATTGTTAATAATTGCGGTTTTAAGTTTTATAAATTTTAAAACGCTACTTTCCGTTGGGACAATTTCTATACGTGTCATGGATGTTGTATATGCCAGCTTAACTAAAACACACACGTAGAGAGCGCAAAACTAGAATATGTTAATGACAGAGCAGAGTCAGAGTCGAGAATGTAAATAAAATTATTAAATATAAAATAAACTTCTTAACATTATCTGGTGAAGTTTTATGCAGAAAGATTTTTCCGGTCCGGGTAGGACTCGATGCCTGTATGGAAACTTTATATATTTATATTGCCAAACACAAAACAGTTGATTAAAATCCGCGTCAATTCCAATAGCGTATAACAGCACAAGGACATGCTGTCATCACAAAAATATTATCCCTGAATTTCAATACTAGAATTCACAGATTGACCAATACGTTCGGTATAAAATCAACCATACGCTCAGGTGTCAACATATTTGGTGTCTGGGTCCTTGAAAAGTTATAGTGCGATTTCGACAATTTTAGGGCATAAGATTAAACACCTTGAGGGTACATCATTTTTATTTAGAATCTGTCTTATTATTAAAAGGACAATAACTGAATTTGCTGCCAAAAAGAAAGATGTTGGACTACAATAAAAAATATTCTCAAAAATGACAGTGAAATCAATTGAATAGAAAGGGGAAATCTAATGGATGATATTTTTTTCGTCTCTAACCTTGTTGACTATTATCTAGCAGTTGAATCACAAGTTTGTTATCATGGTTCTAACAGACTTGTTTTGCAAGCAAATAGCAGCGAAGTCAGCTCTTAGAAGGGAATCGTCCCTACTAGTCGCCAGTAACAAGAGGCATTCTAGGATACTTAAGAAGTTTGCGTTTCTTCCCATAACCACGGATTTTGAAAATCCTGCAGAGTTAAATTTTAATCCGGTCCTTAAAACTGCCATCCCTTCCAGAGAAGAGTAAGAAAAGGGCGCAGGGATAAGATCTATACTGTTTGTGTCTTCTCTGCCAAACTAAATACTTAAAAAGGCGATTTCCGTCTTCGAGACCATTAAATTGTCTTCCATGCGGAGGTCGCAGCAACTAAAGAAAGCCTTCTTGTTCTGACCTGGATTGCGCTCACAACAAGGATTATATTTATATTTACAGATTGCCAGGCCCACAGGTGTTCCTCGCTACTGAGTGCCCCTGTACTAAACAGTTTTATATCTTAATTAAGTGCTTAGTTATGACACTTTAGAAGTTTTCGTTTAATGCAATACCGACCGCCCCTGGGTATCAAGGAAAATTTATAGCAAGTTTCATCAACACATCTCAATTTTTAGTCAAGTTATCGCTTGCACGGACAGACAGCCACCCGGATTTCAACTGGTCTCGTCACCCTGACCATATTTATATATATATATGTACAACTCCATACCTAAGTATCTCAATTAGTTTTAGGTAATACAAACAACCTTTAGTTGAACAAAACTATTATACTCTGTGCCACATGTTGCGGAAGTATAAATATCAGTTAATTTTAGGTGTTACAAAAAACGTTAGGTGAACCAAATTATTATAACTGTGGATGTTAAGAAAGAACAAAATTGTAGGCTTATTTTGGTTAAGTATTCAATAGTGTATCTAAATATATTCACTTACTTTCTACATACATATGTATGTATGTATACAAATGTCTAAGTATCCTGACTGCATTTTAGACTCAATAATCACTCAATCAATAAAACAGTATACCACAATAAAATGCACAATATACTTATCCAAATCGATGGAGTACAAATGGTGACACATAATAGTAAAGATGTAGTGCTGAATTACGGTAGAACCGAATAAAATAGCTGAACAACCATGAAAAATAAGGTAAACTTTTGATATTGTCTAGTGGTGGTTAAGTACGTAACGAGGTATTTTCTCATCTACTTCAAAACATTATCCACTTAGATTAGATTAGATTAGTTTCGAGGTATGCACCGCGACCTATGGTCTATTGTGCCCTCCCCTAAGTCATATCGTATCATCTAGGCCCAGCATGTTGATAAATTCCAAAATTCTGCTGGGTGCTAGTGAGGCGATACGATCCCTGTGTGGAAACATGGATCCCAGGGCCTTGATTCTGCGTCTGCAGACTGCTGTGCAGTTCATCAGCAGATGTTCAGGGGTTTCCGGCTCTATGTCGCAGAACCGGCAGTTTGCAGAAGAGGCTATGCCCATGTTAAAGAGGTGCTTCTTGAGCCTGCAATGGCCGGTGTAGAACGCTGCCAGTAGCCGGAATTTGTTTCTGGGGAGATTAATTATGGCTTTAAACCGCTTGAGCTCGTAACCCCCCAATAGCAGTCTGGCATGGTGCATGCCCTGAAGTTGTTGCCAATGTATCTCCCTGCTTGCTCTTTCCTCCCTTCGGAGGAGCTCTTTGATGGTATGAGGACCAACCGCTATGTATGGTTCCGGCCCTACCATTTTTGTAGAGGCTGCAGAGCGGGCTAATTCGTCAGCTAGTTCGTTCCCAGCTATACCCCTATGGCCAGGCACCCAAATAAGGTGTACTCGGTTTTGCTTAGATAGGCTGTTCAGCCGTTCTATACACTCCATCACTAGGAGAGATCTGACCTCATAGGCTGAGATCGCTCTTAGTGCCGCCTGACTATCGCTGAGTATAGCGATACTCTTATTGCGATAGTTGCGTTGGAGGTTTATCCCTACACACCGACTTATAGCATAGACCTCAGCTTGGAAAATGCTTGGGAAACTTCCCATGGGAATGGAGAGTTTGGTGCTTGGCCCAGCGACCCCTGCACCAATCCCCTCCTCCGTTTTCGACCCGTCGGTGTACCACTTGATGGTGCTACCCCTTAGCAGCCGGTCCAGTGAAGAGTCATTCCACTCAGATTTGCTGCCAAGGGTTACTTGAAACTTTCTGCTGAAGTTTACTACTTTGGTAATGCTATCCCTTGGGAGAAGGGCTAGTGGTATTTCCTCACTTAGCTCTTTCATCTGTTGGGATGAGATTACCTTCCCTTTGCCAGCTCCCTCTGCTGTCATTTGGAGCAGAGTTCGTTTGGCAGTCTGTTTGATTACCAGGTGTAGCGGTGAAAGTTCTAGCATGACTTCCAGTGCTGCGGTCGGACACGTTCGCATTGCTCCCGACGCGCAGATGCAGGCAAGTCTTTGCAGCTTCGACAGTTTAAGTCCTACCGAAGTCTGCGATGCTCTCGAACCCCACGATACCGCTCCATACGTGATAATCGGTCTCACGATCATGGTGTACATCCACCTGATAGTCCTTGGGGAGCACCCCCAGGATTTCCCAGCAAGTCGGTTGCACACCATGAGTGCCTTAGTAGCTTTGGTTAAGGTCTGGTTCACATGCTGATTCCATCGTAGTGTGGAATCCAGTGTGAGGCCCAGGTACTTGACCGTGCTGGCCATCTCAACCACTCTGCCGTCCAGGGATATACTCCTGAGGCCCGGCAGTGATCTCCGTCTGGTGAAGGGAATGATTGTAGTTTTAGCAGGGTTGATGCTTAAGCCAACCCCACCTGAGGCCCGGCAGTGATCTCCGTCTGGTGAAGGGAATGATTGTAGTTTTAGCGGGGTTGATGCTTAAGCCAACCCCACTACACCATCCCTTTGCCAGTCCCAATCCCCTCTGAACGATATCGCAGAGTGTGTCTTCAAATTTTCCTCTAGCTAAGATAACAATGTCATCCGCATATCCCTGACAGCGGATTCCATTGCTAGTCAGCCGCTCAAGGAGATCGTCCACAACTAGGCTCCAAAGTAGGGGGGATAGCACTCCACCCTGTGGGCAGCCTCTTGTTGTTCCCAGACGAATTTTAGTTTCTCCTACTGCGGTTTCCGCCACCCTAGTGCGCAGTACGGCTGTAATCCATCTGCGCACTGGTGCTGCCACGCTCCTTTTCTCTAGTGCTCTTGACACGCTCTCGTGAGACGTGTTGTCAAAGGCACCTTCTATGTCGAGGAAGGCACATAACACCACCTCGCCCCTATCTAACGAATTCTGGATCTCTGAGGTTAGCTGGTACAGAGCAGTGTTTGTTGACCTGCCTGCTCTGTAAGCATGTTGCTTCTCATGAAGCGGTGATGCCTTCAGCACCTTCGATCGTACTTCGTGGTCTATGATCTTTTCCATACTTTTGAGTAGGAAGGAAGTAAGACTGATTGGCCTGAACGATTTCGCCAATGAGTAGTCTTTCCTCCCTACTTTGGGTATGAAGATCACCTTTGCGGTGCGCCATGGTTCTGGGATATACGCCAGCGCTAGGCTATCCCTCATCAGCCGAACAAGGTGGGGCAGTAGCACCTGCTCCCCCTGTTGCAGGAAAGCTGGAAGGATACCGTCCGCACCCGGTGACTTATATTTTTCAAAGGAGGCCAGCGCCCACTTGATGGAGTCTGCAGTGAAGAGCTGTTTTGCGACTGTCCAGTCCAAGCGTGACGGCCTACGTTCGACCATAGGTCGAATCTGGTCTTCTTGAATCGTCTCCGGGAAATGCGCTAGTAGAAGAGCCGTAGCTCTTTCTTCTGCGCTGGACGTATAGGTCCCATCAGATCGTTTAATCGCTAGTGCTGTGTCCGTCTTTCCTCTAGCCAGAGCCTTATGCAGTCTAGCTGCCTCTGGGGTTGAGGAGACGCTCTCACAGAACTTCCTAAAGCTCTTCCGTTTCGCGGTCCTAATCTCCTTATTATAAGCAGTTAGGCTGCATCTGTAATCCTCCCAGTTTCCGGTGCGCTTAGCCTTATTGAATAGCTTGCGCACCGTTTTTCTTAGTACTGAGAGTTTACTAGACCACCAGGAGCATTTACCGCCCTTGCCGGTTGTCTTTAGGGGGCAGCTGCTATGATAAGCTTCTATAATGGATTGGTTTAGGGCAGACAGTCTGCTCTCCAATCCAGAAGCCGTTGCGCTTCTATCCAGCTGCTCCCTACTGCTAATTCTAGTTGCGAGTAATTCCCTGAAAACGGCCCAGTCCGTGTTCCCAGGGATACGTTTGGGAGGGAGTTGCTTGACCCCCATCCCCAGCACGAATCTTATGATACGGTGATCCGACATGGAGGGTTCCGATGATACCCTCCATTGTGAGATCAGCCCTACCTCAGACTCGTTACTGAGCGTGATATCAAGCACCTCCCTTCTGACACTAGTTACAAAAGTGGGTTCGCACCCCACATTTGCTATACTTATCCACTTAGATTAATAGGTCCTCAAATTTTTGTAAGGTATGGAAATACATGTTGGATTCTTGTAAACGCTCCCTGAAGTTTCAGTTTTTGTTCTATAAAAGGATCCAACGTAAAAAACTTTTTATTTTTAATTTAAACATACATATACACACAACGTTAAATACTTGTAAATCACTTGTTTTCTTATTCTGCTCAAACATATATTTATTATAAAAATCTTACGATTTTTGCCAATTTTGGATAGTTTCACAAACTTTTTTTTTTGATAATTGAGAAAGACATAAGTAGTGGGTTTTGTGAAAGATAAAACATTATAACCAAACTTTTTTAATCTTTTCGCTACCTTATATAATAAAAAATCGTACGTACAACTATATATGTATTTAACGTTTTATGTTAAATATATCCAATTAAAATTTTAAGCGTTGAGGAGACTGCAACTGTAAGCGACAACTAGGTATAAATGAATGTGTAGGATAACACTATATGTACACGAGATATTTTGTCATTTTTCAGTTTCGTAATTCAGCCATTTGCGCTTCGAAAAGAGCAGTATTTATTTTATGTTTAAGACCCAATAATACTTCACGATTCGTTATGTTGCGCATTTCATTCGATACATATTCGCCATAAGTTGAATATTCGTCTCGTATATGACCGGATGTGTGAAATACTTTTGGGCCAGAATTTGCATTGGATGTTTTATCCATACTTCGTCCCGGCAAATGTTGCTTTTGTTGACTGTTGATTTTGATTTTGGAATTTAACAATATGTTGGTTGGATGTGCAACTGCAGAAGGCGTGGATTCTATAGGCACTGAATTTTGTTGTCCTGTGCTTCCATAGAAAACACGTTTGTCCTCATGCGACGGATCAACTTCATCTTCATACTCAATTTCATGATCATTACATGAATTATTATGTTGAGCTTTTATAATACGTGTAGATATTGTTTGCTGATTATGAGAAATATCTTCACAGGCGTCAGCTGCTGTCGAAGATGTGTATGTGATTTCTTCCTCTTCTCCCTGTAATTGAATAGCTTCCAGCTGTTCTTCATCCCCTTCTGTATTTATTCTATGACTACTAATTTGCTCCTCAGATTGCATTTCACTGTTATAACTTTGTTGCTCCATTGTAATGGTCATTTTTTGCTTGTCATCAGCTTCATCAATATCTTTGGTAGTTTCTTCAATTAACTTTTCTAATGCGCGGGATCGACTGGTATTACGGTAATGTCTAGAGTTGCCTATGGGCTCTATCGCAATAGCAGGCTTTTGATGTATCAAAAATTCTTCATTTACATTGTTATTCAAATTCACAGAACTTCCACTGCTATCGTGATGAGTATTCGAATCTCTAATAATATATTTTGATGTCACTGTACCATCTTCTGTAATTTCATTTTTAATACGTCCTCTCGACAGCCGTCGAGCCATTGGAGAACTTAAAAACTGCAAGTTCTTGAAACCAAACCATTTGGAGTTGTAGGGCTCTTTACGGTTCATTCGATTTATTTCGCGATGGTATTGAGTGCGCAAAGTGTGGAACTTCTTTTCGATCTCATTAACGGATATGCTTCCACCAAGACTATTACTCACTTCTATCAGAAGATTTTGTTTAATATCCTTTTTCCTATAATCATCATGTGTCATATCCCATAGACCTCGTCTTTTACGGTATTCATTAATAAGAGTAAGTGTTCTTTCTCTCGTCCATTCCATGATTGATTGTTAATATCCACAATACAAATTATATTGAAATTACTATTCAAGTAATTCCTTTAAGTTACTTATCTAAATCGTTAAATTTGTTGGAAAACCCCCGATTATTGTTAAAAGTCCCAAGATAAATGGCTTTCCGGCTGAAGAATATTATGTAAAATATTCTTTAAAAATGTGCTCAAATCAATTCATACACTTATGTATAAGTGCAAATACCCAATTAAAAAATCTTATCGGTAAACAATTTTTGATTCACTTAGACTACAATTATTTTTTAGTCTCCATATTTAACAATCGGGACCCAGTTATTCACGAATTGTTTTTCCTCATCTTGGGAGACTTTTTGACATTTATTAATTCAAAACAGAGTTGCCACTGAATTATGCTACACATCTCTTCACTTCTAAATAGTAACACAAGCGGTCTTTGCTACACTATTTCTCTGTGCACTGCTGTCTTGTCAAAAAAGTTACTTGTGCAAGCAACAATAAAGCTATCGAGTTAAATTCGTACAAGAGAATACACAGATACCTCATTAAAGTGGTATAACCGCTATCTTCAATGCTATGAAGTTTTATATCGGAGCTCAGTACCATCATATAGCCGCAAGTCTCTAATTTTGAAATTTTAAATTACAGACAATTTTTATGACTTCAAAACGAACAGATCTAATCAGCTGTTACATTTCGTTATTTAGAGATGTATATAAAACCTGAACAAAAATAAATTGACGATAACAAATATTAAAGTTTCTATAACGCAGTCAAAAAATGTTGACTTTGATTCACAATAGTAACCAAAATTATTTGAAATTGATTTGATTGATACAAAATATGAAAAACCGACAATCGATTAATATCTATAAATGAAGTGTCAGTATATTCAAAATGGAAGACAATAATTGTTATTAGTTTTGTAACCTGCTTACTATCAAGTGACAAATTTGAGACAGTATTTTTTGTTTAAAGACTGGAGTCTGTATTGTAAATAGTAACTTGTCACAAATCTGCTTTAAAATGTCTCAAATAGTGACTAGAGACTGCTTAGTCCTAGTTCATACATAGACTGTTTTGTCGCCCAAACCGGTTTTTGGTGGATGAGGGTACGACGAGGAAAGACGAACGAACCGTGCCGCATGTGCTCGGGTTGTGTTTGATGCTACGCAATTCAGCATTCCTTTTCGTTTTGAAACTCTTTTCATCGTTGCGATAGCGCTCAAAGGAATATATACGACTTGTTAGGAAATCTAAATTTCGTTATCTATTTTTTGTATGTATTTAATTTAAATTTTTAATAACATTTAGCGGTATTAAATGTAATAATATATACATAAATGAATTCTGATAAAAATGGTTTAACTTACTTTTCTATATTTACATAAAATATTAAACGCTTTCATATTTATTTTTTTAACCGCAAATGATTTAGTTCGAATGTCGTTTTATTTAAAATAAGAATTGTAATTAATTCATGAATGTTTTATAATAAAAAAAAAAAAAATTTATGGAGTAAAAAAATTATGGGTTTTAATACTTTCAAAGATTAGAAAATTCCTGTCATATTTATGACCTTGAAAATATTAGTAGCGGGTATTCAATAGATTCTGGTTGATTAGGGAATTCTCGACTAAAGTATTTCTTTATAACTGTTAAGCGGGTATTATACATATTGGTCTACCACATTTATCGTAATTCCTTGTAAGCAAAATGTGAGATCACCATACCAACATACTAATGAATTATGCAACACACTCTAAGTGTCGCTTAGCCGAACCGCACAAACATTTGAAAAAATTTTATGAAGAGAAATGACAGAAAATCTACTCGAGTTGCTGGACTCTTTTCATACACATACAAACGCAGGTTGCACCACAAGTGTTGTCCAATCATTTGAACATCTAGACGGTTTGTTCGATTCGCTTCTCTCCAACGCTTGGCGAATTGAAGACAGCTAAAGTCTGCTATTTAAAAGTGCTTACTCCTTCTTTCCAAAGATATTAATTATAACCGCTATACAAAAAATTTGTGAGTAAAATATGAAAAAAGGAAAAACTTAATTTTGATCTAATGCATTTTTCTATTTTCTTAAAGACATGGTAAATTCTTCTAAATTAGTATAATTAAAAAATAACTGTATATGGGTTATTATGTTGTGATAATTATTCTTTGGTTCACATGCAAAATATGTAGATGTGGTAACACCATTTGCTAGTATACAATTGTATTCCATTATTCTTGTGTACATCATTTTCGTTATTGGCTAAATAAATCGAAATGAGTAAAGTGTGGAATCTTAAATGAACGTTGTTTTAAAAATATTTAATACACAATAAATATATACATACATACAATTTAGTGTTAATTTATAAAAAGTGCAATACAAATGTCTTAAAAACTAGAAGCCTGCGGTAACTATAAATGTGAATATTAATAATATAATATTATGAAGAGGCAGAATGTTCGTACCCTATCTTTGGTCGTTTGTACGTTTACATATTTGCTTATTGGTGCGGCTGTCTTCGACTCTCTGGAATCACACACTGAAGCGAAGAGATGGGATTTTTTGCAAGGTAAATATATTTTCTAAAATAATCTTGTTATAGATATGTTTTTATACTCTCGCAACCTGTTGCTACAGAGTATAATAGTTTTGTTCACCTAACGGTTGTTTGTATCACCTAAAACTAATCGAGTTAGATATAGGGTTATATATATATAGTGTCGGCTTTAGAATAACGTCCCAGGTTTCGGGGATAAAATGAGTATGGATAGAGGAGATCCTCCAGATCAAGAATATATATAGATATAGCCGCGGGAAACTTATTATTTTCGAGATATTTACGTTTAAAGTTGAAAATTTCAACTATACCGTCACAGGATTTCACCTTCAGATTAAAAATAAATAATAATAATGACTTTGGAAAAGCACCCCCGAATTAGGGATTCGCATTACATATTTTCAAGTTTCCGAATTTGTGCAATCGAACCTTCGTTTTCAATTGCTTTCAGAGATTCTCAATGGGGTTCAGATTTAGACTGCACGAAGGCCAGTCTAATAAAGAAATCATATTTTCGTCCATCCCTTGTTTAGTTGATCGCGCGGTATGTTTCGTACCCCTGTGTCAAAAATGAATCGAGTCAGTACTTTTCCTAGCCCCCATATATTTTATATAAGGATTTCAAACTGCCGTTTATTTTTATACCGTATATATCTGCCAATAAGCAAGATATCTTAGCAAAATTAAGTTAAAGTATAATATTGGATATACTTTAGTTTAATGCAGAATATGTGTAAAATCGGTCCACGAATTACCCCAGCATCCATATACTACATTTCATGATTTTCGTTATTTTAGCAGACATTATGCCGCATATGTCGGACAGTGTGTGTGCTCTCTTCATAAAATTACACAGAAACATACTTCCGATTATACTTGAGTAAAGCCACAAGTTAAGCCCAGACCTTCTGCCTTGTTGTTGTTGTAACGGTTGCCTAATCCCCGTTTGGGTGATAAGTTCCAGATTGGTTGTCGTCGATGTCATCTAACGGGAGGCCCAGGAAACGAGCTGTTTCGACGGGGTCGGACCATAGGGAAAGGGGTGTTAGATGAGTGGGGTTTGTTGGGCATGCAAAGAGGTGGTTAGTGTCATGCGGAAACTCATTGCATGCAGGACCCAAAATTGCAGGACAATTCCCACAACAGCCGGTTCTGTGATAACGGAATTGACCCGGATTTTATCCGGCCAAGGGCTGTTATTTCGGCGATCTAACCCTGTTTGGATCGGTAAGTTTTTGTTGGGCATGCAAAGAGGCGGTTAGTATCCTGCGGACCCTCATTACACGCAGGTCATATGTTTAGACTGTCGGGGTCTATTCTGGATAAATAGGAGCTTAACCTGCTACAATATCCAGAACGAAGTTGCGCGAGGGTCACTCTGGTTTCCCGAGGCAACTCGAGCTCTAGGTCTGCTATGGGTGGTAACTCCTAGTACGCCATTCACTGAGAGGGAGTCGGTGAAGGTGTTGATGGCTCCACTGTGAATGGCGGTCAGTGCCTGTCTGAAGTTTATTGCATCCGAAGTCCGGTCGGCGTACTGTCTAATGTCGTCGACGTAATCAAAGAAAGACCTCTTGATGTTCATAGGAGGCGGCTCCGCTTCAAGCAGACGACTGCAGGAGTGATTTCTACGAAAACACCCCAGCAGAAACTGCTTGGAGAGGAGCTCGTTATTTGTCTTTTCCCCAAGAGCTGCCGGCAAGCGATTTGAGGATTTTGCTCTGTACTTTAGCAGTTATCGCGGTCTTGCGAGGAGTAAAGGAGCACAGACTGTCCAATGTTACGCCTAAAATTTTAGGGTTATTGACCATCGGAGTTTTTGTGCCATCGACTGAAATGTTCAAGTCTAGTCTGTATTCCTTCGTCCAATTTGTGAATATGGTCGCTGTGGATTTAGTGGGGGAGAGTGTCAGATTCCTTGCAGAGAAGAAGCGAGAAAGGTCGGAGCGGTAGCTGTTTACTTTTGAGCACAGGTCACGGAAATTCCCGCTGGTGGTTGGGTGAGTTTCGAAATGTAAAAATTAAATAGTAGTGGGGAGAGGACACCGCCTTGTGGAACCACCTGTTTAATTCTTCTAAGCTTGGAGTTTTGGCCTCGAAACAGTACGGATGAATGTCAACCGCTCAGGTAGTTCATGGTCCACCGCTTCAGCCCTGGAGGGAGCGTTGATTGTTCTAGGTCCTCAAGTAGCGTTGTGTGATTGACTGTGTCAAAAGCTTTTGACAGGTCCAACGCTACGACGATCGTCCTCTTGCAGGGTGGCTTCTGGTTTAGGCCATGAACTATCTGGGCGTTTATGACGCTAAGTGCTGTGGTGGTGCTGTGCACTTTTCGGAAGCCATGCTGATGGTCCGCTAGACTCAGGTGGTGAGTGAACGTCGGGAGTAGCAAGGCCTCAAGTGTCTTCACTACTAGGGAAAAGAGAGTGGGACCACTCTTCCGACTTTCCACACATCGGGTATTTGAAGAGTGGCCATCGACAAGTTGAGGACCTTGGTAAGGTACCTTAAGTCATTTATGTTGGTTAATATATGTAATATTTCAAAGTTTTCATAAACATAATGTGGTTTAGCGCTGAACAAGAACGTAATTGGTCTAGACTAGATTCAACCAGAACGCCTGGTTTCCATTATAAATGTTTTCATTCCACTGGTTGATTTTTTCCTCATATACCCAATATATTAAATTTAGCCTCTTTGGTTGGGTTTGTATCACATATATGTACATATTTCACCAATATATCGGATATGAAGCAAAATACAATAATGAGACTAAGTGTCTACGCCCTATAATATAATATATATTAATTTATTTCGTCAACACTTAATATTAAATTCTTTCTCAACATTTAATAATAATTTATACAAAGTTTTAGCAACATATGAATGTTTTTCGCTGGCTTTGGTCCTTGCCGATTGCGAGAGTATAATAAGTTCGGTTGGACCTGAACTAGGCCATTCCTTACTTCTTTAAAGACTTATCAACACCTAAAATATTTCACATCATTCATGATTTCATTAAAATATCACTCATATTGACACATTCATATATACGGCAGAAAACAAATCATGCGTTTGAAATTCTTATATTAAGATTCTCCACAGTTTGACTATAATATATAGTGTAATGTCAAACGTGAGCTTGAATGTCCTTATATTAGGTATGTGGGTACGTAATCATTTTTGACACAAGAAATTTTACATATTGACGGAAATTTTCGATATCAAGTTAGCAATTAGATATTTAAGTTTTTTTTTTTTATGGGCAGTTGGCAGGCTTATGTGTCCGACTTCGCACTTTTTCACACCGTTACATAAAGATATGTTATTCACTAAATGAAATCAAGTTCTTGTATGGAAAATTTTTTATTTGACAATATGTTAATATAATTGCAGTAGCAAGGGGCACCTGTGGGCTAAGAATTTTGAAAAAAGAGATGTGGTTCCGCCATCCAATACGTTTAATGTACATATCTCCTAAACGACTAAAGCTAAAAAAACCAAATTCGCTAAGGACAAATCCTATAAGAACCCCTACCGATAGTGTGGAAATGTATGAAATCGGATGATTACCCCGCCCACTCCCCATATAACGGTTCTGTTAATAACTACTAAAAAAAGCGATAAATCTAAAACTAAATATGCCAGAGACATAAAATTTTGCAATCAAAATGGCACGAAAGATCTTTATATAAGTCGATGTCAATTTTGAACGATGGTCATGGCACCACCCACATTTAGGTGAAAACCTATATCTTCGAACCTACTAGACCGATTTCGGTTGGTAATATTATCCTGACATTCCAACATTACAGTGCGAAAATGGGCGTAATCAGACAAAAACTCCGCCTACTTCCCATATAACACTATTTTAAAATCCATCTGATTCTTTCACTTTCCAGAATACAAATCAAGAAGCAATCAATATATACGTATAAAACTTTGCACGATTAGTGCCAAAAATTGTCCAAATCGGACCTAAACTATTCAAACCCACAGATACCGAAGAACTGGACCCCAGTTCCAATTGCGCAATTTTTTTTTACCGAAAACAGAATTCCCCGGCTTTGATTCTTACAAATTGTTCCTTACTTGTTTTTCTAATTTTTCTCACTAAAATTATATATTTCTACTACTACTTTTTTTTGCGTAATTTCTCTTCTAAATTTAGCTGTAAAAAACAATTTCGTCAAAAAGTATAATGTTACTGCCGAAGACTATCGGATGATGGAAATAGTGATCATCGAAAATAAACCACACAAAGCTGGACCGCAGTGGAAATTTGCCGGTGCCTTTTATTTTGCTACTGTAGTTCTGGCTATGATTGGTTATGGACATTCAACACCAGTAACAATCGGTGGCAAAGCGTTTTGTATGGCATATGCAATGGTAAGTATTATTACATTTTAACATACACATATGATTTTAGGATATCTGTCTGTCGGTTCAAGTTATAACTTGAGTAACTTCTCCTCTGAAGAAGTTGTTATTGCAGATGGTCAAATTCGGACTATTTCATTCATCACATACGAAATGGCGTTAATAATAATTTTCGTTATTCTAGTGAACTTTATGCTGAATATATCAGTCATATTGTGATTTATCTTATTAAAATTTTTGAAAGAGTTAAGCTGCTATTGCACTTAAAACCGGCAGCCTCAGCCTCAGGCCTCAAAATGAAGCACCAGTGTTGACCATTTAACATTCCCAATATAATGATTTTCGTCTTTCCAGTTGACTCCATAATTGTTATATTGGTAAATTTTTATATTTTACTAAAATTAAGTTTTCTTGTTTTCTGGACCACAATGTGATTTAGCGTTGAATATGAACGAAATCTGACCAGACCTTGATCTAGGCCTCGTGCCACTAACTTCACATCTTCTAACACTTTCCGTCCCACTGGACTTTATCTTCATATATCCAACGTATTAAATTTCGTCCCTTTGATTGCGAGATATTGCATATATCTGAATAATAGAAGACTTAAAAAAAATTCAGGAAGAACTTTTCGTTTGGTATTATGTCATTCGTTAGTAAAAAGTGTGGTTCTATATATATTAAAAATAATTTATATATAAAAATTTCGCACAATCTTGCCCAACTTTAAAGCGGAGGGAACTAATATTGTGAAGGACTATGGATAATAAGATATTCAAGACAATGTATCAGTATATCAGAGAAATACCTACATATACTATATGTACATATGTATGTATATTTTTTACCCACCGTCTACTTTTGAGAGTTATGCTATTCTGCCTGAATGGTTAATTATTTATTTTGTTTAAAAAACCAAAAAATGATTATTTATGTTTCTGTTTAATTTTTACTTTTGCGTTCAAACAATTATCTGATATATATCATTTAAGCGATCTAATTCGAAAATACATTCGAGATCTAAAACGATGATTAGGATAAAGAGACGAATTGAAATCCGGGTGACTGTCTGTCCATCGGGTGACTGTCTGTAACTTGAGTAAAATTTGAGATATCTTGATGAAACTTGGTACACAAATTTCTGGGTGCCGTAAGACGGTTGTTATTGCAGATGGGTGTAATCGGACCGCTGACCAAATTCGGTATATAACGTTCTTTTGACATCCCTATGTTACAGTGCGAAAATGAACGAAATCGTATAGTTACCACGCCTGTTTCCCATAAAACACAATTTTATCTGTATAAAACTTTTCAAAAAAGGTTCGCTTATACTATGTCAAAATCGGACTACAACTGTTCAAGGACACAAATACCGAATATGTGGACCCTAGTATCTATAGTTGACTTTTTACTGATAATATCGGACAATGTGTGAGATATATAATTGAAATTCATAGAGGATCCTTTCCTGATAATGGTAAGTCTGCATGTCAAAAATGGGTTAAATCGAAATGAAAATTGATAAAATCGGATATTACCCCCAACTCCCAGTGAGTATTATTATACTCTCGCAACCTGTTGCTACAGAGTATAATAGTTTTGTTCACCTAACGGTTGTTTGTATCACCTAAAACTAATCGAGTTATATATAGGGTTATATATATATAAATGATCAGGATGAAGAGACGAGTTGAAATCCGGGTGACTGTCTGTCCGTCCGTCCGTCCGTCCGTGCAAGCTCTAACTTGAGTAAAAATTGAGATATCTTTATGAAACTTGGTAGACATGTTTCTTGGTACCGTGAGACGGTTGGTATTGCAGATGGGCGTAATCGGACCACTGCCACGCCCACAAAACGCCATTAATTAAAAACAAATAACTTGCCATAACTAAGCTCCGCAATAAGATACAAGACTGTTATTTGGTACACAGGATCACATTAGGGAGGGGCATCTGCAGTTAAAACTTTTTTTAAAAAGTGGCCGTGGTCCCGCCTCTAATAGGTTTAATGTGCATATCTCCTAAACCGCTAATGCTATAATAACAAAATTCACTAGAAGCAAATGCTTTTAGCACTTCTATTGACGGTGTGAAAATAGTTGAAATCGGGTGGCAACTCCGCCCACTCCCCATATAACGGTACTGTTAAAAACTACTAAAAGCGCGATAAATCAAGCACTAAACACGCCAGAGACAATAAATTTTATCTCTGAGATGGTATAAATTGGCTTTATAGGAACTGCGTTCAAAATTAGTCAGTGGGCGTGGCACAGCCCACTTTTAGGTGAAAACCCATATTTTGAGATCTGCTCAACCGATTTCAACCAAATTCGGTGCATAACGTTCTTTTCGTGTTTCTATGTCATAGTGCGAAAATGGGCGAAATCGGACTACAACCACGCTTCCTTCCCATGTAACACCATTTGCAATTCCATCTGATTCTTTCACTTTCCACTATGCAAATCAGGTAACAATGATTATATCGGGGTAAAACTTTGCGTGAATAATGCAATTAAAGTATGCCACCTTGCGGCCAAAAATTGTCTATATCGAACCAAAACTGTTCAAACCCCTAAGTACTAAATATGTGGACCCCAGTGCAATCCACAAAGAAATCTCAAACGAGTATACCATTTGACTTTGCGAGAGTATAAAATGTTCGGTTACATCCGAACTTAGCCCTTCCTTACTTGTTTTTATATAAAATTGCTTCACAATATGTTCTCGAGTATATCTGAGCAATGTCAAAATTAATGCCCTTTCTCTATCGCCAATATACCCCGTAAAATGATTTTCGTATTTCCAACTGTTTTTGTTGGTCAAAGTGTGTAATATTTTAATGAAATTACATGGACAAGGACCTCATATCTCTAAGATAATTAATTCCGATCCGCTGGTTGACGTTTCATACATCAACTCAATATATTAAATTTAGTCGCTTCGGTCGAGTTAATATCATAAACACATACATATCCTTTTGAATATGGTTTTTATATAATTTTAGCAGACGCGAACTAAAATAACATGTTGCTACAGAGTATAATAGTTTTGTTCACCTAACGGTTGTTTGTATCACCTATAAATCTATAATAACAAAATTCACTGAGAACAAATATTTTTAGCACCTCTATCGACAGGGTGAAATCGGGTGGCAACCCCGCCCACTCCCCATATACCGGTACTGTTAAAAACTACTAAACGCGCGATAAATCAAGCACTAAACACGCCAGTGACATAAAATTTTAACTGTGGGATAGTATGAGATGGCTTAATAGGAACCACTTTCAAAATTAGACCGTGGGTGTGGCACCGCCCACTTTTAGGTGAAAACCCATATCTTGGGATCTGCTTAACCGATTTCAACCAAATTCGGTACATAACATTCTTCTCTTCTTTCTATGTTGCAGTGCGAAAATAGGTGAATTCGGATTACAACCACGCTTACTTCCCCATAACACCATTTTAAATTCCTTCACTTTCCACTATGCAAATCAAGCAACAATGATTGCATCAGGGTAAAACTTTGCGTGAATAATGCGTTTAAAGTGTGCCACCTTGGGGCCAAAAATTCTCTAAATCGAACTAAAACTGCCCATAGGTACTGAATATGTGGACCCCAGTGCTTATAGTTGACTTTTTACCGAAAATATCGGTCAATGTGTAAGATATATAATTGAAATTCATATAATAAAATAATAAATGAAACTTTCAATAATAGTATGCCTTTGTGTTAAATCGGATCAATACTTCCTTTAATATAAACTTTTGCCAGCACCTGAAGGAATTTCCCCCGGAGAATAAAATGTTTGGTTACACCCGAACGTATTCCTTCCTTACTTGTTTCAGTTGGTTTCACTAACCCGCCCTCGCTTACATAATTAACCTATGTATACTTCTGATCTTTCTAAAACTCAACCACTTCAGTTTTTAATTTTTTGTAAATCAAAATCGATTTGTACACATTTTTTTTATAAGTTCAGGTGCGTTTGTGAAGTGGTAGAGCCTTAAATTTTGCAAAAATTGCTTTTAAAAATTCGAAACGAGGATGAAGTATACAGTGGGTTGTTGTTAATAAAGATATGGACAAAATTCGTGTAAGTGATATGAATGTTATGAAGAAATTTAAATGTCAAAATTTTGCATAACTTTGCCAAACTTAAGGGAAAGAAAACTAACAATTTAAAATTTTGGATAATGGGATATTAATGACACTGTTTTTGTATCAGTATATCACAGAAGTACACTATCTTATGTTTTCCTCTTACATTTCTTAAGATTTCCCAAAATTGGAAGTTTAAGAAAGCTTTGGGTTATCTTTTGCGACGTAGAGGGTATAACTAATTAACATTCAGTAATATAGCTAATATTTTTTTTTTAATTCGTTCCAATGTATGCATAAAGATGTTGGTTTAACGACGTCAAGGTTGTCGTAACCTTCTATGAATGTAGTAATTAAATCATGATTTCTTGACAGCACAATTTTTCAGTTAATTTTTACTAAATAAAAACATAATACTTTTCCTTTATCATTTCCATATTCATATATACATATATATATAGAAAGTGGAAAGATAAGATCAGGCACCTCTTAATATTAATAATAAGATATTAAATTTTAAGAGGCTTCTTTTTCATCTTCTTGAAAGTTTGAAGCTTATTTTTAGTTGAAAAAAGATACATACATTTGTATACATATGTAGATATGTATATAAATTGTAAATCAACATGAATATTAGATCAACGATGATACAATACTGTAAAATAATATCGTTGCAGGTGGGCATTCCGTTGGGCCTCGTCATGTTCCAGTCGATTGGAGAACGTTTGAACAAGTTCGCTTCGGTAATAATAAGACGGGCGAAACGTTATATGCACTGCTCTCAAACCGAGGCAACTGAAATGAATTTAATGTTAGCGACGGGTATGCTATCGTCTATCATTATAACCACTGGCGCAGCAGTCTTTTCACGCTATGAGGGCTGGAGTTATTTCGACAGTTTCTATTACTGCTTTGTGACGCTCACAACCATCGGATTCGGTGACTATGTGGCGTTGCAAAACGATCAGGCGCTGATCAATAAACCCGGCTATGTTGCGCTCAGTTTGGTGTTTATACTTTTTGGACTTGCGGTAGTCGCTGCCAGTATCAATCTGCTGGTGCTTCGCTTCATGACCATGTAATAGAAATAAAGTGTTGGGTACATAACACTGAATTTCAGTTCAATTAAGCTTCCGCACATCGATACTCGGACGTCGTTTTGTTGACGGCGTACGTGTATCAAGATGCAGGATATTTGTGTTATAATATCAGAGATCGTAATATGCATAATTCGACTAATATTGTGGACGTTACTTTTACAGGCAAGCGGAAGATGCAAAGCGTAACGAACAGGATGCTCAAGAAGCCGCGGCTACTGCTTTCTCCCATCAACAGCTAGCCTACGATGTGGAATCCAGCAATTTCAATATTCATGGCAAAATGTTACTAAACTCAAATTATACGACAGACTTGGATGAAACTTTATCAATTTGTTCATGCACTTGCCTTGGAGGCACAAAGTGCCTAAATCATGAACCATTTGTCGATCCTGATTTTCGTCCTACTGATATCATTGAGAGTACGCTGAGTTTGAAGCGTGCGTCGGTTTGATATAGGCAACAAAATACTAATGTTGAATTGTCATATGTAGGAAAGCTAATAGACAGATGTACATAGGGCATTAAACATGGTTGAAGAATTGTATGGTTATGACAAGGTCAGTTAACAATTTGTTTGGCTTCAGTTGTTATTATTTTTTCTTAACTGTTGGTCGCCTCTCGCACATTAGTTTGTCGGGATCTAAAAATGTTCAGCAATAGATAAAAAATTTACATCACTTGGTTATAAAATATATAATGCAATGCAATCTAAACTGACGCAAGTGGCGACTACTTGAAACTCAATATATTGGACGAATTTTCATGAAAACTTATATAACACATGTTGCAACTCATTTACTCTCTTACATAACACAAGACTTTCAATTAGTTTAGGAAGTACGACCTAAAGTAACTTATAGAAGGCATTTTCGAAAATATGGATATATGTATAGTTTAAAGTGAATTCTAAGTGTTTGTTTTTAATACTTAATCAACAAAAACTCAAAAGAGCAGTAACATGAATGTGTGTATCTATGATTGTTTTTTTGGAATTATATAAAAACAATTTGCAAACTATAAACAATGTAACGTGTTATCGACATACAAATGTACATAAGAAACGTGAGATATACATATGATTTGTTTAAGTTATTCGGATTCACATTTAGAATTGAGGATTTTGATCAGCATAAAACATACCTCAGTTTAGATAATACTGACTTTTTTGGGCGGGCATACAGCAACGGCCAAAAATCATACAACTCTGGAAAACATATTTTTGGCGGACGAAGCCAGAAAGAATCGTATTGGCCCCCAAAAACGAATCATAGGGAGACCATGAGAAAATAAAAACAACGGACCAATACACGAACCACAAAAAGATCGTAAAGTTCAATAGAGGAAATCTGAAAATCTGGCGGTCGTTTTATAGAGTTGAATATACTCAAAAATAGAATGAAAATAACAGACTTGAATATGCTCAAGAATAGAATGGAAACATAATTCTTTGAAATTTAAAAATTTACTTTTGCGAAAAAGTTTCGCCTCACGCTGAATATTTGTTGAAAATAAATATCTTTAAATGCATTGTATTGTATATAACTGAAATTAGATTAAAAATTGTATACATATGTTAAAGTTGAAGTTTCTCTTTAATATTTTGTGCCTACGACATTAGAGTTCAATAATAGTATTAAATGAAGCGCGCTTTAAAAGCACGTTTTTTAGTTTTTTTTTTTAACCTTATTTATTATTTAGCCGAACGTAGTTTCAGTGCCACAGAAAAATGTTACAACATACGTGGTTCAATCGACAGATGTAACGACCACAAAATTTTTCAATGAAAAGAAAAGTTTCATTTACAGTGTCATACTTGCATAATCGGAAGTTAAGGCGGGACCAGTCTTTTCGTTAACTTATACAATTGGTCTATGTAGTTGTCGGACCTTGTCAAGTGCTTGAACTTTGTAATTACTTTTGTTTAACTTTTAATTATTAGCATTTATATATACATGCGTGTATATACTAGCGTGTACGTTATTTTCCAAATTGATTTTCGACCGCAGCGCCCCTAAAATTTTTAGTAAATGTCTAAAGTTTTTAGTAAATGTCAAGGTCCTCAACTTGTCGATGTCCAATCTTCAAATACCCGATGTGTGGAAAGTCGGCCCCCCCGGCGAGAGGACGATCCTCGTAGCGTTGGACCTGTCAAAAGCTTTTGACACAGTCAATTACACAACGCTACTTAAGGACCTAGAACAATCAACGCTCCCTCCACAGGGCCGTGTCCTCTCCCCACTACTGTTTAATTTTTACATTTCGAAACTCCCAACCACCAGCGGGAATTTCCGTGACATCGCACGCTGTTGACTGCACGATATTGACGTCGGGCAATGGAATCGATGGCATGAGCTTAAAAGTAAACAGCTACCTCTCCGACCTTTCTCGCTTCTTCTCTGCAAAGAATCTGACACTCACCCCCACTAAATCCACAGCGACCATATTCACAAATTGGACGAAGGAATACAGACATAAACATTTCAGTCGATGTCACAAAAATTCCGACGGTTAATAACCCTAAAATTTTAGGCGTAACATTGGACAGTCTGTGCTTCTTTACTCCTCACACGACCGCGATAACTGCCAAAGTACAGAGCCGCACCAAAATCCTCAAATCGCTTGCCGGCAGCTCTTGGGGAAAAGGCAAAGAAACGTTGTTGGCAACATACAAGGCAATCGGCCGGCCGGTCCTAAACTATGCATCTCCAATATGGTCGCCTGGATGTAGTGCAACGCAGACGAGGAAGCTTCAGACTTGTCAGAACACTGCACTCCGGACTATCACGGGATGCCTCTTGATGTCCCCTATAGAACACCTGCACAGTGAGGCCCTTATGCTTCCGGTTAAGGAAAATAACGAGCTCCTCTCCAAGAAGTTTCTGCTGTTTTCGTAGAAATCACCCCTGCAGTCGTCTGCTTGAAGCGGAGCCGCCTCCTAGGAACATCAAGAGGTCTTTCCTTGATTACGTCGACGACATTAGACAGTACGCCGACCGGACTTCGGATGCAACAAACTTCAGACAGGCACTGACCGCCATTCACAGTGGAGCCATCAACACCTTCACCGACTCCCTCTCAGTGAATGGCGTACTAGGAGTCAAACCACCACCCATAGCAGACGTAGAGCTCGAGTTGCCTCGGGAAACCAGAGTGGCCCTCGCGCAACTTCGTATCGGATATTGTAGCAGGTTAAACTCCTACTTATCCAGAATAGACCCCGACATTCTAAACATATGTCCTGCGTGTAATGAGGCTCCGCATGATACTAACCACCTTTTTGCATGCCCAACAAACCCAACTCATCTAACACCCTTTTCCCCATGGTCCGACCCCGTCGAAACAGCCTGATTCTTGGGCCTCCCGTTGGATGACCTCTACGACAACCAAACTATCACTTACCATCCAAGCGGGGACTAGATAACCGTTACAACAACAACAACCGAAAGGGGGAAAATGCTATAAATAGACACAAAGAATATTCTTACATGAATTAAAAATGTTCTTACATGAAAAAAATCACAATTTTTGTAATCTCAAATAATGGGTGCGTTCGAGCTACGTAATAATTGCAGCAGTACAGCTACTGTGTTGCATATTTGCTGATACTCTGCTGATGTGCAGACAAAAATTTAGTGCTGCCGATTATTTGCATAAATTGCGAACAAAAAATGGCAGCAGAACGTGATGCTGTTGCAAGTGTTGCCAAAAATTCACGCACAATGTGATACTTTGACAAATTTGCAACACTGCTGTCGTGATTGCCATCTCGAACGCACCCAATCTTTCAAATTATATAAGAGGATTATTAATTAAAACCCCAGAATCTACAATGAAATAATTAATAAATAAATTTTTCCACACATTTTTGTTCGTTGTTCATGCAATATTTAATACGCAAAGGATAACAATAAAACAGTGGCTAAGTGGCCGCATTCTCACTTTTGCTGTGACTCAGGTCGTAAACGTGAAGAAATTAAGCCATTCAGAATACAAACTCTTACGTTCGAATCCTATAAATTATAAATCTTATTTTTTAATACAAATGTGTTCATAAGATGCTTGTTTCTCTTTGCCCCGCACAAGCAATTCACTTTTTGCGAGAACAGCTAGAACGAAGCAAGTTGAACGATCGCACACAAGCAGGAATCTGGGGTGCACTTCAACATAATTATTGCATTTCAGTTATTTTTTTTTTATTAATCGCATATATTTTAAAAACGTTTAGATAAGTATGAATTTATGTGTATTTATTTTTCACGCAAATTGGTTTTCAATTATGACAACTATGCAAATCTGTTTTGGATTCTACAACACCCCTGGATACTACGTAAATAAGCCCTAATGTGTAAATCCTTCTTTGAAACGCCATGGAAGTAACAGCGAGTTGGCGCGGACACTGTGTTCTTGAAAAAAATTAAATGACAACTTTGTCGACAAACAAATATCTATACATATGAATGTATATAAGAGTTCGCATACATATGGACATCAAATTGTGCGAATAGTCACGAAGTTGACAAAATATTATGTAAATTTTATAATATAATGTCATATAACTATAATAAATAATATGAAGTGAATTAAAATAATATTTCATGTCGCTAATAGGCCATGTTGCCAATTTTCCTTTCTGAAGAGAACATCAGATCAATTCTTCAATTTCTGTTTTTTAGCATCGTCGTGAGGAAGCAGCTTGTGGGCAATATGCAAATGCGGGGAGATGATAGGATTTTCAGTGGCAGTTCAATTGTAACATTGGAATTTGCTGATTTCTTTAATTTTACTTAAAATTAATTTATTAATTTTTTTGTCTGTGATCTCACGTATTTACGAGGGAGAATTCCATATGAAAACCAAATATGGTTCACCAGGCGCACAACGATCGCACGTCGTTTTGTAGCATACGCGCATTCCTTAAGAATGAATTCGTTGTCGTTGCTATACGAAATATTTAGAAAATATGGAACGAACTTACTCGAACCTTATTGGTCGATGATGGTGCGTCTGTAAATATATTTGGACATTCGAATGAAGAAAAGGCAATTTCCAGAATATTCACATACAAATAGGTCATTTGAAACAAGTAAACGACGATAGCTGTTTGAGCTCGCAGATTAGACCAGGGATCAAGGGATGCTCAACTTATTCCAGTGAGCCTCAAAATTTGCGTTTTTTTGAATAAAATTTTGCATTGTAGCCAGATCAGTCATTATAAAAAATGCTGTGATTTTGTGATATATCATATACTTTCCAGCTGTCTTTAAGCCGGTCAGCTTGGTTAAAATGTGTGGTATTTTAATTAAAATAAGGGCACACATTTTCTTTATAATTATAAAATTACATTAATTGTTTGGCACTGAATGAAGTTGGTGTAGACCTTGGTCTAAACCTCATATCCCTAATATGACGTTTTCCACATTAAATCAATGTACAAGTAGGTAAGTATTAAAACTAGTGTCTTCTGTTAAGTTTATACTCGTATCCCATATACATATCTCATTATACCCTGAACAGGGTATATTAAGTTTGCCACGAAGTTTGTAACACCTAGAAGGAAACGGCGGAGACCATATAAAGTATATATATAAATGATCACCGTGACGAGCTGAGTTGATTTAGCCAGGTCCGTCTGTCCGTCCGTCCGTCCGTCTGTATATACGCGAACTAGTCCCTCAGTTTTTGAGATATCGATCTGAAATTTTGAACAAGTCTTTTTCTTACAAAGAAGCTGCTCATTTGTCGGAACTGCCGATATCGGACCACTATAGCATATAGCTGCCATATAAACTGAACAATCGGAATCAAGTGTTTGTACGGAAAACTCTTTCATTTGACGAGGTATCTTCACGAAATTTGGCATGTATTATTATTTAAAGCATTAATCTAATCTCCGAAGAAATTGTATAGATCGGATGACTATAGCATATAGCTGCCATATTAACTGAACGATCGGAGTAAAGTGCTTGCATGGAACATTTTTTTTTGACGAGGTATCTTCACGAAATTAGGCACGAGTTATTGCTTAAGGCAACAAACTATTCTCCACAGAAATTGGTCAGATCAGATCACTATATCATATAGCTGTCATACAAATTGAACGTTCGGAATCGGGTTCTTGTAAGGGGCCTTTGTATTTGTGAAGGGTATTATAGCTTCGGCGCAACCGAAGTTACCGTTTTTTCTTGTTTTTAGATAATTTTAATACAATTTTAACAGACCCGAAGTAAAATATAGCAAGAAAACTACACGAGTATGTGAACTATAGTATAACTCAATTAAATACCAAACTTGATTGAAATCAATTTATGATTTCGTCCAACAATGAATATTGAATTCTTTCGCAACATGTTGCTACAGAGTATAATAGTTTTGTTCACCTAACGGTTGTTTGTTTCAGCTAAAACTAATCGAGTTAGATATAGGGTTATGTATATATAAATGATCAGGATGAAGAGACGAATTGAAATCCGCTTGAGTGTCCGTTTATCGGTCCGTCCGTCCCTCCGTGCAAGCTGTAACTTGAATAAAATTTGAAATATCTTGATGAACCTTGGTACACAAGTTTCTATACGCCGTAAAACGGTTGTAAGTGCTGATAGGCGTAATCGGACCACTGCCACGCCCACAAAACGCTATTAATCAAAAACAAATAAATTGCCATAACTAGGCTCCACAATAAGATACACGACTGTTATTTGATATACAGAATCACATTAGGGAGGGGCACCTGTAGTTACAAAAACAAATTTTAATTGGGCAAGGTCCCCTCTAATAGGTCTAATGTGCATATCTACTAAACCACTAAAGCTATAATAACCAAATTCACGGAGAGCAAATTTTTAGAACCTCAATCGACAGTGTAAAAAAGGCGGAAATCGGGTGGCAACTCTGCCCACTCCCTATATAACGGTACTGGTAAAAACTACTAAAAGCGCGATAAATCAAGCACCAAACTCAAATATGTGGACCCCGGTGCCTATAGTTGACTTTTTACCGAAAATATCGGTCAATGTGTAAGATATAGAATTGAAATTCATATAATAAAATAAATAAATGAAACTCTCAATAATAGTATGTCTTTGTGTTGAATCGGATCAATACTTCCTTTAATAAAAAGTTTTGCCAGCACCTGAAGAATTTCCCGGGCTTTGATCCTTGTAAGTTCCCAGAGTATAAAATATTCAGTTACACCCGAACTTAGAGCTTCCTTACTTGTTGATAATACTTTCGATTTCGGACCCAGTTAAACCATTAAGTCCTGAACCAAGAAGAGCCAAAGCAATATTGATGAATTTTTTATGGTTATATATTATATTAAGGCCTAATCAAGAAAAAATATATTATATTAAAAAAAATTTGCCTTGCCCCACTTTGTATTGTAAGCCTTAACATTAGGCCTTAATGACATACTAATTTTTAAATTTCAATTGATTTAAACTTTTTTTTGCAGACAGTAATTTACTTTATTTTTATCATTATCATTGTAGATCTACACCATCCATGTTGTGATTGTATTCAGACATGGGACGTGGAATGGGTATTGCCATATTTTGTTTCTCCTTCTTAAAATATCGATTGACTTTATTTTTTATAACGCTTTTATTAGCTTCATCTGTATAGTTGTATGTTTGCAAGTTCTATTACTATTTTGATTGATGCTTGTTTTTGTTGTAAAATGAAAGATTCTGATGGGAAATATTAGTATGATTCCAGTCCGATTTCACGAATTCTCAAACAATAACATAAGATTATTAAATAAAGCAACTGACTTGATACTCAACGTAAATTACTACAGAATTTAATACAAATTCGATCTTTTATGATCAATCACCAGTGAAGATTGATGATTCACCAAAAAAGTTATTTTGAAGTTGGCAAAGTATGGAAATTTGAGTGATCCGAAAAATATTTAGATATATGATTTTTTGTTGAAAATAACAATACTACTTTGCAAAAAAATCACTCTTCTTTCCAGTATTTTGTGGTAGTAACATATCTTTTTAAATTCAATCAATAGAACGTTGTTTCAGAATTTTTTTCACACAAAACATATTTTGAAAAGATTTTAGTCAGACGAGAGCGTATTAAAAATTAGTTATTTTTTAAATTGCAAAACTGGTCCAGTGATCAATTATAATATTGAAAGTGTACTAAGAAGACGTATACTAAGAGTACTGCAATTTTATCTTACTGTTTCATACGCTCCTCTAAAATATTATCTAATCTTCGTTTCCAACTAACCCAATATTCTTTGCCTTTTAGTAATTTATAATTGATAACAATTACCAATAGCTGTAAAGGCTCGTAGTTTACAGACTTCACGTGTTAAAGGCAATTTGCAAAATGCGAGAAATCGTACATATACAAGCTGGACAATGTGGCAATCAGATTGGCGGTAAATTTTGGGAAGTGATATCTGATGAACATTGCATTGATGCCACAGGCACTTATTATGGCGATAGCGACTTACAACTAGAACGTATTAATGTTTATTATAATGAAGCTACTGGTGCCAAATATGTACCTCGTGCCATTCTGGTCGATTTAGAGCCGGGCACTATGGACTCGGTACGTTCTGGTGCTTTTGGGCAAATCTTCCGTCCGGATAATTTTGTATTTGGTCAGTCAGGAGCGGGTAATAATTGGGCCAAGGGTCATTATACAGAAGGCGCAGAGTTGGTCGACTCCGTACTTGATGTTGTAAGAAAAGAGTCTGAAGGATGTGATTGTCTACAGGTGTGGAATTCTGTGAAACTTATTCATATATTTAAGTATCGTAGAGGCTTAACATTTTTATTAATTTATAGGGATTTCAGTTAACGCATTCTCTTGGAGGCGGCACAGGCTCTGGCATGGGCACACTATTGATATCGAAAATTCGTGAAGAATATCCTGATCGTATTATGAATACATTTTCTGTGGTGCCCTCGCCTAAAGTGTCCGATACTGTAGTGGAGCCATACAATGCTACTTTGAGTGTACATCAGCTGGTAGAAAATACTGATGAAACATACTGCATCGACAATGAAGCTCTTTACGACATCTGCTTCCGTACATTAAAGCTAACTACGCCAACCTATGGCGACCTAAATCATTTGGTATCTGCAACAATGTCTGGAGTAACGACATGTTTACGCTTTCCTGGTCAGCTCAACGCAGATCTACGAAAGTTGGCTGTGAATATGGTGCCCTTTCCTCGTTTACATTTCTTTATGCCTGGGTTCGCTCCATTGACCTCTCGTGGTTCGCAACAGTATCGTGCACTTACCGTGCCTGAACTAACACAACAGATGTTCGACGCCAAGAACATGATGGCTGCTTGCGATCCGCGTCATGGGCGGTATTTAACGGTTGCAGCCATATTTAGAGGACGTATGTCAATGAAAGAAGTGGACGAACAAATGCTGAATATCCAAAATAAAAATAGCAGCTTCTTTGTGGAATGGATTCCAAATAACTGCAAAACAGCTGTTTGTGATATACCTCCTCGGGGCTTAAAAATGTCCGCCACATTTATTGGAAATTCAACAGCGATTCAGGAATTGTTTAAGCGAGTTTCCGAACAATTTACGGCAATGTTTAGACGCAAAGCTTTTTTGCATTGGTACACCGGGGAGGGTATGGATGAGATGGAGTTTACTGAAGCAGAGAGCAACATGAACGATTTAGTATCGGAATACCAACAATATCAAGAAGCAACCGCTGATGAGGAAGGAGAATTCGACGAGGATGAAGAAGGAGGTGGAGATGAATAACAGTTCCATCAGACGTAAAGATGATAGCTAATGTGTTTTGCTAAATTTTAACTTTGGGCACAGAATGCAACTGAAAAATTGGATTGCAGCATGTTTAGTTTCTAATTTACCCCTCAGTAAGCACTTTGTGTTTATATGTATGTAATATTTGATTCCTCTCTGCTGTATACATGCATTTTAGTGGAATTTATTTTTCATCCAATCTTTTTGAATAACTTGTCAATAGAACGAAACTAAATACACAATTATGTCTAGACCAAATTAACAAAATTGGAAAGATTTTGCATTTTGCGAGGACAAACATGCCCCGTATGTAGCGAACTGAATTGAGTTTGTGGAGTGCAATGAACTATGATTAGCATATGCTTCGTACTTTAGTAAAGGAGTCCAATAAAACCTCAGATGGTATAATAATTAACAATTCAATTTATATTTCAAAGCAAAAGCAAGTAAGACAAATTACATTTTCTGCGGATATTGAACCTTCACACTATTTTTCTTTTAGCGGCATAAAATACACTCTGTTGCAAAATTATAAGACCGATCAAATTATGAGATAAGTATTTTGTAGAAGAAATAAGTATTTTGAAGCAAGTTTCTTCTATGAAACGTGTGTATTGATAACTCTAGTAATTCGGGCATAGTTTTAATAACATAACTGTACAACTTGCAATGTCGCAAAATTATAGCAATATTAATGCGTCCGAAATATCTTCCAACATTGTATCATGTTTTGAAATGCAATAAACCGGCAGTCGATGCTCAGCGACAGAGAAAATCGAGCGTTACAAATAAAGTTGATGCTTTTTAACATTTTCATATGCAACAATGGCGGTATGCTGAGATTGTAAAGCTTGTTGTTAGTTGTATTATTAATTTATACTAAATTTGCATTAAATTCAGAGATTATGGCAAACATAATATATTTAATATAATATATTTTTCCTATATTTAATGATGTGGTGCTTGAATTTTTGATGAAACGGTAGAAATTAAAAATTAAAATCAAAAATTGGACGCAGTCACTGTGTTCAATTATTTGAGCAAACGAAACATCTACAACAGTAATAACAAGTAAGGAAGGAATAAGTTCGGAAGTAACTGAACATTTTATGCTCTGCAACTTGTTGGCAAAACTTTATTTTAAAAAAATGTTCCGAAAGAATTCAACATTTTTTATTCGACGAAGTCATAAATGGATAACAATCAAATTTGGTATCTTATTAACTTATATTGAAGGTCATGTACTCACTTAGTTTTATTAACCATTGTCTAGACTAATTCCATTAAATTTCAGTGGTAAACCACATAATTTTCAAGAAAACTTGTCCATTTAATTTCATTAAAATATCACACATTTTGGCCAACCTATACGGCTTAAAATCAGATGAAAAGTCGAGTATTATATTATACAAGTATATGCTATATTGGGGCAGAGAGAAGGACGGGCTGATTGCATTAATTTGGACATTATTTAGGTATATTTGAGAACGTATTTTAAGTAATTTTATAAAGATATAACTCACACAACGAACTGCCTTATGAAGAATATAATAAGGCTTGTTAGATACACGAAAATTATTATATGTACATGTGTTGTATATCGGAATGGGGATAATGCGTATATATGGTATAAGACCAACCGGTAGTTTGAAAAATTTATATTAGATATATGGGGTCTAAAGGATGTATTGACCTGGGTTTATCACCTTTAATATGATATAATAATATGCTCCCTGAGTTTTATTAAGGTACACTTACCATTACCAATATACATATGTGGAGTAAAGTCAGCGGGTTATTCGAAAATCGTGATCGTTTTCGCTTAGATAACTCATATATTGGCCGATATATGCGGTATAAAGTAAACCAGAAGTTCGAAAATCTTTGTATTAGGTATAAGGTGGCTAAGAGAAGCCTTCATCCAATTCAACCCATGGCATACAGATATACTGGTATCAAGAAATAATTTGCTACGAACAATAACATATCTCACAAATTGACCGATATTTTCTATAAAATGTTTGCAGTAGGAACTGGGGTACACATATTCGGTATCTGGGGCTTGAACAGTTGTAGTGCGACATTGAAGATTTTTGGTCATAGGGATTCACCCTATTGCTTTATGCCAATCTGTACAATTTGTAGCGTAAGCCTTGGAAAATAATCTGTGCCAAATTTTATGAACATATCTTGTCAAATAAAAAGACTTTCCGTACAAATGAAGAGTTCTTGGAGAGAAAAGGACGTGTAGTCAGACCGACGGACGTGGATAAAGCGACTCAGGTCGTTAGGCTGAACAATTACATATGGACATTAGGGTGTCCCAAGGTATAAGGCAGTTTTTTTTTCTCGAAAATTTAATAGCATTATCTAATTTTTTCTAAATAAACTTATTAGCATAAATAAAAATTATTGCAATTGAATTATGACTTGATGCTGAACATAAAATATAAAGTTTTGTCCTGAATAAATACAGAAGATTTTAAGAGGCTCGAGCTTATTTAGTTAATAAAACATTAATATACCCAAAAAAAAGTAAGGAAGTTCTAAGTTCGGGTGTAACCGAACATTTTATACGGGAAATTACTTGAGGTGTTGGCAAAATTTTATATTAAAGGAAGTATTGATCCGATTCAACCCATTTTTGACACAAAACATACTATTATCGAAGGTTATTTTAATTTATTTTATTATATGAAATATATATCCTTCACATTGACCGATATTTTCGGTAAAAAGTTAACTATAGGCACTAAGTGGACCTATTCAGTACCTAGGGGCTTGAACAGCTTTGGTTCGATTTAGAGAATTTTCGATCACAAGGTGGCACACTTTAAACGCATTATTCACGCAAAGTTTTACCCCGATATAATCTTTGTTGCTTGATATGCATAGTGGAAAGTGAAAGAATCAGATGGAATTGAAAATGGTGTTAATGGGAAATTGGCGTGGTTGTCGATACTATAACATAGAAATATGAAAAGAACGTTATGCACCGAATTTGGTTGAAATCGGTTAAGCAGATCCCAAGATATGGGTTTTCACCTAAAAGTGGGCGGTGACACGCCCACTGTCTAATTTTGAACGCGGTTACCATAAAGTCATCTCATGCCATCCCAGAGATAAAATTTAATGTCTCTGGCGTGTTTAGTGCTTGATTTATCGCGCTTTTAGTAGTTTTTAACAGTACCGTTATAGAGGGAGTGGGCGGAGTTGCCACCCGATTTCACCCATTTTCACACTGTCGGTAGAGGTGCTACAGATATTAGTTCTCAGTGAATTTTGTTATTTGTAGATTTAGCGGTTTAGGGTATATGCACATTAAACCTATTAAAGTGCGGTACCACGCCCACTTTAAAAACAAAAATTAACTGAAGATGCCCCTCTCTAATGTGATCCTGTATACCAACAGTCTTGTATTTTATTGTAGAGCTTAATTATGACAATTTATTTGTTTTTGATTAATGGCGTTTTGTGGGCGTGGCAGTGGTCCGATTACGCCCATCGCAATACCAACCGTCTTACGTACCAATAAACATTTGTACCAAGTTTCATTAAGATATATCAAGTTTTACTCAAGTTACAGCTTGCACAGACGGTCGGACGGACGAACAGACAGTCACCCGGATTTCAACTCGTCTCTTCATCCTGATCATTTATATTATATATACATAACCCTATATCTAACTCGATTTGTTTTAGCTGATACAAACAACCGTTACGTGAACAAAACTATTATACTCTGTAGCAACAGAATGCGAAAGTATAAATATTACTATTTAATATTATACGAAAAAAACATTATTCTACAAATTTTCTTTTCAAGGTTGTTTATTACAGTCAGGTGTAAATAAGTAAACAATTTTTGACCGATATGTAGGCTAGATGTTTTTTTTTTTCTTGTAAAACATTAATGGAAATTATTAATTTATTTAAAACAAATATATAAAAGAAACAACATTTATTATTTACGGAAACTTACCAAACAATGAACACACTTCCTTAGATGGGATATAGCGCTTACCACGGGTTGACGGATTCTCTTTGGGTATATATTTTCAACCTTTTTTATACCCTGAACAAGGTATATTATTGTTTTGCCATGAAGTTTGCAATACCCAGAACGAAACGTCGGAGACCATATACAATATATACATAAATGATCAGCATGATGAGCTGAGCTGATTTAACCATGTCCGTCTGTCTGTCTGTATATACTTGTATGTATACGAACTAGTCCCTCAGTTTTTAAGATATCGATCTGCAACTTTGCACATGTTCTTTCCTCACTAAGAAGCTACTCATTTGTCGGAACGGCCAATATCGAACCACTATAGCATATAGCAGCAATACAAACTGAACAATCGGAATCAATTGCTTGTATAGGAAACTTTTTTATTTGGCCAGGTATCTTCATGAAATTAGATCGGAATCAAGTTCTTGTAAGGAACCTTTGTATTATAGCTTCGGTGCAACGTTTTTTCTTGTTATATAATTTCTTAGTTCACAGACAGCTTATTCATCGATTAAATACCATTTATTGTGGAGATATTATTGTAATGCAGCTTTCAAGACCTTTGTATCAATTTTTCTAATGTCTTCATTGACTTCAAATAGCACATATCCTGATAAGGTGCTCTTAGGGCCACAATACATTCTAGCCATGGCTTAAAGTAGGATGTCACGATGAACAAGCAAATATCGAACTTATATTTGTCGTTAAGTTGAGCGCTAAGAAATGCTACCACATTTTTAGTGCATAAATCACGCTCGCCATCCACCTTACTTGGTGCAAGGTACTTGGAAGTCTAATTTTAAATTTTCCTCCACCTAAAAATATCACTGAGAGCTCAATTAGTTCTCGATAGTCATCTCAGACTATATATTTCAGCAATTCGGATTGGTAGAATTTTATCTTGATTTCTATTTCGGAAACAGTCAGCTGCAAAGATATTTTATCTTTATATTCTTATTATCAACTGTATGTCATTTGGATCAGCACTCTACCAGTTATTTCGAATACACTTTTTAATGTTAACTCACATATGTGATAGCGACAGGCAAGAGTTAGCAATTATCAATACATGGCAATGAAAAGCAAATCGATTTGGGTAGCATAGAACTGTTGCGAACAAGAACACAGGGCGTGGCGCCCTACTTCGCCGCCCCCCGCATTGAAGTGTTATGACAGTTATCTATATACAATACTTATAATACATAATACTTGTACTATAGTTGTTCGATGCAGTCCTGTCAAATGGGTAGATTCTTGGGAAGAAAAGGACATACCGAACAGACGGACGGAGCTCGTCAAGCTGATCATTCATGTATATAAAAACTTTATAGAGTCTCCGACGTTCCCTTCTAGGTGTTATTAACTTTGAATCAAATTTAATATGCCTGTTCAGGATATAAATTTAAACAGTGGAATTTGACACAAGAGAGTATGCAGATACCTCATTAAACTTGGTTAACTGCGTTATATCATTCATTTTGGATTGTGCCAGGCTATGTGATTTTTACTCCATTCCGTTCGATTTTATGTTCGGAAAACAGCAGCAATATGCATATGTTATACCTGTTTCCGTAGCCATTTTTTACCAATTTGTGTAATTAACTCCAAATAAATTAACTTTTAAGTTCATCATTCTAGAACCAGAGAACTTAGAAGAACCATTTACGTTCTCTGATTTGTTTTTCCTGCGTTTGAGGTGAACTCCCGATAAAATTTTACAAATGTTCGCTGTCGAACCTGCGCCTTCTCGTTCATTTACGTTCTCTGGTTAAACCATATACCATATCAGCTTATAGGACCCGTCTTATAAAGGCGTAATGTATTTATCAGAGAGAATCCCTGGTATTTATATGAATACCTTCACCGCTTCTACCATCCGTAACGTGGGATATCCGCGAAAATTGGATTTTCCCGCAGAAACAAGCTCTCTTACAAAACAGGGTTGACAGTCTAGATATTTTATAGTAATTAAAAATAAACTTGAATATATTTGAAATATTCTTAAACTAACTTTGAATACAAGTCGAATAAAATTATTTATATATAAGAAGACCATTTTTATACTTTCGCAACGTGTTGCTACAGAGTATAATAGTTTTGTTCACCTAACGGTTGTTTGTATCACCTAAAACTAATCGAGTTAGATATAGGGTTATATACACATATATAAATGATCAAGATGAAGAGACGAGTTGAAATCCGGGTGACTGTCTGTCCGTCCGTCCGTGCAAGCTCTAACTTGAGATATCTTTATGAAACTTGGTAGACATGTTTCTTGGTACCGTGAGACGGTTGGTATTGCAGATGGGCGTAATCGGACCACTGCCACGCCCACAAAACGCCATTAAACAAAAACAAATAAATTGCTATAACTAAGCTCCGCAATAAGATACAAGACTGTTATTTGGTATAAAGGATCACATTAGGGAGGGGCACCTGCAGTTAAAATTTTTTTTTAAGTGGGCGTGGTCCCGCCCCTAATAAGTTTAATGTGCATATCTTCTAAACCGCTAAAGCTATAATAACCAAATTCACTGGGAGTAAATGTTTTTAGCACCTCTATGGACAGTGTGAAAATGGCCCACTCCCCATATAACGGTACTGTTAAAAATTACTAAAAGCGCGATAAATGAAGCACTAAACACGCCAGAGACATTAAATTTTATCTCTGGGATGGCATGAGATGACTTTATGGTAACCGCGTTCAAAATTATACAGTGGGCGTGTCACCGCCCACTTTTAGGTGAAAACCCATATCTTGGGATCTGCTTAACCGATTTCAACCAAATTCGGTTCATAACGTTATTTTCATATTTCTATGTTATAGTGCGAAAATGGACGAAATCGGACTACAACCACGCCTATTTCACATATAACATCATTTTGAATTCCATCTGATTCTTTCACTTTCCACTATGCATATCAAGCAACAATGATTATATCGGGGTAAAACTTTGCGTGAATAATACGTTAAAAGTATGCCACCTTGTGACCAAAAATTGTCTCAATCGAACCAAAACTGTTTAAGCCCCTAAGTACTAAATATGTGGACCCCAGTGCCTATAGTTGACCTTCTACCGAAAATATCAGTCAATCCACAAAGAAATTTCAAACGAGTATACCATTTGACTTTGCGAGAGTATAAAATGTTCGGTTACGTCCAAACTTAGCCCTTTCTTACTTGTTAATAATTGAATTTTAGTTTTTATCTTATACATTAAGAAAAATTAATTAACTTCTATGTTGTCACTACGGCCATATCTTTTGACAAATTTCGTATGATACGGTTTGACGGTAAGTACGGAAAGGCGACACGTAACGACGTGCTAGCAATTCCGGTTTTTAGCAATCTTTAATTGCTTGTCGAGATGTCTCTTTAAAAAAACGCGTTGAACGGTGCATTTTTTACTGCTACGCGTTAACGCCGACTCGAAATCCCTAAAAAAACGGTAACTTTAAGTCAAATTCTCACTTAAATTCTAAAATGCGCCACACAAATTCTATGAACATGAGAAATTTTTTACAGTAATTTGCCGCTGTCACTTTTATGCTTCACCAATGTTGCGATTTTTCTATTTGTATACAGGATTTTTCAAACATTTAGTTTTTAGTTCTAATTTTTCATAATGTACAATCTAAAAACTAAAATCCAGCTATTAAAAATGATCTACCTATTTATAAATAAATGTATTCGACTGTGATTTTGAGTTATTTTAAAAATATTTCAAATATATTCAAGTTTATTTTTTAATTACTATAAAATATCCAGACTGGCAACCCTGCATTGCAAAAGATTGCACTCACAGCTCAGCCCGTAGAAACAAGTAAAAATCCAGTTTTCGCGGATATCCTACCGTACGGTCTGTAAAAGCGGCGGTGAGTGGTCATTTACATTGCGCTCTCATGAGATAGGTCGTATCAGCTGATCGGACCACGGTTTTGCGTCGGTGACTGTTTGAAGCATTACTTGGGGACGGCAGTCAGTTGCATACTTTTACGCTATGGAATGAACGTATTGTGATTGCAACAGAAAACATTATAATTATACATAGTATACGTTGTCTGCGTGCACTATCATTCAAGATCGTAGCTTATCACATTCGAAGATAAAAACTTGCCGTTTGTAACCTGCTGGACAGTGCCTTAATAACCTTACATAATTTATATTAAGTATGAGTCAATTATCGAAACGTAAGTAAAATATAATTATATAAATTTGACATCTAACATGCACCAGGGAACGTTGAATATTTTAGACGTTCTCTGCATGCACAACATTTGTATATGCTCTTAGAGATTATGCGATTGGTTCTACTTCAATTGAAAGTTGGGGAGGATAAATCGTCGAACATACAGAATGCTGTTGACAAAATTTCTCAAGCTGTACATGAATATAAACCTCGCTTGGTGACTTTGCCTGAATGTTTTAATTGTCCTTATGGTACCAAATACTTCAGGAAATACTCTGAAACAATACCAGATGGTTACACTTCACAGCAGCTTTCTGCCACCGCAAAGGCTCATGGTATTTATATTATTGGAGGAACGATACCAGAACTAGGCGAAAATGATCGCATTTATAATACTTGCACTATTTGGGACCCGACTGGAAAATTGATTGCGAAATATCGTAAAATGCATCTTTTCGATATTGATATTGAAGGAGGAATTAAATTCAAAGAATCAGAAACCTTAACTGCGGGTACCAATTTTACTGTGATAGATGTAGACGGCCATAAAATTGGTGTTGGTATCTGCTATGATATACGTTTTGAAGAGCTGGCTCGAGTATATCGCAACGAAGGTAGTACCTCAAACAATATATTTATCAATATGTATATTATCTAAACAATTTTATGTACTCTAATTAAAGGTTGTGAGATGATAATCTACCCCGGTGCATTTAATATGACTACAGGTCCCTTACATTGGGAGCTTTTGCAACGTTCGCGAGCCAACGACAATCAATTGTATGTTGTAACGACATCGCCTGCTCGTGATGAAAATGCTGAATATGTGGCTTGGGGTCACTCAACTGTAGTTAATCCATGGGGGCAAATTTTAAAACAAGCTGCTCATAGCGAAGATTTAATTTCAGTTGATATTGGTAAGATAATATATAATATAAATATATATGGGCAAATGTCAAAATTACGGCGTGTACGTTTCCAGATTTTTCAGTCGTAGAACAAGTTCGTGCACAAATTCCAACTTTCAATCAACGCCGCTTGGATATGTATATAACAAAACGTTTAAAATAAAATTTTGTCTGGATGTGGTTTGGTTACTGAGTGATATATTTGGATTTGTAAGTATGTCGCTCACTGAAATCCTAACTTCACATGTCGTAATTTTAAATTAAAAATAAAAAAATTTTTACAGATTTTCGAACCAAGCAGATAAAATATAATTTTCCAATTGTGAAGTTACAATTGTAATAAAATGAGATAAAACTATACTGGCTGAGCTATACAACCTTATATCTTCTACATATGTATATAAAGAAAAATACGTGTCCCATTTTCTCCGGGATAAACTTCTAAACTACTGAACCGATTTTAATAAAATAATTCAACTTTTAAAAGTAAAACAATTCATAAATAAAAAAAAAATATTTCTAAACATAAGCAATTCTGATAAATTTAAAAAAAAAAAATATATATATATACATAATGTACGAGATTTTTGCTAGTAGTGAGGAGGTTTTCTATGTTATTGTAATGGTTGAAGGGGTTTTATTATGTATATATACATATATGTATATACAGTCACGTACAGTCGCTTTTCTCCAGCTTCTCATAAGATTTTTCAGCAACAAAATAAAGTTCCGAATTTGGCCGTAGGGGAAATAAATGATTCTCTGCCAAACACACTGCAAAACCGTTCTGACCGTCAATCCTTGGCCATCGTTTGCGCCGTTCACCGCGATTCGACCACGACATTTGACGTTGTCGTAAGTGACCCACTTTTCATCACCAGTAACCGACCACTTGAAAAAGGAATTGATTTGATTCGAATCCATTATCAAAGACCCGGCTGTTGTGGGAAATTGTATCGAAACAGTGCTTAATTTAGTACGACATGTACTCGACGATTTCAATAAATATATCGATATTTTCTCGACATTGGCCTTCCACAACGATAGGACCAGAACCGTGCGTAGCGGTTGGTCCACACACCATTAAAGAGCTGCTCCGTAAAGAGGAAAGAGCAGGCAGGGAGAGACATTGGCAACATCTCCAAGGTATGCGCCATGCCAGGTTGCTAATGGGGGGTTATAACCTCAGACGGTTTAAAACCGTAATCAATCTCCCGAGGAACAAATTCCGTCTACTGGTCGCGTTCTACACCGGACATTGCAGGCTCAACAACCATTTATTTAACATGGACTTCGTCTACTCTGAAAACTGCCGGTTCTGCGACATGGAGTCTGAAACCCCAGAACACCTACTAGTGGACTGCACAGCAGTCTGCAGACGTAGAGTTAAGGCCCTGGGATCCATGTTTCCAAACAGGGATCGCATTGCTTCACTAGTATATTGGAGTTCATCAATATGCTGGGGCTAGATGAGTCGCTGTGACTTAGGGGAGGGCACAATAGACCATAGGTCGCAGTGCATACCTCAATCATTATCTATTCTATTCTATTCCACAACGTAATGAACTTTGACATCAAAATTACCGGAACGGAATATACGAAACCAAAAATGCATTGATATGGTAGCAGAACCATAAACACTACTTACAATTACTAAAGCCATATTTTGGTAAAATAATGGCTTTCTTTTTACTAGACCTTGTATGTACATTGAGGCAATCGAATTTATGAAGATGTTGTTCTTAAAAGTGTATTTTTAAAAATAAATACCCTTGCATTTCTTTGGTAAGCCTGAAATATTCACCTCCAACATTAAAAATTTACAACAGCTGTATGTACAACTTGAGAAGTTAAAACACCATATTCGTGGTGTAACGTGTAACGTGAATTGACCATTTAATTGTATCTAATATCGTCTGTACAAGTAAACAAATTTTATTAGAACCATATTCAGGTATAAATAATAAAATTTAAATTGCTAAAAAAAATAGAAAATATTCTCTATAAAACACTGCCTTTTTAGAACCATATTCAGGTATAAATAATAAAATTTAAATTGCTAAAAAAAATAGAAAATATTCTCTATAAAACACTGCCTTTTTAGATTCGGTAATGTTTTAATTTCGTGTAATAACACGATTTCAACAACAACATTCCTATTATGATAATTATTAATGATTACAATTACAAAAAATTTTCACATCTGTCTTTAATTATGTATACAACCTTATAAAATAATTAAGTTTAAAACTTTTCTACTCGGAAGAAAACATCTCACTTAACTTTGTGTATTTATTCCACTATATGGTCGCTGGACTTGTCCAAAAAGCGCTTTTATCGCTTCATCCGTAGCCATTAAAGGCTGACTAATGAATTGTAAGGACTTTACAGCATATTTTTCAGCATCACAAAGCGGATTTTTACTAGTGCTCAAAATCTCTATGTCACCTTCGGGTATTCCAACACCAGTGTGTAAAACCATTTGATGTACGATATTTAAATTTTCCGCACTAAGGTTAATTACATCAGTACTTGGAAGGTTTAGATAACGTATCTTTGCAACAAATTTTAAATTTTTTAAGATTTCTAACTGCATTTCTCGGATTTGATGAGTTGCGTGGAGTAATCGCTTTGTGGATTCTTCTAATATTTGGTTCTTCTGCATTAGGTCAGCTTTCCATCGTGCTAGTTCTTCTACCATTACGCTACTAGCAAGAAATTTGGAACGCCACACTTCACACTGGCTCGCAAGAAACTCAATTTGCTCCTAGTTGAAATATTTACTTTTTTAAATTAATTTTGATTAAGAAGTTGGCATGTTTAAAAGAAACGTACCGTATGTGTTGTTGAATTTTTCGCGGTATCTAACAACGCGCGTGCCAACTGAAGTTTGTCTTCGGTGAGCACGTTAACATGTGACTGCATATCTTCCCCTACAGATGCTACCAACAAGTTTTTTAATTCGGAATTAACTTGGGTTTGAAATCTAAATTGTCCTTGGTAATAATCTCGTTCCTCTGTAATTTTCCTGAGTTCTTCTCTTAGTTTCTCAAATTTAACATCCAAAGAACTGTTACCACAATATTCTTCGCTGCTCTTGTCCCCTAATTCTTTTGAACGCATTGTTGACATTTGACTTACTAGTACTCCAATATCTAAATTGTTTTTATTTTTCATCGTTGTTTTTGGGTTTGGTGTAGATACGATGAAACTAGTAGCGCCTGTATATGGCTCATATGGTACAAATTTTGGAGGCTTATTTTTCTTATGTGTGCCCGTGGCTTTAGATGGTTTGATTAAATGAGGAATCATTTGAATCAATTTACCTCCTGGTAAGGCTGGTGCAAGACTACGTGGCCCTTCGTATCGGCGATAAAGTGTTTGCAGACCAGACTGAAGGAATTGGTCGTTTAGGCATGTAGAAGTGTTATTTGTGGATCTTTTATGAACATTTTCATGTATTGTAGCCCTAGTTGGTTTACGTACAGCATAACGAGATATCAAATTATCGTATTTGACGTTTGCTTCTTTAGACGTATTAATTTGCTCTTCTTCCATTCCATCGCCACTGGTTCGATGTCGCTCCAAACAGCCATTGGAAGCTTCCATTTAGCTTTCTAAAAATTAAAAAAATATTAACGGATAATTAACGCACAATTCAATAAAATTTTGCGGATAGATTTAGTAGATGATCTGTTGAATATGCAATCATTGTATAAATTACTAACTTTAACAATATATAAGATATGTTAAATGGAAATCGCTGTAGTCTAATAGGTCGGCGGCTACACGCTCAATATAAATAGAAGTCGATTCAGAATCGCGATATTTATTGAAGGTATAGAATGCAATATTGATGTATTGCGATCCGTTTCCCAAAATGTTTAAATATTTTGAAATCCGAATCGCGGATGGTGGTTCGCGCCTTAAACGTTCAATACTGATCGCCCTGATCCACGATATTTTCTATGTAAATTATGATACGACGGAACAAATTATTAAAAATGATTAAAAAACATTCAAATTTTCTTAAAATTGTATTATTGATTTGTGAATTCGGTAAAACTTTACTATACCGTCCCAGGCTTTCGGGGATAAAATTAGTATGAGCGGATAGAGGAGATCCTCCACTGGTGTTTTGCCATTCACAACCATTTTGTTATTGTCAAAATTAATAAAATTTAAGAATGATTTAAATATTGAAATAAAGCTATTTTTGCAGCATCTAATATAAAAAAATGTCTAAAAACGAATTAGTCAAGTGTTAGTAGATATAAAAGTGAAAGATATAAGTTATAATTCATATTAAATCGCAAAAATACGTATTTAACATAGTTGAAATTTTCAACTTTAAACGTAAATATCTCGAAAACTATCAGTTTCCCGCGTATTTTTGATCTGGAGGATCTCCTCTATCCGCCCATACCCATTTTATCCCCGTAAGCCTGGGACAGTATACTAAAGCCGATCCCGGAATTCTTTACAATGGTTGGAAGAATTCTTTTGATCCAACTCTTTCTTTGAATATTTTTCTTCAAAACCACAAAAACATATATTCAGTTTTCCTTCGACATTTAAAAAATATATATAAACCAGACTAAAAACTAAACATATAATAAAGAAAAACTATTTTTCAACATATATGTATCAAAAATTCGAGTTATTTCGAATAAACACTGACTTAATTCACTCTCGATCCATTCATATGAATCACGATCTAAATAGCACAAACGCAAGCGCCCTTTCAACAGGCGAACTCGCTTCATTCATAAAAGCAGATACAATGTTCCCACAAGAAGGGAAAATTGACAACCCCGTAAATCCGCAAAACACAGAAAAAGTGACAAAAGTGGCAACATAGCTCTTGTCGATTTAAAATATTTGTCAATTCTAAAACAGTTTTGTAATGTATTTATGCTCATACATAAACAAACATATTTACGATCGTTTGTAGGAAAAGCTGATAGAGCAAAGAACGTGGTGCACCGAATCTCGATACCCACTTGTTGATGAATACGTCCGCTACTGCTTCAGCCTCTTGAGTAGGAATTCTGTATACTTCTAGCCAGTCATTGAAATAGTCCTTCACTACCAACACATATTTGTTTGTTTGACAATTCGCTCAAATGGTGCACCCGGATTGTACTGCTTTATCTTGCCATGATTCTTGAATCTCAATATTTTAGCTCCAATGTACTCAGCATAATTGGCCGAAACTGACTGATGACAACCAACCCAATAAAATCTTTGCTTCTTTAACTTCTTAGGTCGTCGTTATTCTCCAGTGGCCTCCACTTGGGTCGTTGTGCAGCTCGTTGTGAACTTCAGGTATTCTAACCTTCGAAACAACCACAAGTTTACCAACCAACTTTAAACTGTTCTGTTCTGCAAAATATGCTTTTGCGACTGAGCTTTCTAAACCTATTTCTTCACTCGTTGTACATTTGTTCAAATGCACTTTATACATTACACCTTGCAATTCTGAATCTTCTTCCAAATAGTCATCTGTTTCATCTTTAATTTTATCCTGCTCTTTGACCTGTGAGGACCCTTGTACTGGTATATACGCTTCTTGCTCATCCGACTGTGAGGCTCGCTGTACTGGTGTACGCGATTCCTGCTCTTCCAACTGTGAACACACCTGTGCTGGTATATGAGCTTCTTGCTCTTGTGACCATGATGACCCTTTAACTGGTTCATACGCTTCATGCTCTTCCAACTGTGAGGACATCTGCCCAGACATACGCTCGTCCATCACTTTCACCGCTGACAACTGTGCTGATATACGTGCATCTTGCGCTGCGAACTGCTTTTTCAACTGCGTTGACAGTCGTGTTTCTAACTGCGACATTCGTAGGGTTATACGAGCGTCTTGCTCTTTAAAGTGTATTATGCGTTGACATTTGTGTTAAAGTCTGCGCTGACATCTGCGACATTTGCGCTGCTATATGCCTTGACATCTGCGATATTGCAGCCAAAATCATGTTTATGTCCATAGCGTTTGACGAGCAAGTCTCTTCTTTTTTTCTATCTTATTTGTCTTTTCCTCTAATTTTTGCCTCTATGGCCTCTCGAACCCCACTCATCTAGCACCCATATCCCTATGGTCCGACCCCATCGAAACAACCTCCCGTTAGATGACCTCGACGACAACCAAACTATAACTTATCATCCAAGCGGGGAATAGGTAACCGTTACAACCACAACAGCTCCTTTTTCAGTTGTGGAATCTTCAAATCGTTAAACTTAGCCATTTTCGAACAATTCACTAGAACTGTGTGTACTACACAATCCAATAGCCCTTATATAGTCTTTAACAAAACATCGCCTCTAGAACATTCTGGCATCTACAAATTCGCTAACTAGGTAAGTCTGGCAATTTATCGTCGATTCGATTTTGTACTATCATCCGTGTTCATCGCAGTATTTATAGAATCGACACAGTTAAAAAATCTTGTAATAAGTTTTGTTGACAGCTATATGCAGATGGCTAACATTACAAAAAAGATATAATTGTCAATTGTTTTAGGGATATTGGTTATACAAGGAAATATTATTATGTCGTCTGAAAAAATCGATATAATTGGGAAAATCGAGTTAATTGAACCAACAACCGGGAAACTATTTTTCGAGCACAAAACTGATTTAATTTTCTGCCAACCACATTTAATAGCTTTAAAATCACAATCATTGGGCCACTTGGAGGAAATGCAGCGTAAAATATCGCGGCAATTACAAGAGAAACACATTGATGACCCTAGTGTAAATGAGTTTCACAAACGTATCTAAAATAGAAAAGCTGTCGGTCGTTAAATTGTTATAAGAAACCTATAGGATTAGACCCCAAAATGGCTCACTTACTGTTACTAGCGGTCATAGCCGCTTTACTGCTAGCTGGATTTTTACTTTTTCGGTATGGAAACATTCCTCGTCAACACATTATTGTAACATTGTCGGTATTAATGGCATGGTGCTTTTCGTTTCTTATTGTCTTTACTATACCACTTGATGTCACAAATGTAAGTACACATTGAACTATAATTTGTATTCATATGTGTCTATATTTTGGCTTTGAATACGATACGTTTTATTTATTTCATCAAGACTTTGTACCGACAATGTCTCCAAGAACATAACGATGGCGGAACGTCGATGGCATCTGCAGATTTAAATAACGCGAAAGTTGAAATCGCGTCAGAAACAAATACACATTGTCAAGCTCCATGGGGCATGATTCCTGATGATGTTTTCCCAAATTTGTGGAGAATAATATATTGGTCGTCACAGTTTCTTACTTGGTTAATTATGCCACTTATGCAGTCATATTTGAAGGCGGGCGATTTTACCATTAAAGGAAAATTAAAATCTGCGCTTGTCGAGAACGCTATTTATTACAGTTCATATCTGTTTATATGTGGTATTTTGTTGATATATATAGCTGCTAAGGGTGTCTCTCTAGATTGGCAGAAACTAAAAGCCATCGCTTCTTCGGCATCAAACACTTGGGGATTGTTCCTACTAGTACTGCTACTTGGTATGTAATGTATATATATTTTTGTTTAAAATACTATATCATGCGACTTATAGGCTATGCGCTCGTCGAAGCCCCTCGCTCTCTATGGAATAATGCAATGCCTGGTTTTACATTACAATACGCTTATTTTAAATTAGCAAAATTAAGCTCGAGCAAAGCAGAGGCGGAAGAAAATGTAGACGATGTATTAGAGTCTTTACAAGGTATAAATTGTGCCATCCCTAATGGTCATGAGTTACGTTCATGTGTAGAAACAATACTACGCAAAGTACCAACCGAACTTACTGAACGTGCGATCCGCAATTATAATCGTGGCGGTAATAACGGAGGCACTCCTACAATTGTACCAACAGAAAAGACATTAATACGGATTCATAAGCAAGTTATTAAATCGTTGCAGACATTACAACGTAGTGAATCCCTTTGGAGTGTGCAGGTAGAGACAGTTTTGTACTTGGAAGATATATCACGAAATATGCATTCGACAGATAGAGTATTCAAATCAGAGTTTCCTTCCCAACGTTCGCAATTATGTAGGGTCTTTTATAGCCCCTCATTACATTGGTATTGGGAGTGTTTTTGTAAAAAACACTTTTTGAAAGCTCTTTCTATTGTGACGGCAATCATGTCCTTCATGGTCGTGTGGAGTGAACTGACATTTTTTAATCGACAACCAGTGCTTTCTATATTCGCCCATGTTATAAATATTGCCAAGTATAATTATAAATTCTTTACTATTGAATTATTTTCAATGATTGTGTTATGCTATCTCTTCTATTGTACTTATTCTACGATTTTGCGCATTCGTTTTTTAAATATTTATTATCTGGCACCACATCATCAAACAAATGAGCATAGTTTAATTTTTAGTGGCATGCTGCTATGTCGATTAACACCGCCAATGTGTCTTAATTTCCTCGGTTTAATACACATGGATTCACATATAATTAAAAAGGTAAAATATCTTTTATAATTTAATTAGAAGAACTAAATAATTGATTGCTTTATAGAGGATTCTCGAAACATACTATACCCAAATAATGGGTCACATGGACGTTTTAAGCATAATTTCCGATGGTTTCAACATTTACTTTCCAATGTGTATGTTGGCATTTTGCCTAGCTACTTGGTTTAGTTTGGGTAGTCGTATTTTAAATGCTATGGGGTTTCAACAATTCCTTCAAAATGAAAATATTGCCACAGAGTTGGTTCAAGAAGGCAAAGATTTGATTGCGAGGGAAAAGCGTCGTCGTCTGCGCGCAGAGGATGCGATGTCACGACGTAGAGATCCGACATCTGTTACGAATGAATATATTGCTAAATACCGTAATTTAGCTGGAACCACCGCGCAAGTTGGTCCAATTGGTCCTTTACGCACACCAACGGATGGACTTTTGTGTGATGGTGACCGAATAGGATATGAAACTGTTTCACCGCCGTTAAACACTCGTATCTCACCAATTGGAGTGCCGCGCAGTCTATCAGAAGAAATAAATGAACGTTTCGGAGTTAGTACTCATCTGGAAATTGGTTTTAAGGGCGTCTCACAACCCTTAACGAACGTCGAGAAGAACTCAGATAGTTTCAAAGACGTTACGGATGAACGTGTAGGATCTCCGATTCGTGGTCTTTTCGATGATGTTTGATAAATAGTAGAATCGTATTATTAATGAAGCTAGATTATAGGTGGTATACTATATTCCAAGCAGAATTGAATGGCAATGCTGCTGCTAATTAAAATGTATAACTATTTCAATCATTACTATGCTCAAAAATTAATAGAAGTTATTCTTTCAATCTAATATAAATAATACTCGATTTAAATAGTTGCAGTTTTATTTATATATAATGAAAGTAATTTTATTTTAAACATTGCGTTATTAAAATTGGTAGTATCTTATCTTAGTATCAAATATTGCAAAATCAATCTTTTAAATTGTTTATAAAGTCTATGTTTGACTCATGACAATATTTATGAAATTACATGAAAATGTGTTCTCGGTGTTATTATTTAAGTATCACTTAAATTTGTTTGTTTTTTATGTATACGTATCTTATACTTGTACTCGTTTATAAGTTGTCAAAATTTTACCAAGCCCTTGAGCTGGGTAGAATACCGTTCATATGATTTCAGTTATAGTTTTTTTTTTGCTTGTTCGTAATTAATATTGTGATTTTCGTTGTGTATTATCCACAAACCTGTTTGGAGGAAAAGTACGTTAATTGTCATTGAACCAATGAAACTACCCTGCAAGCTCACTATCGGTTAAATCACACGTTATTTGCTACAGAAAAAGATTGTGTAAATTATCCCTGGTGTAAATGAAGCGTACAAAATTTTGGTGAATGATATTAGGGAAATAGCAAAAAGTTGCACGACTCTAGTTGACGTATGAACGGAATCCACAACACCGAAAGAGAAATGAGCAACAAAACTTTTCACATCTGAACTCAGATTTTTATTACAATGCGATTGCCATGTGTTCTCATGTCTAAAATTTTTGCAAATTCGGTCCATAACGCCGGATCTCAATTGACAATAATTATAATCAACCAACTATCCAATTATTATTATTTTGATGTGGATGTTCATTATTTTGATAAAACCATATGCGAAATGCCCTCGAGCTATTGAAACTCGAAAATTATGTAAATATTCGGCAGAGCATGTGTTATAAACACAATATTTAAACCTTGTTTGCATTTTATCCATTGGCTAGTTTGAGAGTATTACTGTCAGCGTCGTAAGGTTCATTTCCACAACATTACGTTGTCGTTGGGGTAGAGGCTCTCCATTCAAGTAGATATGTATTTTTAAAGTTTCACAAAAAACAAAAGTGCGCTTATTTTATTTTAAAAATTTTTTGTTTTTTTAGTTGTAGCGATTATCGAATCCCCGCCTGTGTGGTAAGGCGGCTAATGATAAACTCTGGAAACGCGCTGTTTCGACGGGGTCGGACCATAGGGAAAGGGGTGCTAGATTAGTGGGGTTCGTTAGGGTCATGCGCTTACTTCTTCATTGTTACTCGCTGTACTGCCGCCCCTGTTTATCTTGGATGGTATGTCCTATTACGTTTCTTATTTTTCGCAAACTTTCAGAATTATATAACATCTGGCTTATTAGATTTTCAACTTTAAATACATATCACAGCATTCGGTACCGAGGTTTTTGCATTCATGTCTTTGTAGACCGAATTGCTGATAAGTGGTCTTTTAACGTTTTTTCTTATGATTGGTATGTGTCGTATTTTTAAGTTCTATTTTCTGTTTGAAGTCTGAGCGAATCAGTAAAGAAAATCACCAGATTTATGTTCACTTCTACTGATCTACACATTTTTAAATACCTTCGTTGAGTACTACATAAAAGAAGTTGATTTTATCATCGACTGACTGACGTCTATGGATCTTGACCCAATTAATCCCAAAGAAATATGTTTAATTCGAGGTAAGATATTTTTTTAAATGAGAATAATAAAGTAAAGTAAATTGGATATTTATTAATGGAATTCTTTCTGCGAGGAGCGATGCATTCGATTTTAATATACAATACATACATATATACATATGTTCAATATTATGCGGGTTGGTACTACTTAATTCAGCGAATATGTCACGACGATAATTTCACCATCAAATATTGAAGAATTTAGCCATGTTTTAGTCACACAATAAATATTACTATTGTTGATTGCTGCTGAGATTACGAACTTATACCGTTTTGTTCTCAAACCTCTGGTATATTGTTAATACAGTTGCCTTTCTTGGCTTCTCTTTTAAAGCATGAGAGGAATGTTTACTGACATACATGATTAGGTCTGAACGTTTAACACAGTTCGGTTTTAAAAAAATGTATATTTGTAGTTTTCGAAGTATGGAGGAATGGAATAGAAGATGATCGCCTTGTAACAAAGGCACAAATTTGACCGAAAAACGCGTATTGTTAGTTCAAATATATTTTGTATTGTAATAGTACAAATATGTAAATTTTCCGATATTTTTTTAATATCAACAATAGTTTATTTTATTTATTTTTAGATAATTCCATCATACTTGTATACATCACATCAAGTCACTCTAGAGCCATAAAAACTTAACTTAAATGGTTTAACTTTGCTAATACAAATAACAAGTAACAACTAAAACTAATAATAATAATTACATCACAGATATTTAATTTTACATTGAAATTTTTTAAAATATGGCGTGACCCCGCCTTCTAATAGGTTTAATAGGTATATCTCACAAACCAAAGAACTATTTCAACCAAACTTACTGAAAATTTATTTAATGTGAAAATGGATTGAATCAGATGATAACCACGCTGACTCCAGTGATGGGAATTGAACCTTGAGCAAATAGTGCCTCTGAAGTATGCCATCTCACATCTGAAATTAGTTGAAATCGGACCATAGCTTTTCAAGTCCACAGATTCCGAACATGTGGAATTAAGGCTCCATAGCTGATTTTATACCAAAAATATCGGTAAAACTCTGATGTATATTATTGAAAGTCAGAGATCATATTTTCCTGATTATGTGTGAAATCGGTTTACGAAATACTCCAGCCCCATATAGCACTTACCTTTACTGATTTTAGTTATTCTAGCAGACTTTATGCTGAATATGTCGGTTAGTGTGTAAGTTATCTTGATGAAATTACTTGGAAACCTGTACTCGAGTATGTTTTAGTAATGTCAAAAGTTAATCTGTCAAGATCATCCCCTAGCCCTGGTATAGCCCACAAAATGTGACAATTTAATGAAATTAAGAATATAAATATTCCGAACAAGCAAAATATAATAATGAAACTAAGTCTACGACGTAATGATTGTAAACCATTTGGTTTCTTTGGGAAATTAATGTTGAATTCTTTCGAAACATTTTTTAATATAAAGAATGAAAGTATTTCCTTGCCTTTGAGCTTTACAAATTTGTGAGTGTATAAAATGTTCGGTTACATCCGAACCTAGCACTTGCTTACTTGTTTAAACTAAATTTATTAAATACATAACTGATAATCAATTTATACAATAGTTATATTTTACTGATATTTTCACGTTTAAAGCGTATGCCTACATATAAAAGTCTACTAACTATTTCTTTCTCAAATTTATAAAACACTTAATTGTGTAAAGTCTTTTGTGTTAAATTACTGAATTTGATATTATAAAAAAATTCGCAAGGTCTCTTAACAAATGTTAAATGCTTTTATCTTTATATACATATAAAGATCTTATATACATATATACAAAATGTCTGCAGTATAATCTAACTTAAAAAAAGAAAAGGGTAAATTTTAATTTATAGTCGCGAAATTTTTGTATTGCAAATTATTTGTTTATTACTTGACAAATATTTCTAATTATCTATAAGATTCTCACAGATGGCGGTGTGAGGAAACCTAAAAGTTAAAATATCCCTCCTTTCACAGATAAAAAATGTTTCCATACAAGGACTTGGTTTTGATAAATTAATTTGTATAAAATAAAAATTTTAATTTATTTTTTGTGATATACAAGTAGGGTTGTCCTTTGACTTCTAATAACTTTTGAATGAGCCAAGTTTTCATTTTCACTATACAATAATTTGTTCAAATGCATTAAACATCGAAATGAAATAAAAAAAATATTCTAGTGTTATTTACGATATATGTGAAATCAAAAATCACAAGGCACTATCTGTTAATATTAATATTAAAACCACAAACTTTACAGAATTTTTTCTTCGACATTTCGGACAATTTTCATGGTATATAAGGAAAAAAGTAAATAAATGTATAAAAACGTTAGTTCTCGGAGGTTGTTGATACTGTAGGTGGACAAAATCGGTTTATTACTACGGATCACAGTAGTAAGGAACAGCAGTGATTTAAAATTTTAAAGTACTAAACTACACCAACCAAATTTAATGGAAATATTTCGTTTCAGAATTCAGTGTGTCCGAAATTACTAAAAGTGCTTGTAACTGCCTAAAATTAGCAGTAATTTAAACTGTGTGTAAATCGGTGTAAGTTTTAATATTGGATATGTTACAGCCCGAAAATGAGTGCCTACGTCCCCATGTAACAATGTTTTAAGTTCTCTCAGAATGGTTCTCTAGTATTCTTGAATGTTAAACTCTTACACAACATATTTTCGTATAAAGTTTTGCCAACACTTAAAAGTATTTATCCGGCTTAGGTCCGGAAAATTGCGAGAGTATAAAATGTTCGGTTACATCCAATCTTAGCTTTCCTCACTTGGTGTAGTATTAATGCGCACAGCAAAAAGTTTTGAATTTGGATTTACAAAAATTGTAAACGCTTTTCCGTGTCAAACTGTTGCTCTTTTTCCCTGCTTTCACTAATTAGTAGTGTCAAACTGTGTTTTTCTTCTAACCTTTGAGACGTACGTATATAAATGCTTTTCAATACGTTTATTTTGATTGTATATGTATAGGTTATTAGATACATTTTTAAAATAAGATATAAAAAATAATACAAAAAATAAAATGTGTTAAAAATTATAATGTTTTAATTTCAAGAAATGGATAGGATTAAAAATAAAAGAAATTTAAATTTAATATGTACACAGGATTTCTTGATATGATTTAGTGTTTTCTCTCAAACAAAACAGGAAAGGGTTTATCTTTAGTTGGTTGAAGCCAATTGTCTTCAGAATACTTCACATTATTTTCAGCCTCAATGACGTGGAAAGTATACGCGTGTCGGCTCTTTTGTGAACGATTTTGTTCACTTTTATGCACCACATTGCCATGAATAATAATACAAGTACCTAAAAGAAAGATATTAGATTAAATGAATATGTGGTTCCTTTACTTTACCTTTGCGTACGAGTAGTGGAGTATAACTTGATTGTGGATATATTGGTGCTGGCCGATCATAAATAACTAACTGATTTGCTTCTTTATCTGGATTTCGTTTGTAAAGACGGTGAATACCACTTTTATGTGACCCTTTTATAACTTCTAAACATCCATTTTGATTAGTACAATCTTCGAGTGCAAACCAAAAACCAATTACGGAATTCGGTTCAGTATGTAAAAACCAAGAATCCTGGTGTGATATAACTTCGCCGCCAATACCTGGATTCTTATATATATACATGCTTTGGCAAACAGCCGGCTTATTGAAGTTCAACTGCCAACAAACTTCCTTAACACGATTACTAAATGTTATTTTGTTAAAAATAGGATGTTGAACATGCAAGTAATGCCCAACTTTGTTTAAAGCAATCATAGGATCTACCAATAATTCACCATTTTCACCAAAAGCACCCTCTTCAAAAAAAAAGCGAACTTTATCACCTGAATCGAGAAAGTATGTTTCTTTGCTGTGAGCATCTTTTTGATTTACTGTACTGAAAACTTTCCGATTTTCTTGAGGTGCATCCAAACAAAGAGCACGGCCGGCTAAATAGAGTTCATCGATTTCGGACGGTGTAAGGAAATCTTCGATAACAACAAAGCCATTTTGGTTTAGCTGAAAAATTCAATTTTTAACAAAATTAGGTTTTGGCTGTAAATGGAATGTTTATATAAATAGTCTCTTCGCTATTCTACATATAATGTTTGAGAATGATTCAATCAAAAAAAAAATTGTGTAATTTAATTACATTGGAGAATTTTAATCGAAAAAGTTTAAGTTTTCGAATCGACCTTCAGTTCAAATAAACATCTAATCTTCGTTGCTAATTAATAACAATCTTAATTACTTCATAATATATATTCTGCATCTAAATAAACACATATCACATAATTCTATACTTCTACTAGTCCGGCTACGCGTTGCTGTGGCTATGGTATACATGAAATATTACAATACTTGTAAACTATTTGTTACACTGAAAATATTATGTGGAAATAAAAGCGAAAACGTTATGTTGAATTTTGAAAATGATTCAGAATTTTCCATTTGGCATTTTACTGAAAATTATTATTTTTTTTAACACATGGTTATGTTTAGAAATATAGATTTTCATTTATGAGTTATTTTACTTTTAACATTTATGTATGTATTTGAACCATGTTCCTAGCAGAAGATTAGGTAATATATAAATAGGTTTGTACAAACATACATATGTATGTATGTAACTGTTTTTCGTCCTACGGTTAATTTAATATTTAATAATATTTTATACAGCAACCAATCCTTCATAGTATTTTTATGATTTTCATCTTACCAGTTTTCTTTAAAATTGAAAATGTACTAACTGGGTAATTAGCATCAGTTCATGTACAATACCTCACATCATTGTGAAATGGGATGGTAGTTTTCAATTTTGACACAGCACGAAAGATTTTTAAAGCAAACGGCGAACTGATGTGAAAATATTAATCACTTAATTATAACAACTTAAATTGTATGTACAAACTCTGCTTATCTGCTCAGCTTTGGATTGCTCTTAGCTACATTATCACATAGCTTATTTACTACATTAGTGATAAACAGAGGCGTCCTACACATGTACTCCAGTATATAGTCCTGATATAGTATACATGTTAATGTTTGTACACAAAATTGAACTTTGAATTTTATTGTATATTTAATTTAGACGAAATGTATATACAATAATTAGGTTCGATTTTTTTTATAGCTGGACAATTGTAATAACATTTTGATAGTTTGGGACTCCGATTACACAACGGTTGTATCTCATAATGTTTTAAGCATAGGGTTTATTGTAATCGCAATCCAGAGATTTTTCAACTACTGTTAATTTGTATACATATATACAAGTATGTATGTATGAATGTTTGTTTTGTTTAAAATATTAATTAATCTCCTCAAAGTCTTTTTAACAGGTAATACAGTATTTGGCTTAAAACTTAACATGTGTCACTCTGTCATAATTCCTTTAATTGCGATATAAAAAATAAAGCTAGATAGATAGAGCTGAAATGTCAAAGCCCAAGTAGGTCAACAGCAACGGCATATTTGCTCTTTTCGACGGTACCTAATCTTCACTTTAAACGCAAATGTGTTTCAATTAAGCAAATTTATAGGTGTTAGACTATATTAAAATCACGCATATAGTGTTCACATTGATACCTTTACGACTTCGATATGCCAACGCTGTTTACCTTTTAAAACTCGTATTTGTTCTTAAATGAAATTTCAAAAAAATTCACTTTGCTTTGGCTATGTTATACAATACATTGAATACACATATAATAAAGTATTCAATATACTCAAAATATTACTTACGAATTAAGGCGAAAACTTTATTGCCGGTATACGAATTTATGGGATTGTACTTGAAATGTGCGGCTCAAAAGTTTAGGATTTTACCGCTGATGCCGATTTTTTAAAGAGACTGAATATTAATTCACACGTGAAGACATGTATTTTACAAGCTTCTATAACATATTATATATTGAATATGAAGAAACTATGGAACACACTTATATTTATGTACATGTCTTAATTTTTATTTATTTATATAACAACATAGTGGGAAAATAAGCAACAAACGAGCTACATCTTGTATTGACACATTAAAAATTTAAAAAGCCTCATTATTAAGATGTGGATTCTCCCTATTTTTATCGCTAATGTGCGACGTAGTGCTGTTGTTTCGGTATTCAATGTAATATTTGTGAACAACACTATAAACCATGAAAATGGGTGAAAAGCCAGTTTTTAATTTAATTAATACTCTGTAATTTCTACTTGTAATCCAGGTTTTTTCATACGACTATTTCCTTTCGTAAATAATTACTAACCACTTTGTAGGAGATCGGCAAATGCCAAAAACCAAGTTTATTTTTATATTTCTTTGATATAAAATTTTACCATTGTGGTATACATTTAAAGAAAACAAATATAAATGTAAATTTTGCCGTCACTAATGGCTGCATCACTCCCCATTGTGTAATTCTCGTATTCCCCTTTTATTTCTCTTCTAACCGATTTCTAATTGCTTTACCCAGAAACTTTTTGATATACCACATTTCCTCAAACATTGTAAACTATTTTTACTCATATTGTTTTTGCTTTTCTTTAAGAAGTGCAATTTGTCATTCAAGCTTGACGAGTTCATCACGAATTTTTTTTGCACTTGAATATACATACGTATTTTCACACTAATTTAGATAAAATACTAATTTTTATAATTCAATTTAATTTTCGCTACTTTAAACGGAACTCCTACTTTTGACGACGCAAGGAACAATGTGAATTTGGTCAAAACTGTTTAAGGCTTCTTAATTATACATACCTTAATAACTATTTTTCCAAACATTCCTAATTAGATAAATGTGCAAATATGTACATATGTAAGTTAACCTGCAGACATCACTTATTCATTTGTTTTACTTTAAAATTGTCATCGTAATGCAAGTTTTAAAATTATTAAAATAACATGTTGAACATACACAGTAGCATTTAAACACGTTTATATGTAATGAATCTTAAAATAAAATGTATAGTGATTGACTATACATATATTGCACATATACACACGTGTGTGCGTACATACCTCGTCTAACAATGTACTATGCATTTTTTGATTTTTCGTTCGCCTTTTGATTGAATCTTTTCTTTATTAAAAACGAATAAATCTTAGTTATAATATTCATACACAATTTCTTGTTTTAATAAGCTTATAACTTTCTAACGTAATTTTCAAATTTTCACAAATATTATGCGATCAGCTGCACATTCAATTTTGAACTGAGTTGAAATTTGTTTCCACTTTTTACTTAACGATTCGGCTTTTTTACAGATTACAGCTATAACGACAATAACATTAACCGAACATTAGCATCACAAGCCGAGTGGCATCTTATGCATGTAGTATACCACCCATACCCATTTGTACAGAACGTTAAACTTGTCAGGAAATATGCGCATTAGTTTACGACTAGAAGTTCGAGAACTAGAACAAAACTTCTTGATTCGTCAACATTTAAAGAATTGCCAATCGAAGATGACTACAAGCAGGTTATTTTATTTGATGTTTAAGTTTTTAAAAAAAACTGAAACTGGAAATTTTAATATAATATAATACCGCCGAAATGCGGTAAATCTTCCGTACATTATAACATAAAATCTTATAAATTTAAAAATATGGAATTATTTAATTTAAAATTTAATCCAGTGAGATCATGTAATTAATTAGTTTTATTACTAAATCTAGTTCCATATTCTAGATTAAATTGACTAACGGATTACAATGGAACTATTAAACTAAAATATGTATTTACATATATTGTATTACTATAATATAATATTAAATGTGTTTTTAAATTTGAAACTTAAATTTAATATTTAAACACATGAAACATGAACAATGATATATTGCATATTATTATTAATCTCACTGGAGATCAATGATATCAGTCATATTATGATTTTGTTATCTAATTGGCTCATTATTTTCAAAAAAAGATGGGAAATACAACATTTTCAAACAAAAAATAATAATTCAGTTGGATAATTGACAACTTTGTCTTGATTCACCACACAATGGACTTATCTGTTGTCGTTTTACCGGATATTCCATTCTGAATAGTGAAGTTGATGATGGACATCGATGTTTTTGGCTGATAATATAACACGCGTACTAAGCTCGATTATAGTTCTGTGCATTGTTTGGGAAAACTTTTTGCACCAATTCCAGAAGTTTACTGTCAAAGTGAAGGTGTTGAATGTAGTGTTACCGGCAGAGTTTGTATAAAATTACCAGACAATGAAATTAATGCTTTGTTCTGTGATTGCACCCATACTTATGACAGAATTAGGCAATGCGTTGTTCTGGAACCAACTGCGGAAGATTTTTCTGAAGAAGTGTCCCCGGTTCTTCAGAATCAAAGTGTGTTTCTCTTGTAAATCACGTTCGAAAAGGTCGTTTGCAAGTCGGTTCAGAGCAGGCAAAATCAATGTCTAATTATATACGTCCGATGTGAATTGAATGTCCGTAATAGTGCTTGTATTTTTCCCAAAAGTCCTTCGCCGTTGCATTCCATGTGTATAATTTCGGTACCTCAGAATGAAGTAGAGTCTTTGCAAAAGGATCATCTTGGCACAATGAGTAAAATGCAGTTAAAGTTGTTGCCGCTGGAACCAATGCTCTTGCACGTACTTTATCTGCTGTGAAGTACACGCGCTGTCCATTCTCAAAATGCCCCGCCAAGTGCATTACTGTTGAATGTCGTTCAAGATAAGATGTGTCATACTGCTTCATTGCTGCTAATGTAGCGTCCAAGTTGATATTTGCTGATTTCATCAATTGGTGCGGCAGCATTCCCTACTCCGAAGACTGCCATGTTCTATCTTTTGTTGACATATTTGCAAATGTATTTGATCGACTTAACTGAATTGCAATACACAACATTAATGTGTGCTTTGAAGTTATTTGATAGCAATGGTTGATATAGCACAACCCAACGATTATCGACTACGCCATCAACGTTTCGTACTTTCCGAACGATGGATGATCGTCGACGATAGAGTGGGTATCCGTCATTGCCAATGATGGTATCAGATACCAAGTTTCTTGGGTGTCGTTTCGTGCATATCCCATCAGACATGCATGGTGAATTGTTGTTGAATGCCCCACATGGACCATGCATCATATTTTTGGTAAAGACGTAGAAAAAGTCTGGATCAATGTCCATATGGGGTATTTCTGCTAAGATGATCTGGTCAATTTGATCTGGCGTAATTTTGTTGACCAAACCAAAATATGTGCACGCAGCATTCCTTTTCTCTACCATTCAATGGAATACATCCAGAAGTGTCTCTTTCCAAAAACGTGATGCTTGGTAATAAAATCCATCAAAGATTAAACTTTTTGTTTAAATACGAGTGCGGTAATGTCATGGCGGTTTGAAGATGATTGTCGAGCTAACAGAAGTTCTTTAATTTCATCCCATATTGGATTGCATGTAAATGTGATGAACAAATCTGGCCGATCTGATATAAATCTACTTCTCGCCAAAACAGATTTGGATACTGCAATTCGTCGTATAAGCAAACAGTTTCAGAGACTCGTTGAACGTCACGACTTCTGCGACGAAGAATTTTGTCGCGCAATTCGAATACTTGGCCAACCATGACGTTGGCCACTTCATCGATTACTGGTCCATTGAACTGCCTTTCGTGTTTGCCAACGGATCTTTTGTCTGCTCGATTTACAACTGAGTAATCATCGGCTGGCATTGGTTGAATGGCGGTTTTAAAGAACTTAACTAATTTATTATATTGTAAACTTGAAGAAACTTGTGATCTGCGTCCGGTAATGGTAGAAGCGATCCGACACGATTATAAATTTGCCCTTGGACTCTGATTGTTGGCATGCAATTTTTGCGCACGATACTCGGTGCACAGAACGATGTCTTTTGAAAACATGAATTGAATTTGCGAATGTTTTCCAAGAAATGCTTCGAATCACGTGTAACAACTGATAGCAACGTTGATAGTGGTTCGAGTGTTTCGTTCTTAAATTTGAAATTTGTCTTTTGATCCAGCTTTATAAGAGTTTTTAGGCACCACAACGGACCAACGTTTAAGCTGTCCAAGTGCGATCCTTCTTAGGATCGACCTCCTAACCTAACCTAATCTAGCAAGTTGTTGTATTTATGAATTGTTTTGCCTTTAACCATAAATAAATACAAATTATCCTATCTCCGTCCTGTAGTTCTTAGCTACCACGGTTCTTGAGTTCTAAATAGTGTAACTAACACGACTTTCTTTTATATATATAGATTTTACTTCGTGTTATCTAAAATTAAATATTTCACATTACTACATACTCGAAAACATATGTATATTCAAGCAATTTTATTAACAAATAACTCACTGACTCACATATTCGGCGTACGGTTCGTTAGAACAACGAAAATCATTATATGTAGTATAATATAATTTTACATATTTTCGGCATTAAATTATAGTATATTCAATATTATTTGTTTTGCTAAGATATCTTACATTTTGACCAATATATACAGTATAAAACCAACCGGATGTATGAAAATCTTATACTACGTAAATTATATCTATTTCTGGCATTACTACATATTATAATATTAACAGAAAAAGATGCCCTCTGAGTTTCATTAAGGTACCACACATACCAGCACCAATATATGGTATAAGTAGTAAAGTCAATCGGACGTGTAGTCCGATATTGACAATTTTTGGTCATTTGGTAACCGCACTATTCGGTGCTTGATTTGCATACTGGAAAGTGAAAGAATCGGATCGAATTTAAAATTGTGTTATATGAGAAGTAGGCGTGGTTGTAGTGCGATTTCGCTCATTTTTGCACTCTAACCTAGAAATTTCAACATAAAATTACATACTAAATTTAGTCGCTATCGCACCGAGATATGGGTTTTCACTTAAATATGGGCGATGCCACGCCCATCGTCTTGTTTTCACCACGGTTCCTATAAAATTTAGGGATTTGTCCTGAAGGAATTTGGTTATTGTATTTTAAGTAGTTTAAGAGATATGTACAATAAAACTCTTTTCTTGTAATCGATGGCATCGTACACATGTACACAGGTATCTACTGGAACGTTAACGAGCATCTTAAAGATCTTAGGTATGCGGATGATATTTGGTTATTGTCTGTGAACGGACATGCAAGTTAAACTTAACGATCTATACGCCGAGTAGGGTAGGGTTGGTTTAAAAACCAACATCGAAAATACGAAATCAATTAACACAAAAAGCAAAGATCATTTTATACTACAAGACAAAAAAGGATCATGTTGAAGTGTTTACTTACCTAGACAGTATAATATCCCCGGAAAACAGTGTAAGAGAGGATATTTTGTACAAAATTAATTTAGCAATAGGCGCAAATGCACAGTTACCTAAAATCTGGAATTTGACGCGAATATCATTCCAAACAAAAATAAGACTATTTAAGACCAACGTTGTCTTACTGCTTTACTAATGTGAAATTGCGCTTGTAACCGACCACCTTATTGGAAAAATTCAAAGTTTTGTTAACAGATGCCCACGGCGTATATAAAAACCCATGGCCAACTATATAAAATTGCGAAAAAATGTATAGAAGTTTGCCGACAAGCTCTAGATTTTAACCACCAAAGAAGCCACAAGAGAGGCCACCCTAAGCCAACGTTTAGGTCATCCCTGCAAAAAGAAATCGATGAATGCGGAAAATCTTGGAACGAACTAAAGATGCTAGCAAAAAACGGGAGCAGATGGAAATGCTTTATTTATGGCCCTATGCTCCAGTGCGAGGTACAGGTACTGACGTAGTGATACCAAAACTGGATAAAATCGGGCCAAAATATTCCCTAGACTCCATATACCTTATATAAAATATTTGATAAGAAATATATTCTTATTAGAATTCAAATTTCCGGTTGACTTTATGTATATGTCGGTCAATATGTAAGATGTCTTAACATTGTCTGTTCAATGTGAATCGGACATTAATTTCACAATTTACATGGGAATGACAGTGGCGTCATTTGTCGATAATTGGTTGTACTAACTGAGAAATATTCATTTTTTTATACATATTGTATATAAATGATCAGGATGACGAAGATTTTAATCGAACAATTTGTATTGCAGCTATATACTATATACTATAGTGGACCGACCTGAACAATTTGGTTGGATATTGGTTTTTTTCTGTAGATGAGCTTGATTTTGATCGATCAGTTTATATGGCAACTATATTATTTTCCGATATCGGCGGCTCCGACAAATGTGCTGCTTCTTATGGAGAAAATACCATAAATGTAATTTGGTACAATGAACGCAGAAGGAAGGGGCATAAAATAGGGTGATAATCCCGCCCACTTTATATATAACGATTATGTTGAAAACTACTAAAGTGTGTGAGTCACATAATAAATACTTCAGAAGCATTAAATTTTACATTCTATATGGTAAGGCATATACATATGTAATATAAGAATCTCAAACTTCCGGTTGAAGATAGCCAAATTAAATGAACGTATAATATAATATTAAACCATAGTTTCGTTTTGAAAATGAGTGAAATCGGCTCACGAATTACCTCAGTTCCCATACACTACCGTTAGTCAAGCAGTCTTTATGCTCACTATGTAGGTGTGTGTATGAATTATATTCAAAAAAATTCAAAATTGGTCTATCTATGTACGCCGCTTGTCAATTGGAACCACCAGATATATATTTGGCCATTGTACTTGTTGGTAGCAACTGACCATATAATACCACTTGTAGACATATTGCCCATTTGGTCAATTACGATTGGAGTTTCTTGGAGGCGCCATTGCCACTCGACACCAGCACTGCACTGCTATCCGCATATGTTGCCTTAATTGCAGAGCCAGAGTTTCTCATAAATCAGGCGAACGGAGGGAGATCCCTATCTACAGTATATTGAGACAATTATCTAATATTTTCGAATCGGAGTTCTACAATTTTGTTACTAATGTCAAGCTACTGATTAACACCGGTATGTGGGCGGATCAATGTTTTCATTATGCTTTACGAAAGCGGCCTTACTGGTTTACATTGGTATACAGAATTAACGTCTTAAACAAGTATATATGTATGTAATGTACATATATACTTATAAATATACTAATTCACTGGTAGCCACAACACTATTTTTATCAGCATCTACAACAATCATCAACCAAAGACAATCGACTATATTTGTATTTACACACCATACATATTATACATACGTATTATTATATAATGATCATTACAATGATATTCGTACATTTGTGTTTAACTTCATTTAAAATCAGTGCCTGCAAAGTGAAACCGTTTTTTATACATATGTATAAATATGAAAGTTTATATGTATGGACAACTTTTTATTCTTAATTGTTTCGCCTCTTTAATTCTTCACTAAATGGTGGACTTTTGGTAGTTTAAATTATTTACCTGAATAGCGGTATTTACAAACATAAGTACATATACACTTTACATGCCTCTGTTTTGCACTTTTAGAAAAGCGTATATGCAGCCTCCATTTTTATAAAAGTGAAGTGTTGGTTGCCGCCTAACTTTATGGTAAAACTTTACCTTTGCACCAATGTAAGTAAATAAACACATTTCTCTTGATGCACTTTACATCTGTTGGGTCAAAAATATCAATATTACTATAAGCTCCTCCGTAAGTACCAGTACCAAAATGCAAATCCAGCACCTTGGTAACAATAACATTGTGTTGTATTAACTATGATTGAAATTACAACAGCAGCCAAAACTATGAATATCTATTGTTTTGGTTGTATGTCTGCTTTCGAGTCAGTCAAGTAGTTTCGTAGCTTTGGCTATGGCTAACCGAGTCTGGCCAATACGTTTGATGTTTATTACGGTTTGACTGTGAGTGGCAATCGGACGTGTTTAAAAGAGCAGTGCGGGAACTTGTTCGCTTTGCTTCATCGGAATTTTATCCATTTATAGACAAAAACTTATTTCATACATATACTACATACAAAAAAATATATATTTTGCTTGTTTCTTCGTTGTTGTGGTGAGCATCGATTGCTTCCGTGCTTTAAGTTAAAACTGGTAAAAAGTTGTTTGAATATCAAGAAATTTGCAAATTAGAGATTCATAGCCGAATCTTCCTTTTAATACTTTCATAACAATCCAGTTGGGTAAGAAAGGTGGCTTGTGAGCAAAGTAAACATTTTTTTAATGCAACTAAGTGACTTTCAAATTGAAAAAAAATTAGTTTTGTTTTTTGTTACCCATATTACGCCTGCATTTACATCCATACATAACTGATATTCTCTTTTATACGAGTAGTCTTCAATGTTTCAGATATACAAATTCCAAACGTTCTTAATTGAGAAAAAGCTGTGAATGTGCCGCAATTAATGTATCACAATTCAAACTGTCGCAGTACCAAAATATCGTTTCACCAATTCTAATATGGCTCCGCTCATGCAGATTCTTCTAAAAGCCTTTATTGGATTAATATGCGTTAGAGGTGAGTATTCAACACTGCATTAAAACACAAACTAAAAGTTTTACATTGTAGAATTGGAGACTTTAAAAATTTAGAAATGGAAAAATAATACATAGGAATATCCTTATACATAGGTATATATTATAATATTTTTAGTATATAGTCAACCATGATTCATTTAACATTGTCTATCGCATAAAAATTTCATCTGACAAAGCAACAAAAATTACTTACCTTTCCATATGTACGCATTTATTTATGTATGTAAACTTCACAGACTTGCATCACCTGTTTGCAAAGCCATAGTTAGTGACATTGTCGATTACTTTACGCTCCCGCTAACAAATTCATATTGTTGCGATAGATGTAACGATGCGCTGCACATATTTGGTACATATGTCTGTAACATACTTATATGTATATACATATGTATATTTTAAGGTATGTACATGGTAACATACTTTTACATTTACACATAGATGAGAAAAGTTAATTGCGTTTACGCTTATTTCAATTTGATTAGCATAATACATACATGCATATATATGTGTGTATGTATTTTTTCCTTGGTTCAATTCCGAAGAGAGGTCTCTGCATGTACATACATAAATTTTGCTAATGCTACTTCATTTGTAAATTGTAAGTTGAGCTACTGCTGAGAGGAAATCAGTGGAAGTTTTTGTCGGTTAGCCATTGGCTATTCGATTTGTTGATCTCGTCTGCATGTCTTTTGTACCCTTGTTTCAAGTTCGCATATATAACAATAATACCAAAAAAACGGAAAATGTTGCGAAAAGTAGGTCACAAGCAGTTTGATGGATGCGCGACTACCGTCGACTGAATAAACAATGGTTACGAGACGACGACCTGTGCAGTATTTTCTGTGCGCACTCCGCTAATAAAAATAAATACGTATGTATAAGTTTATGTTTTACTCTGGCAAACGTTTGTACTATGACAAAATTATGCTTATTCTCTGTATAATTTTGTGCATTTATTATATCTTATAACAATATAGTAATATAGAAAACTAAATACGGACGAAACCGAACATCAAAACCACACCTACATCACGATTTCAGGAAAATTTCTTAAAAATGTATTGACTTCAAAGTCTACTTTTAGCCCTTTAATTACATTGGAGCTGGGAAAGATGTTAACTGTTATTACAATAACACAGTTAAGAATAATTCCATCCATTTTTAAGGAAGGATGCCACATATGTATGTATGTTAGTTGTATTATATGCGGTATATGGTATATATTTTTAAATCGTTTGATGATCCTTGAGTTAGCTTTTCCAAAATCAACGCTTTTATGGATTAATTAGACATAATTTTGATGAAGAATTTTAAAATTATATCGAGAGGATATTGTACCAAATTTGATTTGGAGACAAGAAATTTAGTCAATTTCTGGGTTCAGCAGTAGCGATTCAACTTATATATAATACAAAAGGATGAGTCCAATAACAAGATCACCAAGTTAAAGTTAGTGATATATGTATGTTTTTTACATCGGTTTTTACTCCCCTATTTCGATTGATTTTTACATTGGGTGCAAACTTAAATCGTAAATAGTGGCATCAGTTGGGTGGTTGCCCTAAAAACGCATAGTTGAGAATTTACCATTACCAACCATTAACTGTTGGAATCTTAAAATAAACTTGTTGCTTTGTTTAAACAGAGGCGTAGAAACATTTACCGGTGTTTGCAAAACTTTATAATAAAATATGTTGATAAGTGCCACCTCCATTAATCCCTTTTCACTGACACTATTTAATACAACTTTAGTAGTTTGTCAGATATGTACCTATATTTAACCACACAAATTGAGCTTAATTTGTGACTTACTTACAATTATAGCACTTTATATTCTTACGATTAACAGAATTTTATGGATGTGACAAATGTCCGATTGTGGAGATCTGCAATACCGTTACAAACCGGCGTATTAACAGTTTCTTGATAATTCTCTCAATTCTATTCCATATGCATGCAAAATTATAAAACGAACTAGTAAGTCATCGGAACCATGTTTTAAAATGAAACCTTTTTTTCTGTCAGAAAATTTTGGATTTCATTAATTTTATCTTTAATCGTATTATACCGAATACTAGGATCTTCATCCTTATGTTTGACATGGTATGTTAAGTTTGCCACGAAGTTTGTAACACCTAGAAGGAATATATATATATATAAATGATCGGCGTTATGAGTTGTTCGTCTGTCCGTCTGTATATACGCGAACTAGTCTATCAGTTTTTGGACTACTGATCTGAAATTTGGCACACGTCCTTTCTTCCTAAAGAAGCTGCTCATTTGTCGGAACCACTATATAGCTGCCATACAAACTGATCAATCAAAATCAAGTTATTGTATGGCAATTTTTTTATTGTGAACGGTATTATAGCTTCGGTGCAAATGAAGATAACGTTTTTTCTTGTTTTAATTATCATCAGGACCTTTCAAATTAGCTTTATTCTCGTCATGAAATATTACCAACAATAGAAGTAACTCCCCCTCAAAAATTGTGAACTATTGAGGTTGCGGACATTTTCATATAACATGTATATTAAAATATCCATGTTTGTAGTTGGTTATTATCTCTCACTTATGCCGAAGTTTGGAAAAGTATCTCACTTATGTTGGTTCAAGCCATTAAATTAAGATACCTCGAAGTCTTAGGTATTAAATTTTGAAAGTAAAAAGAAGAAAATTTGACTACTGATGAGTTGGTATGGTCAATAGGAAGCAAGAGTTTGACATTCTTGATATATTTGCATGCTTATAAAAATAATATAAATATATTACCACATTTAAATATAGCACAGTAAACAAGATTACATGTCAATAAATCTATGGTATTAACATGGAGGATCCTTTAATTATTTTAATCATGCATAGGAGTTATACTCACACATACAAGTATAACGCATTATATTCACACATGTGACGTGCAATGTATATTTTATTTAGAAGTGAATATTGAGTGTTTCCTCTAATTGCATATACATAGATATTATTTAAAAAAGAGGTACGGGAAAATAGGGTTTTAATTAAAACCATATACAAATTTCATCAGTATATTCGTTTAGTCATTATTAGTTCTACAGGCATGCTATTTTATTTTAATCTTTTCAGTTAACATCCTAGTCAGTGCTTCATTTCCCTATTATGGTACAAAAATCGGTGCATTAACACGACTACACCACGGCGTTTCAGGAGATGTATATGCCGTTGATTCTCGTACATTATTTATTAAAAACTTTAATTATGATGGCGAGGCACCAGGTAAATTCAGATATACATATACAATATATACACTTACCATATAATGTGAATATAACCAAAATGGTCTGATGCTCTTTTATTAGTACAATTTTTATTATATCTTTATATATTGAATTCTGTACACTCTCAGAATACATTTGAATTTGGTTGGAGTGAAAATAATAGAAGTAAGGCAAAAAAAGAAAAAATTCAATACAATAAGATATATAAAATATTTCGTATTCATCATTTAATATTTTCGGTTATATATGCTAAAGTATGTCTTTGAATTATAATTTGGGTGGTTTGAATTTCGGATATCCCTAAAATCACGGATAAAATATTGCTTCCCTAATGAACATCTTAGCAAAAAGCCTAAGAGCTTAAACGCTTGAGCTTTACGATTTTTTGCCAAGTATACATTTTTTGCTCTTTTATGGCTATTTTAGCTCTCATTTCTTAACTTTATCGAAAAAAATTAAAAAATTTCTTTATATATATTTTATTATATTATATATTTATCGAAAAATCCTGCACGTTTGCAAAAATATGTGCTAGTTTGAATAAAAATATTTTTTATTAAAGGTAATTTTTTAACGCTTTCTTATTTTGCAGAGGTTTGCATTCAATATTAATATCAAATGTAATTAAATATTCCATGGATTATTTTTTTGACTTACTGCATCATAATTATTTACAATTTTATACAGCGGCGTACTTCTACGTGGGAAGCACAGCAAAACCTAGCAACGAAGGAGCCCAACGTCTAAGAGATGAGCGAGGTGGGGTTACTGCTCTTAATCGACGTTATCGTAACAAAGATATAACATTACCGCTACCTGATGGGAAAACATTACGTGACTTTAAATGGTTTTCAGTTTGGTGTGATGAGTTCGCCGTAAATTTTGGTCACGTTTTTATTCCAGCTGATTTGGATTTTCCTCGCCCTCAAAAAATTGCATCTTTAAAGGGTGTACATGCTGTGTCCTCGGATAATATTGTAATTGTGGATGCACAAACGCTTTTAATACCAAACTTTAGTTATGATGGTGAAGCACCAGGTAAAAATGTCATATTTTAAATATTTTAAACCTTCAGTCCAATTTTACGCGAGATTTTCTAAATTATTTTGTTATTTAAAAAAAAAAAGATTCATATTAACGGACACGTATTACCACGTAGCAAAAAAGAAATGTCAGGTCATGAGGAAGTGCTTAAATTGTGTTTATTTTCTTCTTTACGCAGATGCCAAATTCTGGGTTGGTCGCGGACACCGACCCAGTCCTCAAGGTCTACGCATTCCCGATGAGAATGGCAAAGAAAGTCCACTACGGCGCTATGATCGCAAAACTATTGTGCTCACTTTACCCGACGACTTAACAATATTTGACATAGGACACTTTGGTGTTTGGTGTGAAGCTTTCACCGTCGACTTTGGTCATGTTCGTATACCGGAGGGATTAAACGTGCCACCATCACTAAAAATGCTTGGTATTAGCCCGCAGGTAAAAAAGCACGTGCATGCATAACGTTTAAAAATCTGATTACGACGATTAACTAAATATAAGAAGTTGGAAGACTACACAGCTAAATATTTAATTTTCTATTTATTTTGCTAATTTAAAAAGCAAAAGTCACTCATCTCAAAAAATATAAATATTTTGACTAATTCATGTTTTGTTGCAGAAATTACATTTATATGTACATGATAAATATTTACTATCCTATTGCAAGAGATACGACAACACACAAGACCGAAATACTGAAATTATTCTGACTCGAAAATATTTTAAATACAATACATAAATATGTATGTATGTATATATAAAATTTCTTGCATACCATACATATGTACATATGTGGAAGAAATAACGCTAATTAGTAGAATGTGTATATTTAATTATATTAAAAATACACATTTTTTTATAATCAACGCGCTATCGTATATTAGAGCAGGTTGATTTATGGTACAGGGAGCCAAAAAATTATTCTACGGTTCATTCTGAATAGCTTTAAATATGAGAATATGGGTCTAAAACCGGTTTGGAGCCAGCGATTTTTATGGCGAAGTTTATCTTTTAGGGATTATAAAAATTTCTTCCTCAGTTTTTGAAATATCCAAATGAAATTTAATACATAGGTGCATTTTGATATTCTATTGATCATTTGTCGGATTCGGCCAAATCGAACAACTATATTACATATATCCCCTACAACCGATTATTCAGTTATTTTATTTTCTGGTATCTTGCCTTTAATTAAGAAGGTAAAAGCACGTAATTTCAGAGAACTCTAATACATGTTAAAAAATCGGAAAACTATATAACATAACTCGTACCACATACAACCAATTATTTAGGTTTTTCCCGTATAATGCTTTCATTTAAAAAGCTATGAGCTTAGCGTAATTTTGCAGAAGAGACCTTTAATATATACTTAACAATGACAGTAAAAATATAGAAAATTGGACAACTATAACATACATGTATCACCTATTCAGCGAATTATTCAGAAAAGACAGAAGCGTTTTTCCTCTCTCTTCGAGTTTTTAATTGAAATTTATAATTCATAAAATGGAAAATATTTATCGGCTGCAAGATCAACTTTAAAAATGTTTATGAAAATACATTTAAAACTTATTTTATGATTTTTTGTAGAACATTTCCCGGAAACGCAATCTTATAGTAAAAAAAATCGAGCGGCTCTGTTGTACATAAACTAGTCGTCATATTCATAGATTCATATTATTAGATTCTTTTGGTTCTTTCAGATCTTTGTTAATTTACAGCTTAGATAATTTCTGCCATTATCCATTGTAACGGTGTATGCATACAATACATATTTGTTTTGTTGGCATTTCACTTTTTACAAAATTATTAGATAGGACTAAGTGGAATTGTTTTGTAACAAATTTGATGCATTTATTATTTTAGTTTAAGGCGTTTTTATTTAATCTATTTATTTTTCTACTATCATGATTATTAGTTTTTTCTGTTTGCGCGATGTTGACCTGAATCACAGTTTATGTTATCTAGAACATTGCTTAAAATTTGTTGCCAATATTTTCTTTGTCTTAAAAAATATTTTTAGATGTCAAACTTTGTATATGAAATCAATGTTCATAGTTACTGTCAACAAATTTTTGATAACACACATAATATGTGGTGCACATTTATCATTAATATGAAGACGAACATTATGGTCATAACAATTATTTTGTTATATTTGCGTACCTGTGACGATATTTTTATATAATTGCAGGCAGCCGATAAATAATCAAACCTATTACACTTAGTACAGTACATTCTAAGAGCATAGCTTAGTTTCTCAACATTGACTCTGAAGTGACATTTTGACGTTTCCAAAATATTTCAGATGCGGCTCTGCATTCCCAGTGGTATAGTTTGTTCGATTCGCCACTCTAATTTCATTCAAAACTGACCGACCATTAAAACGCACAGCAACTTTTCAGTACAAATTAAATGATAGCTAAACGAAGATAATTTGAATTTATAAACAGGAAGTAAACTTTGTACAAGATATTTTTAATAAAACTTTTAAATTCGCTGACATCACTTTGAGACGATCTGTATCTTCATGATGAAGCAAAACTGCTAATTGTCTGATTGTAGATTTATCATATCAGTTTGGGTTGGTTGCATTAATTACTAACATACTACTCAATGTATTGTTTATTGAAGCAATGACGACATTTACATCAGTTGTACTTGGTATGATATTATATAGAAAAATTAAAATAACATATTTATAATTTTAGAATGCACGTATGCATAAGTATTTTGAACTTGCAATTACAAAATTAAAACAGTCGTACCTTAGTTTTTGATTAAAGTGTTTTCAATATTTTCTTGTACTCCGTTTTTATATCCGATTAGCTTATCCACGGTCAATAGTCACTAATTTTTTCACGATATAATATATTAATTGTTTTCAACAATGTTATCTCGTTTATTAACATTTAGTTTAATTTTTTTTGCTCTTATTTTTATGGAATGTTTCATGTAACAACATTGACTACCTACTTTAATTAATATAGGGTGTTTAAGAAGTACATAATTTCTCGAAGTTGCCAGCTGCTAGGCGAACAAAAGAAAAATCCAAAAACTTTATTGATGAAGTTTCCATCGATATTTGTATGTAGCCTAGATGTACTCTTTGCTAACAGCATTCATTTGTCAAAATGTATGCAAGTAAATTTAAAGAACGGTTTTTGAAAAACGGAACTTATCATATACATACATTTCCTATCACAACTTGTAATTACACAAAATTGCGTAAGAGGAGATAAAGAATGCACTTTATTTGAACATATGAAGCATGATTCAATTATATAAGGTTATGTCGTTACCCCTAAAACAACAATTTGTTTTGTTCTCCTTTTATTGTGTGCTCTCCTGAGATTGTAAAGTTACCAAAAGCATCAAATGTAAACATGAAAGACATCAGAAAAACATAAAACAGTTTATTTGATATTAATGATTAAAAATATTTTTGTTAGAAGAAGCATGTTCTCTAGTAATACAATCTTATATCTATATGCAATTGGATCATGATATGAAGCCACAATAAAGTTATCAAATCTTTATGTCTACATCAGGATTGCGTTTTTTTTAATTCCAAAATTTTGGAATAAAAATTAAATTTTTATTTTTTAAAAATTAAATTTTCATTTTTGAATCCCGATGTTGAAGTTAAAAATTTAATTTTCATTTTTTAATCCAAGATGTTTGGGATTAAAAATTGAAATTTTAAAATATGTTTTTTGATTTGAATGAACGCGAAAAAATTTTAATTTTAGAAATTCTTTTTTAATTCTTAAAAATTAAAATTAATTTTTAATCCGGTTTTGTGATAAAATTTCTTATCTTTATTTCTTAATCCCACATTAGAATGTTTTGTTTCAATCCCGTCTTTGGGATTTCAAAACAAAAATATATTAATTTGGGATTAAAAAAAAATTTATTGAAATGTTATTTAAATTAATTGTTATTTTGCAAACCTGCTCAACATACAGATGTATGTGTGTATGTATAAAAGGGAATTATATATATGTACATGTATGAAAGAAAAATATTGTCTAAACCAATATGTTTTAATTCTAGATATTTACGATTTTACTATAAACCGTAAACTTTGAAAAATGGAACTTTAAGAATAAAATTCGAACCTTAAATTTAAAATGTAAAACTTAACCTACTATTTAAGATTTTTATCTTACTGATATACAATACAATTCATCCATCCATATAGATGCATGCACATGCGTACGTATATGTATGTATATGATGTATAATCGTTGTTTGTATTATCTATTGTCAATCATTGCATTTGATCTGGTTTTTTAGAAGTTATAGGTTGAGAAATATCACCGTGAATTCAATCACTTAATTGCATTGAAAGCTAAATTGTAAAGGTTTTATATACATACATATGTAAAAATGTAAACACAACAATTTATTTGTGCAAAATCCACTTTCATAAAACCCCACACTAAATTGTAAGAACAATATGCTTAATATTGTTTCCCAGTAATATTGTAATTTTATTCATTAAAAAGCCATTGAGAATAAATTATTTTGTTTCATTAATCCTTATATAAATATCTGCGTGTGTAACTCCCTAATGTCTGTTTAGAAGTATTTGCATTTAAGCCGCATGTGTGTATCTTGAATAAATTTTAAAATTCTATATTTAAAATAGCACATTTCAAGGATGTATATAAATGAGTAGCTAACGCATTGTTATAAATAAACACATTATTTTTTACTTTTGTATTTTGGTATAACTGCTATGTTATTCATACATTTATTTATTTTCAAATTGATGTTTAGTATGATTAGTTTCAATAAAGCTTTCTTAAAATTATTAGAAGATTTTCGTTTAAAATGAGGTTGAAATTAAAATATTCAAACAATGATGAAACTATATGTATACAATCCTACCAAATATTTAATTGGTTTTTGGAAAGTTTCTCAAAAACATACATATACATATATATATATATATATGTTTACCATTCTGTTAAGCTCTATTCAAACGAATGAACAGCTTTAGAAATGAATAACAGTGGGTATGTACAAAGCAATAAGCAGTTATGTTTATTCTGTAGCATTGATGAATTTGCAGTAATAAACTTGAATAAAGTTTTACTACATTCGACAACGATTAACTTAAAGTTCAGTTATTTGTAAAGAGTTTATACATGGTTTGTTAAATTTAATTCGAAGTGATCATAATTTGTAAATACATAGATACATATGTAGATAAATGTATACTATTAATAATATATGTATACCTTGAACAAAAGCGCATATGTATGTGAATATGGCTACTTTATATTTCGAATTCGTTTAATCTAATTGAAGTTCTTAACATGTATTTTAATTTCATCTTTTGGCTCCCTACTTTTGTACTACTTAAGGGTCAACAGAATGGTAATCACCCGCATACTCTAGTTATGGTGTAAAGTCAACTGATACAGCTGCACATTTGTTTTGTCTAAACATGAAAGCATTCTGTCAGTTCGCTTGTATTCACAAGATAGGTAAAAAAGATTTGATTTTTATAAAAATGAGGATCAAAACATGTTGTTTTACTTGATACATTACTTTATGGAAATTTAAAAAAACGTGTTAATTAATTTCGTTTAATACAGACCTCCACTAAATTTGCCAAAACGAAATAGTTTAAATTCGTTGTGTAAACTAATTTTTCGTAGCAATTAATAATAATTAATTTTAAAATCAGATAACTAAAAGTAGTTTTACTTGATGGATTATACTATGTTATTCAGTACTTGTTTATTATCTACAATAAAGTTAGCACTAAAGTCGAATAAATGGGATATCATATAGAAAAAATATTTTGTTAAACTTTTCCTTAAAGTTCCCCTTGTACCATCTCTTCCTTATATTTATTTTACTTTTTCAAAATTTTTCAGTCGAGATTAAATTGTGAAGTTCTGTATGATGATTTAGCATTTGAAGTGAGATGGGCCGTTGCGGGTGATAGTATTGTCATTCAACTTATTGCGAAATTAGGTAAGTTTATATAGAATATCTATACGTACTTATTTATATATAATTAATAAATTAGTTCACGAATGTCAAAACGAAACGTTTTTCAGAGTTTTCGACGGAAAATATTTCATAAATGCATTTAATATGCTCCGTTCATTATGTTTGGGCTCTGTTCCTACCTATAAAACGTTACAGATGAAAGCAACACCAAAATTATTCAGTTTAATTTTGTACAAGAGAGTACCTGATTAAAGCGACATAACTGTTATTCTATCTCTATTTAAGTATGCCAGTCTATGTGATTTATACTATCTGTGTAATTGGTATAAATATTTTGTTTTTCTGACTTGTTCAATTTAGGAGAAGATTTTCCAGTTGAAAACTAGATCTTGTTGACGTTTGCTTTAAGATTAATTATTTTGTTGTTACGCTTCTAATTTTCAGAGAGAGAAAGAGAGAGAGACCTATTTGAAATAGATATATGGCAAATCTTCGTATTTCTAGTGTTAATAAACTCAATTAATATTATTTTATGACATACATACATTTTTGGCCATGGATTCAAAAAGATTGCTATACTCGCTATGGCTATCAGGATCAGGAGTAGCTTCAGGATTGTATGGAACAAGATTGAAAAGAAATCAATAGATTTAGTTAAGATAATACAACTTCTGGATGTCGCGCATGTCGGTGGTTGATTTTAAACGCGTTCAATAGTCTTAATACTATAATTACTTAGCGTTAGTTTAGCGAAGTGGTTTGATCTGGAATTATGAATATTTCCGCCTCTTCAACTCTGGTTAATAGCTCTAAATGACAATTTTAAGACCTTTAAATTTGTTTTGAGCATTGTTCGTCAGTGTAATAGAGCAGTAAGTTAATAAATGCATTTAGTTCTTACTCATCCAAAATTAATTATATCTTCCTTCGAATGTCCCTTGTGCTCTTGTTATGTAAATTTGTATTGTTTATTTTACTTTATTTCTTTATTTTAAATACAATTTACCTCTACTAACGCAACAGCTAAATTCGAGCTAAACTCGAATTAAAATATTTATACTATCGACTGCTATATATCAACTATTTTATCTTAGATGATAACGAGTACATGTCCTTCGGTGTTTCTAAAAATCGTGAGGAAAGCAAAATGATTGGATCTGATGTTGTAGTTGCTTGGGTTGAAAAAGATACTGGTAAAGGTTTTGCAGTGGATTATTACTTGAGCGATAAATCACAATGTTCTGGTGGACTTGGTGTATGTCCAAAAGTTAATATTGAGGTTAAGTATTGTTTGACTCGTGCTGTAAAGTTTTAAATAAGCTAATATAAATTTTCATTAAATTCAAACACAGAACGGTACAAACTCAATACGTCTATTAAATGCTGCATGGGTAAATGGATATTCCATCGTCACCTATCAAAGATCTTTGCAGTCTAATAGCATATTAGATGTACCGATTTTATTAAATCTGTCTCAAGCAATCGTTTGGGGCATCGGCCCACTTAATGAACGTAATGAAGCCTCATACCATACATATTTTACACGGTATTCTACTCGAATTGATTTTGGTCGGCAGCCCATATGGAACTGTCCTTCACCTGAAGGCTCGAAAACAGGTGGCGAAAGTGATGAGGATAATGATGATGTTAATCAACAAACTGATCTACCGAATTACTCAACATATAGAGTAACTTCAAGTTCAAATAATACACAGTCTGAAGAGTTTTACAATAATCGTCCACAAGCCTTGCAAAGTCCAAGTAGACGCCAGGAGACGCGACCTTTACAACAAGCCCGTCCTCATCAGCAACCCATTCCAACACCAAAACCTACTAGCACCAATGGAGCCTGGGATATTCCTGCTATACAATGCTATGAGCCCGAAGATGGTGTATTTTATGCACAGATGGGTCCCACAGGAGGAAAACATGGTTATTCAGCAATAACAGGTACACTTATCGATACATATACATAATGTCATGCTTTACAACTTGTTTCTTATTTAGGACATGTTGGTTGGGGTATATCATGGTATATAAATGGATTACTTATACCAGAAATTAATGTTGTACGTGGCAAAACTTATACATTTGTGGTAGAAGGTGGTATTGATTCCGATATACCTGCAAAATACCACCCATTCTACATTACCGATGACCCTGTAGGTGGCTACGAACATAAAAGGGAGGAAGAAAAAAAGGTATGATATACTTGTTCATAATTTATATTACGAATAAATAAACTCTTTGTTTCAACTTTAGTGAGAATCAATAGTTTTTCATCTTTTCCATTATGTTGGTATTAAAATTAAAAAAGAAAATACCATAAGAAATTTTTTTATTAAGAAAAAATTCTTACTTATGTGTTCTCAATCTTTACCCTTTTTCTTTAATATATAGTCCGTTCGCATATTCGCTGGTGTACATCGATCTCGTTCTGGTCAAGTGTCAGCGACTGGAGTTGGACGACTTTGCAATTGGACTCCGGATGTTGATGGCCCACCTGCAGATGATTATCAATCGTTCGGTGCTTATCAACGTACTCTTACTTTAAAATGTGAACGAGGTGAACCCGGTGTCATAACTTGGACGCCCGATCGTAATACTCCCGATACCGTTTATTACCAGTGTTTCACACATCGTTACTTGGGTTGGAAAATTCACGTTCGCGATTCATGCGATGATTCAGAGTTTTCTGCAACAGCTTCGGAGAAGCACGAAGAGCTCGCGCCGCATATTAATCCTGCTGATGCTAATGCCGAAGCATCGATTCGTCATGAAACCAAGGTCAGCCCCAACGACAATTTTTTATTGAAGCACCAAACAAATTTGATTAAAAACCATAATATGAATGGAACTCCGCCAAAATTATCTTTTGAAATAACGAAATCATCAGAGATTACTAAACTGATTTCAGATGGAATCCGAGCTGCTGAAGCTCTCGAGCAGAGCATACTGAAAAACACAAACACCAACAACGCAAATATCAATATCAGTACCCTTCCAAAAATTAAGTATAATAATCCCAAGGATTCTATGGAAATTCCACACACAAACACGCAACATCAGCAGCAATCTAATATCAAACCAGTGGCAAGCATTAAAAAAAACACTGTTGGAACAATTTCTCTTGCTGAATCACCACAAGGAACTTTACAATTGGGACTACTTATTTCTACAGCAGTGCCAGAAATATTACATGGCGAAAATTATGTCAATTTGAATCAAAAAAAATCACAAATATTTTCACAAGCGAGTTCTAAAAAAACATTATCATCCACATCATCAATTCCTCTAAATCTTTTGCATCATCATTCACAACATACACAATCTCACAATCATTTATATAACCTTACTCATATTCCAGCACAAAAACCCATAGGTCTATCAGAGTTTCTTCGACCACCTCAGAACGCTGAACTTTTACATGCCGTAAAATTACCAGGACGCCGTCCACTTCTCAGGCCTCTCAAGAAGTTGCCATCTGCTAAACCTTTACTACCGTATTTGCCTCAACGTGCACCCCAAATTTCTATACAACCTGTGCCACAACCATCCGTTATAATGAGCCATTACCGTAAGACATTTCCTGGACTTTTAAAAACATTGCTAAATGAAAAACCATTTCCGATTCAATCTGTAGCTGCTTCCGTATTATTGCTTGGTGAACCAACGACTTTGAATGAACATCGGAAAAATGAAGCGTCATTGGTACATACAAAAACAAGCTCCAGTATACCTGTACCATACAGTGACACCGTACCACAAGAATCAAATACGACTATTGTTTTTGTTAACAATGAAAACCATACAAATTCAAATAATCATGATCAGCCTAAATCAACAAAGGTTAAGAATGGATTTAAGCCCAATTCAGTAGTAATAGAAAGTGGTTTTCGACCAATTATACGAACAGATGGTCGCCCTCAACATCTCATCATAAATCAAATAGCTCATCGTCGTGAAGACCCAGGATTGGAAATTGACGAGGTTATGGAGACGGACACACTCTTCCTTACAGCACAAAAAGTTACGCAAACACAAAATTTTGAACCAATGTTTATTCCATCGCCACTTGATAGCACCAATGTAACTATTATTGTACAAAACGTTGTTTCATCTTCGCCAAGTTCGAATCTAAATGAGTTTGGCTCAAATATATCAGAAAATTTCTCTAATAGCGCTAAAATCCACAATTCGACAATAAAGGATAATTTATCATGGATGGAGGATGAGCACTTAGGTAAAGAAGCTATTAACAATCTTGACGCTACGGTTACAAAAACGCCAATGAAAAATGATAAACCTGACGAAAATTCATTGAGTGAGCCGGGAAACCACAGTGTGTTTATCGAAGATATAATGTCAGAAATGGAGCAGATCGATGATGAAAATGACCGAGAAGCGCAAGCTGCAGAGCGTATAGACACATATTATCTTCCACCAGATAATCGCAAGATCCAACATTCCAGTTTACCAAGCGGCGCTGTTGTTACATTTGACGGGAAATCCATAGTAGATGGTAATTTAGTGTTGCCACCCAAATTGGAAACTTTTGAAAACACAAATCCGAGGCGACAAGCACACGGTCTCTCCCAAATCGAACAACTCATCAGAAGTACACCTCAAGTCCAGCCGTTTCGAGGAGAAATACCACAACCAGTGGTCGAGTTTCTATCGAATGAACGTTCACGAAATCAAGTCACCGGATCCGGTGGTGGGGGTATGGTAGGAGTAATAGGTTTTGAGAACCCCGGTCCATATTTACCTTTGACTTCGCTTTCACCACCACGAGTTCATTCAACTAAATTACAATTATTGCACTCATCTACTTACAGGCAATAGCGTAAATTAAATGTAAATGGTACCCAAAAAACCACATTGAATTTAAATGACTAGAAAATTATGTATACATTTTATACTAGCAGAAAATACCAATTGTTGGTTAGTTATATATTCTAAACCGCATTAATAGCATTCCAAAGCCAAGTGAATTAATCACTATTCTAGAACTTAAATCTCTTTTGTACCCTAAAAATGTTTAAAACTAAAATCAAGCACTACAATTGTGCTGTAATTAACTAAGTATGGCTGCCAATAATTTCATTACTAAAAGTTAAATTATAATGAGGGCAGTTTTGTCGACAATGCGTAAACAATATAAGTATACATACATATGTTTGTAAATGTATTTATGTATGTTGTACTCACAACAGGAGAATTGACTTTATGATGTATCTGCCCCATGGCAACATGCGATGATTTGAATAAAAATGATATCTTGCTGAAACTAGACAGAGGCTGAAAATCGACATAAAGAGCCACAAGTCAGAGAAGCACACTGAGGGCACAGCTGACCATAAATTGCTTCAATAACGAATACTGACTTGCGGATCCAATAACAGAAGTAGTTGGTCTATCCACTGCTTTTTCGTGAGGTAATAACTCAAAACTTGTCCATAATAAAGACATATCAATTGTCCAAACTCTGTCGTAAATATAATATTATAATCTTTCCTGTTTTGCTCTAGGGGGGCGCATCGCAGATTCAAAATTGCTTTTTTAGTAGGCGAGTATCATTCGATTTTCAGTATGTAAAAGTACTGACCATTCTTTCAGGCAGAAATTACTCATTCGAGGAGTTTAGTATTGCAGATGGGCTATATCGGGCCATTGCCAAGCCTTGGCCTTAATGACAATGACAATTCATACTTTAACAACGAAGCGAGGAAAGCAAAGGGAATGCCAGTACGAACGCTTTGCTTTCAGTGTTTATCTCTAATAAAAATGGCGAATATTGCTTGTCAAGAATTATAAGATAGATACAACTACTGGATGATTCTTTCAAATTATCGATACTCTGTTTGGTTCTGGCATCCGTGCTCATCACAATACGTATTTATATTTTCCAAGTGATTTTATCCAGGTAACAAATTCCCAAGAATGATAATACTATCAATATTGCCGACGACAATTATTTCGCAATATTTATTGCTTATTCAATTCAGTTGATTGAAATGATTAGCGGCCTTTACACGGTCATTTATGTTTGCAAGCATGTGCGGCGGGATGAGAAGAATGAGCGTGTAAACATAATAAATTCGTGTTCGTCATACATGTGCGATGGTTTTCATGATTCAGGATTCAATTATATAGGGTTTCGTTACTTCGGAGCGAGCTTTCTCTTACGAAATTTTTTCCATAATGTCAAAAAACTGTTTTTTGTTTATTTCATAAACTTTCTGTTTATATTTTGATGATTTTTCGTGACTTACAATCTATTAATTTCTTTTAAATGAAAGATTATTTTAATAACTCTTGTTGTCTTCAAATGAATATTACAATGTTTTGAATATGTAAAAATATATGAAGTAGAAAGCCAATTAGAAGCAACAAAAGTTCTGAGTGTGAACAAAGTTAATGCAACTCTGCTGTTAATGCATAATAATATACATAGCTATATCAAACTTAAGTCACGTGTGATAAAATATGGAGGAAAACAAATTTAAGCACTCTATCAAAGTACCAACGCAATATAAGCGTGTTGCTGCTGTTTTAAAGGCGGCACTGGAACGAAAAAAATCACTTAAGTCGTTAATTTTTGAAGAAAAACATGCAGTAGGTTTCGTCAATGGTTAATAGTTTTTAACTTAATTTCTCTAACGTGCATTCTTTCTTCAGCGTTTGCGGGGTATGCAAGCGATATTAAAGCAATACATTGACAATCGAGGGGCCATTGATGAAGCAATCGCACAAACGAAGATTTTAGAAGAAAATCCACGACTAAGTTCTGCTCTCTGCAAGATTCTTGTGACAGAGCTTATATTTGGACGAAAAAAATTGATTGGGGAAAGTAAACCCGTTCTAACAGTTAGCCAATATCGAGAAAGGCTTGAAGCATCCTTAGGGGGTGCAGTTTATGAAACCAAAAACGTAAAAGGCAAGCAAACTTATTATTGGGTGATTTAAATAATACACTTTAGGTAATTGAACAATGAAAAATAGCAAATTAAATATGCTTGGAGATTTAAAAGATACAGGCTCATCGCGAAAGCATCACGAAGGAAGAGAAGAAAAAGTCGTTGAAGATGGGCAGACTCCGCAAGATGTCACATTTTCAAATGACACAGGCGCTTTAGTATATTTGTGGTTGATAGTCTTTAGTATTCTAATGTTCACATTTCCATTCATAACTTTTTATGGTGTCCGATCGTGGCTGCATGAGTCATTTGATATTTCTGAGTTTTATGTAAATTGCTGGGCAGTGCTTTCTTCAGTGCTTGTTGTAAATGTTATTATTTGTTTATACGTTTTCAAAGCAATAAGTGAAGAAAATAACTATGACTCAGTAATGGAAAAGCAAAATAAGAAAAATATTTAAATTAATAAAAACTAACTAACTGTTTTGAAAAGGTTCTGATGTTTATTATGGGTTTACGTTTCTCAGTTTTGAAGCCTCGCTATGTACGTGTTAATACCAATTTGCTTAATATGGCTGAGGTTTTTGAAATGTTGGCAGAGGAGGAGTGGCGGAAAAAAAATGTGGCGAACTCAGGATCTTATAATGATTTCTTAGAAGCTATAACAGAGCTTGACGAGGATGAATACATGGTTGACATGCATTTGGAGGATCTGTTGATATTCCATTCGAAGCAAAAGCATTACTGGGCTTGCCATCCTTATGTAAAGGAAAAAAAGCTTATGCTTCAAGATAAAGTAAGTAAATGGTGCATAAATAATAGGATTAAAGAAAAGCATGTAACTATGTTTAGGGAACCTGTCTTGTAGCAGAATTGCTAAATCCACCCCCCGGCGCTTTCGTACTTGACATGTGTGCGGCACCAGGAATGAAAACCATACATGTTTCTAATGTTATGAAAAATAAAGGAACCATTTATGCTGTGGAGCAAAATGTAGAACGTTACAATCTGCTTCGTAATATGACTAACTTAGCTGGCTGTGAGATAGTTGATCCCATTAACGCGGATGCCCTGACAATCGGTAGTTAATAATTTCGATAGTTAACGTTTTGTAAATTAAAAAAAAATTAAATTACAGATAGTAACCGCTGCCCAAGTGTAGAATACATACTTGTTGATCCTTCGTGCTCCGGATCTGGCATGCAAAATCGGATGTCCTTAGATCCAGATGAAAAAGATCCTGCTCGTCTAAAACGTCTTGCTGGATTACAAATTAAAATGCTTTCACATGCTTTAAAATCCTTCTCCAATGTAAAGCGAATTGTTTACTCTACGTGCTCCCTCTATGAAGAAGAAAACGAACAGGTTTGTATGGGTTTAATATAGTAAATAATAACAACTTTTACTTAACAACTATTTCGTTAAAGGTTGTTCAACGTTGCTTAGAGTTAAATCCACAATTTAAATTGCTCAGTGGAAAGAAAGCTTTGCGCAATAAATGGAACAATGTTGGTAACGCTAACTACAAAAATATAGGAAAGAATTGTCTTTACACAAAACCAGATCAAGATCACGCCGACGGAATATTTATAGCAATATTGGAAAAGAGACGACCCAAGGAAAATGATGAATAAATTGTTTACATTTATTTTAAAATAAAAGCAAGATTATTTACGAAGTTCCAGCTCCTAAGACTGCGCCGTTCTTCATATTTGTTTCAATTTTAACTGCTCAAGGAACAAAGTGTTAAATTTTCAAAACAGATATTGAAATGCAATTTTAAATATCGTATTCACCGTTTTCTTTCAAATATTGAGTCGAAAAACTAGAAAATTTCGGTGCATTAATCGTCATCGTAATATTTCTACAAATCAGACAAAATTGGGGTTTCCTGATTATTATTCGTGTACATATATTTGATATTTAGTAGCTAGTACGTATATACTAACTCTCACCTCATAAATATTATAAAATACTTCAAAAAGATATTATCTGCCGAAGTACCAACGCAGTATGAACAATACTTACGCAAAATTTTAACGGTGATCTTGGACATAGCTGTTGCAAGTGAAAAACCATTCTTGGCATATGTATGTTAATTAAGTTGCTTTAGAGAAAAATTTAAATTTGACAGTATAACTTTTTATTCTTTCAGTTTACTAATTAAATTTATATACATATGTATATTATCAACTTTGGAATCCAAAACGATAGAAATATGGCAAAAAAAAAAGTAAAAGAAGAGGACAATTCATCGTAAATCTTATATAAATAATTATGAAATTTGCTTATATCAGGATTATTTTTTCGTCAAAATTCCATTTAATTATGGTTCGAATGAATATGATTGTTAGACGCCCTTTTTTACTTGACTTTATTACATATAAATATAATTGTAACATGATTTCACATTAAATTATTCCATATTTGTGTTTGTATATATATTTTTTATTAAAAATAAAATATAAGTCTTTCATATTCCATATAATTTGAATGCTTATCTAAAACAAAACTCAATTCGAATTTCAGATTTTAGTTGGGAAATGTACTTCAAGTACTAAACTTCCATGCGGCTATACAAAAGAAGTAAGCCCTGTTATAGTTTTTAATTAAATAAAAAAATCCTTCAGAGTTCTTTAACACGAAATGAGGGTAAAATATAAATTAAATGTATGCCCACTTTTACCGATCATATTTGGTTTGACTTATATATTACTTTTAAGTTAAGATAATTAACGATTCTACATTTTTAAAATAATGCATAATTAAAATTATAAAAAAAATAGTTTTACTATAATGTAATACTTTTAGTAAGGGATTATTTACATTCTTAAGTAAACTTTCAATTCACCCTTAAATGTTCATATATTATTCTGTAAGTCTTAATATAATTACTTAAATCGAATACGCTTCACGTGAAAATAAAATGAGACTTTTTCAAGTCGATAGAGAAGAAACATTTGCATTTCTTTTTCCATCTAAAGAATTGTAAAAATTTCGAGGGTTCAATCTTAATCTATAAATATATTTTCTGGAAGGGGACTTTCTTCTAAACATTCATTCCTTGCTTAAAGTACAAGTTTTTCGCTAAACGTAAGGAGTCTGCCTTTACTGCGTCTTCCATCGTAATAATCGGTTTTTGGGGGCAATATTTAACTGTATGTGCATCATCTCCGGAAGCCTTGCAAATCGGGCATACGTAAATGCGTAATTTTGGACAAAGAACGCGTCCAAGTGAATCACGTACTGCATGGCTCTTCACCACAGCTTCTGGTTCGTTGTTATTTTCGCAGAATACACAATGCTTTACTGCGAACTGCAAAATTATAAAGTAGTTAAAATTGTTCAGGTAATTAATTTATCTATATCTAAAAAGTAAATAGATTGCATATAATTTTACTCTCACAACAGGAATATTAGCTTCTATATATTTATATATTTTTGTATTTTATGAACATGTGCATACTTAGACGTGCCATACACTCTGTTACAAAGTTTACAATGCATAAGCATAAAAAATGTTCGTTATTTTTTACTATAACTTGTATGCAATGTCTAGTCATATACAAATAATTGCTTTCGCTTATTACCAAGTGGAAGTGGGGAGCTAAAGAAAATCGTATTGCGGCAATTGCTTTATATAAGTGTGGAAAGAGCGCAAATGAAATGTATGGGCTTCTCAAAAAAATCAAATTCAATAATAATTGTTTATCGAAACAGAAGTGGTTGTCCTCGCGTATTTCGAACCAATTCAGCCATAAAAACTGTTCCCTATCGCATTTACAGAATTAAGCACTCTTAGAAAGCAGAAAATTATGCCAAAAAAAATTAATATACCAACCAGAACAATATCAAAACTTCTTCGAGAGGATCTCCACATGAAATCCGACTGGCTACCTTCCGACAACGCGTTTTAAGCAAATTAGACTCAAAAAAATTTAGAGTTTAAAAAATTTCTTTGGTTCGAGCCGGGTCGTCAATACCAATCGAAACTGTGCGTCCTACTATTGTTCAATGGCCGAATCGTTCGAGGGCTTTTGTGTGCGCAAAAGGTGACCATTTCGATTTAAATTTGTACATCGTTCATTTTATATATTTATTATAATCAAATTATTTTTTTTTAAATTTATTATAGTTTAAATTTTACAATGGCCAGAACTTTTAGCAAAAATTATGACAGAAATAAATACATGCGTATGTATGTGTGTTGATTTGGTTGGTTAAGCAGATAGGCAGTATTTTTCGATAAAAAAGTTGTTGCATAGCAAATAATTGCACTTTAATTAAATAATTTCTTTGTATTTTTTTGGAATTTTCTTCCGTAGTTTCTTTATTTGCGGAAACGGATCCGGATTTATATTCGGCAAAGGACTATCAATTCGGCAGAATTCTGTCGTTACATCAACCACAGCTGATTCGACGGGTTCGGACCATAGGTAGAATGGTGTTAAGTGAGCGAGTTTCATTGGGCATGCAAATAGGAGATTAGTGTCATGCATATTTCCCCGCGATTTTGTATCTTAGGGTCTATTCTGGATAGGTAGGAGTTTAACCTGCTGCAATATCCAGCAGGGCAATTCCCAGCCAAGGGCTGTTATTTCGAGGATCTAACCTTGCTTGGATTGGACAATAAAAAGTGTTCCGTTTGATAGCTACATACGACCGGAAATATTACAAAGTACAGAACTGCAACAAAATCATCAAGTTAACGACTAGGACAAAGAAACCAGAGACCATAATCATTATAAGTTTTATTTTACCAATCACATAATAATGATTACTACATATTGAGTTTTATTGTTTTCTTCACCGGTAATCATTAATTTTGATAAATATTATAGTAATAAATATAATAATGCACAAAGTTAGCAAAATACTTTATAAGAAACCTGTTTCATTTAAAAAAAAAAAAATAATAATAAAGATTATTATATTTTATTTTAATGTTTTTGATGAAAAAAAAGATTATTTATGATTTATTATAAAATTAATAATAACCGGTGAAGAAAATTATAAAAACAAAAATCATCACCGAAGTGCTGAGATCGTCGAAAAAGGATTAACATGACGTTATCTGTTTTTTGTATGTCATTCTAATTGATTGATTTTTTCATTTTAAAATCGCAACAATAATCGTTACTTACGCTCACTAAAAGAAACGAAAGCATGTTGGTTTACGAGATATCGAGCTCCAAACCAGACCCCGATTTTAAAGTATTTTTAGCTTGAAAACACGGTCAAAAATGCACTCTTTTTAAAGCTTCCATTCTGTCAGATTTTCAAATATTCAAAAAAGCTGATACTTAGTTATAACTGGGGTTATACTTGTCAAAACTAAGTAAAAACAAATTTTTTGGTTTGTTTTCAAAGTTTTGAAGCTGAAATATTTTGCCAAGAAGTCTAAGTCGCACCGGCAGAAATGCATTCAAGGACGCGTTAAATGTAGAGTTTTGAAATAAAATATAACTTTTTTTCTATATCTAAGTCCAAGAAGTATATTATACTCGATGCAACATGTGAAAGTATAAAAATATTCCTTTTAGTTGAATATTAATTGTCATAACAATTTACTCACAAATTTATCCAACTTCGAACCGCTAAATCTTTTCTGACTTTTCTTAATACTTTGACCATTATAGGCAATATTGGCCGCAGCAGCCGCAGTTGCGGCAGTAGCAGTATCAGTTATTGAAACCGCTGCAGTATGTATCTTTTGGCTCTGCGACTGGACGCCGCTATTATAATTTTGTGGTGGTGCAGTCATTTGCATCATCCATAAATTAGGATCAAAATGTTTTAAAACGGAAACATTATTATTGTTGATACATGGATTGACTGCGCTTTTGTTGTTAGTTTCATAATTCACGGTACTAAAATTCCAATTACATTGACTACTGAGATCATTGCAGAAATATTTGTTGCTATTATTACATGGCCGTAGATATGATGTTGCCTTCAACGTTTTTTCTTCCTCAAATGAATTCGGATCGTCTGTGACATATCCATTGCAATAAAAATCATCCATTATGTCACACACTGGAGATCCTCTGTCCGAGTTTAAGGAATCTGGAAAAAATTAATACAGACAAGTAAAATTGGAGTGCCTGATGTAATTATAAAGTATCCGTTTTTTTCTAAATGCATATCGATGTATACACAGTATATGTATACAAAAATAACATTTTTTTTATAGTTTTTGTTTGTTTGTTCCGGCTAATCTATAAAATGGGCGAACGGATTTCGATGGGAGATAGCTGATTTAATAGTGAATAATTTAGGTTTCTTTTTTAATACATACATATATTTTTATACTCTTGCAACATGTTGCTACAGATTTTTAAAATTATGTTCACCTAACGGCTGTTTGTTTTGTCGGCCCGTGCAAGCGAGAACTTATGTAAAAATTGAGATATCTTGATGAAACTTGGTCATGTTCCTTGGCGGGTTGGTATTGGAGATGGGCAGAACGGGACCATTGCCATGCTCACAAAACGCCATTAATTGAAAACCTATAAAGTGTAAGCTCCCCAATACATCACTGTTGTTTTCTTTCTAATTTGTTCTAATTTTGAGTTTAATTTTTTTTTGTTGTACGATTAACTCCTCCATTTTCACACTCCCTTTTCTTTCGGAGAGCAGCTACTTTTCTGTTAGTTTTTTGGGATATCAGACATCAGACACCTTTCCTGCAGAAACTTCGCTAACTATTAAAAATTTAAAGTTAAGAAACAAACCTAATAACATTCTGTGCTGTGGCTGAGTCGTTCTTATTAGTGTAACAGATTCCAATTAGACAAAGTATGCATAAAAATCTACTTTAGCCAGACAGGCGCCATTGATGGCGCCTGATTATATTTACCCGTTATCCTTAATTTATTATGTTATTTCACCCGGAAAGAAAATATTAACAATTTCGAAATATGTATATAAATATACACAAGGCTTAATATTGATATAGCAAAATTATTTATCATTACCATTCCCATACTTATACGACGCCAACATAGCAAACATTTTTAGGGACTTTGAAATTTCGTTTTTGTTCTGCTTTTGAGCTAAAAATGCTTCCGAATAAAATTGTGAATGCTTTTGCTGAGCCAAATGTTCTTGGTTGATCTCATATTTCTTCTGCTTTAAATCTATATTTTGTGAAGATAAAAATGGTACTTTCATATCAAAATTTTCATTGTTGCCATTAAAGAATCCACAACATCCAGCTCGTGTCCGACTGTTTGAAATTGTATAACCGATAGTGGAAGCTGGAGTTGGCGAAAATGATGGTAATGGAGAAAATGCATTCACGCTGTTCGGAGAAATTTGCGATGTTGATGTTTCAGTAGATGTAGGTGAAAGATTTGGTGAACCGCTGCTTATTATGCTAGTAGTATCCAAAAATATTTCCGGCATGTATTTTATGTCCAACCCAAGTTCCAAAGAAGAAGCATAATCCTTCGGCAAACATAAAGGTTACATTACATGAATAACGGAAAAATTGCCCCCACTTACCCTTCGGTTACCCATATTAAGATTTGTACCAAACATTTCCAAATCTTTCTTTTTCTTAACCAAAATTTATTAACGAATTTCACCGTAACGTAACCGTAACCACTTATTTATACTTTGCATATATGTTTAGAATATAATTTTCGTATTTTTCTGTGTAAAGATGTCTTTTACTTTACGTTCAATAAATTAAAAATCTGATTCGTATTATTCTACGAATTCCATTGCTTTGGTAAGTCATATAATATTTCCTAACGGTTTTTACTTCGCTACACAGGGCAACCAAAATACTTAAAATCGTCGTATTCAAAATATCACCCTATTTACTTTTTAATACTGGCAATATTAAAAATATGATTAAAGATATATTATATATATTTTATAATGAAATGCAATTTCTTACAACAAAAATTTCCACCAAACATATTGAAAATGAAAAACTTTCAAAAATCAAACGCTGTGCAATTATATATGTCAAGCCATAGCGGTCACAATTGAATAAATAGTATCAAAAATATATATGCTTTTTCTTGCGTGTGCTCAAATTAACGGTTCGCATAATCACAATCTGACCTTCACTTCTGATATTGTCATACTTGATTAAAGCAGATTTATTGTTGTCTAAACAATTGATATCTGCATGATTTTGACTAGGCAACAAAACTTTCTTTTAACATTTCGAAAGATGTTGAATAGTTAACAAATATTCATAAAGGAGATATAGTTTTATTCTTGTTGGGTATACGTTTGTCGGGAAATATGGGAGGATTTCTGTTAAAGTTTCTATGAGTTTCTATGACCCATTCACATACAACTTCCTTCGATTGACAATTCATACTTTAACAACGAAAAGCAAAGGGTATGCCAGAACGAACGCTTTGTTTCGGTGTTTCTCTATAATAAAAATGGCGACTGCTTGACAAAGCGTAAAAAATTGAAAATTGCCCAACATTTTGCTTGGCTTTGCTTCACATACAAAAGCATACATCGAACTTAGCTGTCAAAGAAAATCAGTCTTATGCGTTGCCTATGTGTATATATTAGAGGAAATCTTATTAGTTCAATGTATAAGAGTTTCAGTAGTAGTAACTTGCTAGGTAAATCTAAAAACCAAATTCAATGGGACCTAAATCAATGAAAACGGCATCACTGATATTAACTTTAGGAAATTGTGTGGCAACATGATTAGAGCCTCAGACAGACATTTATTTTTGACATTTAAAAAGCGTGATGTTTTCTTCATGGAATGTCTTTGAACAGAATTAGTACCAAATTACATAAATTAAATTGGGGCTTAATCAAATCTTGACATACAACTCAATTTAAATTTAAAGTTGTTCGAAAATTATTGGCTATGGTAAGCTGACCCGTTCATAGCAATCGGAATATGAATAAATGGATTTTCCATACTAAGTTTAATAATTTTAATCTTTACATTTTTTTAAACATACATGTAGTATAAATTCTTAGCTGCATCCCGTGGTAATTACCACCGGCTCGTCCAAAGTAGTAGTTACTGGCAAGGACTACATAATCAGGTAACTGATTTTTCTTTTAGACATATTAGTACAATAATTTTTTGTTTTTTTATTTTCTAGCGTTGCTATTCGCAACCAAGCCGAAGACCCGGATTTTTTTCGCAGTTCATCGACAATATTAGATCAGAAATTGATAAAAATAATGAAATGAAAGAAAATATAAAAAAGTTTCGCGAAGAAGCACAGAAATTGGAGCAGTCCGAAGCTCTTCAATCGGCTAGGCAGAAATTTAATATCGTTGAATCTGAGGCACAAAAGTCTTCAAATATTTTGAAGGAACAATTAGGGAGTATAAAAGACAAAGTTAGTGATGTGTTAGACGAAGCAAGTAAATCCGATATTGCAAAAAAAGCAACAAAATTATCCGAAGGAATTTCGAAGACGGCTAAAGGTGTAACTGAAACTATAACAGAGAAAAGTGAAAAAATTGGACAGACATCTGCTTTTCAGGCTATATCAACAACTACAGAAATGATCAGACAAGAAATAGGGTCCCAAAGCATAAATTCAAGAGTATATCGTTCTCCTCATAAACTGCGAAAACGTATTGAAGTCGAATATGCAAGCGATGACCGAGTGGTTGAGCCTAATGCTGATGCAACAGGTATTAAAGGGCGAGTATTTTAATTTGAATGTTTTATATAGAAAATAGTAATGTAATAAATCCAACGATCTCTGTCCCTCTGTAACGCCTCAAAGTGATCATATGGCCGGAATTTTCAAAGTCAAGAAGGGCAAAAGTTTTGAACAGTCGATATCTGTTCAGCTATAAAAGAAAATTAAACAGTTGAGATTTAGAAATACTTATAAGCCGGGCAATTTTCAATGTTACTAATTAAGAGAAGTTAATTAAGGTTTTTGTTAATACTAAAACATAAAATGTCGAAAAAGTAGTTTAAAGTATATATATACTTTTGTTGACATAGGTTAAAACATTACATAAGTAGTGTTATAATGATCGAGAGTGAAAGTCAAAGTAAAATTTATATTCGTTGGTCTTATTGTTCTGGGAACAAACGTGATAGCATTCACATTCATTAGTGTTATTGATAATCGAGTGTATATAGATATTATATAACTGTTACATTCAAATATAATTTCGCAAAAATTGTACCTATACCTATATATATATATATATATATCTAATTATTCATGAATATTTGTCGTTTGTTTTATTCCGTTAGGAGTCGAGCTTCACAAGGATTCGAAATTTCATCAATCGTGGGAAAATTTTAAAAATAACAATGCGTATGTGAATAAAGTACTTGACTGGAAACTTAAATACGACGAGTCGGAGAATCCTATGATACGCGCTTCCCGCCTCTTAACAGATAAATTTTCAGATGTTATGGGAGGACTTTTTTCGAAAACAGAGTTATCAGAAACACTTACTGAACTATGCAAAATTGATCCGAACTTCGATCAAAAACAGTTTCTTCGCGACTGTGAGACTGATATAATACCAAACATCTTAGAAGCGATGGTTAAGGGAAATTTAGAAATCCTTAAGGATTGGTGTTTTGAAAGCACCTACAATATAATTGCAACACCTATAAACCAAGCTATTAAGTCGGGTATGTATTTGGATTCGAAGATTCTTGATATCGAAAATATAGACTTGGCGATGGGTAAAGTAATGGAGCAGGGACCAGTACTTATAGTTACCTTTCAAGCCCAACAAATAATGTGTGTTCGTGATAAGAACCACGAAGTAGTGGAAGGTGATCCAGATAAAGTCATGCGAGTAAATTATGTGTGGGTTCTTTGTCGAGATCCCAACGAGTTAAATCCAAAAGCAGCTTGGCGGCTTATGGAAATTTCGGCTAATAGTCAAGAACAATTTGTATAATAGGGAATTAAATGTTAACTAGCTATTAATTAGTTGCCGTTAAATATTTCTGATATTTTTATTAAGGAGTGTTTCATGTAAATAATACATGCGGTTCGTGTTCTATTTTCATTTACAGAAAGTTTTCTATAACTTTTTGATGAATACATCCTGTCTTGAAAAAAAAGTTAAGGTAACATTTTGTGAATGAAAATATTGAACATAATAATATATGTATGTTGTAATAACAGGTCCGTCTGGCATTAAAAATTCACATTTATTGTTGAAGACGGCAAGAAAACAAATCTGTACATATTAACTAATTTAAAAGATTAAAGAAAAGCTGAAACAATGTTTGTTATAATTTGGTCTTTACAAAGGGATCCCGAGTAATTTTAATTCGGGACTGTCTGATTTCTTTTTTTTTTTAGCTAATTTCAGTCGGAAGTTGTAATTAAAAAAATGATTAACTATTTAAGCAGGTGCTATTCTTTAGGACAATACAGTGGGCAGTGTGATCGGTTACACGAAATTAGAAACAAAAGTTTCCTTGTTTCAAGCAATTAAAGATTGCTAATAATTACTGGCAATATGGCAAATGGAGACTGCAGATTGCTAATGTTTAGCAATTGATGTCTAAATATATTTCATGTCATACATTGCTAGCAATGAACTGTCATTTTGGTGGTAATATTCAGAAAATAATTTTAACAAATACATATGAATATGTATTTTGAATATTTTAATGATAATTGTTAGTATATGTAAATATCATTGCTCATATTTAATTATTGAATTGGTAAATAAACGTTAAGCAACATTTATTCAAGTCTAAAAAAATAAAATTTTATTTTTCCAATATATACATTTGTAGAAAAAAGACTTCTAATTTTCTCACTGTCCACATAAATTTTTGTCATCTCATAAAATATTTAAATGGTTCAAGAGCTCTAACACGAACCATGAATAATGTCATCCTTGACATGAACATACCTACCCGACGCTTTTCGAGAAAAAATATTTCATGATAGCAAATGCCTATACATGAACATTGCCACCCTTAATGGCAATGTATTTAACAAGTGGTTAGCAATGTACATTGCCTGGGAAGATGCGGCGTTACGACACAAAACGTAATAAACGAATAAGTCTGTAAAATTTTCATAGTAATTGTAAATTTTTTCATACTATCTTCTGCTTTAAAATTTAAATTTTCATAAAATGTGGACTTAACAAATTTGCAAATTAAGCCAAAAGATATGTGCAGTTATAGCTTTACTTATCCGGACATTACACGATCTAGAAATTGCTTTCAAGTTGCAATACACTCATACTTTTCGAACTGGCTATCAAGTTTCCGTCTTAATATCAACTTTCTCATTCAAGTCGAGTGGCAAGTTGACGATAAAGTTTGAACAGCTGATCACATAGTTTTACAAACAAATGACATGCAATTGTCAAGAATACAAATATTTCGTTATCATTCATGGATTGATATCAAAATATAAGTATATTAATCCATTATATTATAAATTTCGTACAGAATTTTAAGTGGTTTCCAAGTTGTTTGCAGCCTACGTCACGGCTATCAATTTAAATCAATTTTGACAATTAGTTTATGTGATCAACTTGAAAGCAAATTATTGATCGTGTAACTGTAGCGTTAAACAAAATGTTGCAATTTGAATTTTCCTAAAAACTTTAGTTTTAATTATGTATGTATATCAATGAATATACATTTTACCCTATTAAAATGTACTAAAAAAATTCCTTCTAAAATGTTGGATGTTATTTTGGTGCGAGTGGGACAAATACTGCCGACATTAAATTTTCCCACGCTCGGAGGAATTTTCCCACGATGTAACATATGGCTTACACACTCGCTCACTAATAATCGGGGCAGCGTGCCGAGTGCAGCGCAGTAGACGTCAAAGTATGTAGAATTCACTTAACGTAATTAAAGAAGCGACCAAACAACTTTCTTCTATGAGATAAAACTAATTTCCCGATAGAGAATTTTAATAAATCTCTGGTTATATGATGTTTACGACTACTACACCATACATATAGATACGCCTATTTAAAGTTTGAGATTTTTATGTTGACAGCAGAGAATGGATAATCATATTGAACCAGAGAACTTAAAACAAAAAATAAAGTTCTCTGATTGAACATACATTTATGCATATGTATGTATTAAGTTCTCTGCTGCATTGCCTGCGTCGTTCATTTGTCCGCTCGTACAATTCTTCTTTGCTGTCATTCGTTTAGTTCGTTGCTTCATCGTATTGTGCTTCTCCATTGTGTGTTTCGCGTTGTGTTCTCCATTTTTCATTAATAATTCCATTTGATTTGAGATTTTATAATTAACTGGCGTACATACATATGTTTTAATTTGAGAATATTGAAAATGTGAATGATCAAAATCAAATTGTGTTTTTGCAAATTAGCCTATTAATTAAAGTGAATTCCATACGAAAAGGCTTGGGTAATTGTAAAATATTTCTCTTCCCTACCATCATATACCAGATAGCTCCTATTACGCCTTTCCGATCAAGTATGGTGCACATTAATACATATGTATATATGTATTCATGACCGAGGTAAATTTGTTGCATGAAAGTTTTCACCGCCGTTCGCCGTTATACGTGTTCACAAATATTTGTAAACGAAAATAATTGTCTAGTGTCGACTTATAAGTTAGCAAAACTTATGTTTATTAAATAAGTTAATGTTGGTTCATAAGCCAGGTGCTTACTTGACAACTCATTCTAAATGTGTTTTTTTTTATCAAACTTGTCGATATATGTATATCAGATTGTATAGCTATCGCCTATTTCTTTCCAATTTGAGTACACTTGATGTTTTTTAGTACAAATAGTAGTATGTAATTTCATGTGCCTAATATATACATATGTACATATAAATACCAAAATAAATATCATTTTGTGGTTCAAGTAAATTGTAATGAAAACAATTGCAGGTACGATAATCTATTAAATAATAAGAATATTAAAACTGATAAGTGTAAAGTGAAAGCCCTAGGAACTTATGAAGATTATGAATCGGGTTGTATATATTCTACTATTGTGAAGAAATATACGTTTATGGTGATACAGGATGATGGTGATGTCTTTATATAATATATATGTATTATATGTAAGTATATATGATTTATAAATAATTATAAATACCTGCGTAAACTCAGTCGTTTATGTTAAATGTTGAGAATTATTTGTCAATAATAAATATCGAAATCAGTAAAAAAAATGTATTACATACGTATGTACATAATTGCTGTGTAACTCTTAATACCTACTTGCACAAGTCACATTTGAAAATGCCTTAAACTGTTGATACGGCGTTCACCGATAAAGTTCTGAAAATAGAGTTATGGAGAAACCCCAGGACATTCTCTGCAATAACTTCTTAAGGCTTCTAGCAAAACGTCTGTTAAAAATTATTTCGATCATTAAAGTTTAACACAGCTTTAAAGTTCGGAGAACATATAAACAGAGAGAGTGAAGAAAAAGGCAATTACATTTGCTCTCCACCAAAAGGAAATTCACTGCAAAATATTTATACGAATTAATTTTGATAAAGAGAGGCCTTTATATCTCTCTCAGATAAGCAGTTTTCTTTATCATAATCAGGCTTATTATCGAATGATTACGAAAATATGCTCACCCTATTCCGGTTGCCGAATCTTAACTTTTTGTAATAGAAATCAATCAAATCTATCGGACCATTTATGCTGCATTAAGATCCAATCAACTTTACTAGAAAAAAAACTACTATTATATCAGAATGAATTTCCACCTATGTATGTATGTGAATTTGAAAATTTATCAGAAAAATATGTTAACTAAGATTTAAAATCCCAAATGGTTTAAAGTGCTGCACAAATTCAATATAGACTTCAATTTACTACATATACTAATTCATAAAACAAAATGGCAGTTTTGCGGAGAGTTATATATTGACTTAAGCTCCCATTTTTGTGTGGATGAATATCTCTTTCGTTTTTGTAAGCTGTTTAAGACCAAACTGGCCGCCCTGCCTGACTGTCTGCTTCATATTGCTCTCAGTATTCCTATACTTGTAAAGCTTTTGCATTCAGTCAATTCACTTTACACATCACAATGTGTCAGTTCTTGTTGTTTTTAACATTTGTAGTTGGTGCTCAAACATCGCAGTCAGTTCGGTATGTTGAATGTGCTCAGTGCACTGGACATGCTGCGGTTAAAGAGATGACGACTGGCTTGGTTAATTGTTATGCATTCGAGTGATTGAGGCATAAGCTGTGAATGAGATAGTGTGCTTGAGTTTCGTGAAATGTTAAGGCATCAGTTTTTTGATATGGTTTTGAAAATCTTTGCTCAAAAGGTTATTTGGAAGAGGGGTACTGGCACGTAATGCGTTAGAGCAAAAAGGTTTTCTTTCAAGCAAGGTGCAATATGATTATTGCATTCATATTTGTTTTTCTGGGAAGAGAGTACACAGTGAATTTTTAATCTATTAATTTTTGAATGTATGTAATTACAACGTTGCAATATTTGATATCGGTGTGAATTAGAAAAGGTCATTATGCATGTGTAAATTTAGCATTGTTTACCAAATCATGGAAAGTATGTATATGTGTCCATATGCACATGTGCCCACAGACATTCTCTGCTATACTTTTTCAATAAAATTAGAACTATTAGCTATAGCGAAAAAAAGTGCATACACATTAAAACTTTTAACAAAAATTTGTTGAATAACAAAACAATGAACTGCCATTACGTTAGTGGCTATGTGTCTGAGGTGAAATTTATACATTATGGAGTAAATAGTGTAATAAAAATATTCAAAATCGAATGCATATGGATTTCAGCACAGGACGATTTGCATCCGGTTCGACTAGAATAATACAATAATATTATATACGAAAATGTAGATGATAAAATTCTTCTACATATTCTACCAAACCAAAAATAACAGATGACTTCAACAGAAAAAAAACAGAATACAAATATTAGTTATAGCAATAAGAGTATAGAAAGGGGACTCGGTCAAAATAATATTTACAAATAGAAATTGTCATCAGATTTCGTGTGACCCACTAAAAGATGATAATTTTTATATAAAAAAATCGTATTAATAATAACTTGGATATTAATGAATACAATTCGACAGCAGTAGTAAGAAGATATCAAATGCTACTTATTTCGTCTTCATAATGTTCAAGATTGTCTTGTTTACAATCGCCACAACTTCCTATTAGTGAGCGAAATTTGTTAAATCCAGAAAATTATCAAAGGAAAGAGACGGCTGTGTCGCCAAATAAGTGTACTGCGAGAAATGGTGCTGTTGCAACGTCAAGGACTACAACGGACTTTAAATCGGTTCCAAAAACAAAGGCATCAAGAATTTTTACAACCTTGTCTAAAGCCACATTACTCAAAATCATTTCAATCCCTTTATTATCGTCAATTACCAATAAATCGCTGCAAAACATCGATAAAATTATGGCCACTGCTGCTGCTGCATTGGGTTCTGGGTGCACACCATCCCTATCAGCTCACCTAATTAGCGGGGTTGTTGGCAGTGGTGTTAAAGTTTCAAATATTGGAGTCATTGATTGTTCAACAAGTTCAGCATCTGTTACCCTCAATAATAGCAGCCATGCTCTTAGCGATAAAGACATAAATAACAGCAAAACTGAAAAACTGCTGGTTAATAGAAATGGTGGCAGCAGCAATAATGACACCGCAACCTATAATTCATCTGGCAGCAGTGGAAATATTGGTGGAAGATTGAAATTTTTCAAAAGTAAGTAATATTTATTGTAGGGTGGTGCAGAAATGCACTTCATGAAATATAATATTGATGAATTCATATTTTTAGTCATCAATTAATTTTATTTAGAATAATGTACTGAAATGTACGGCTTTCATTTCAGATGGAAAAGTAATATTGGAATTGGCGCGTTCTAAAGAAGGGTCAAAGAATGGATGGATATCGGTTCCAAGGAAAGTTTTTCGCACACCGTCAGCCACCTCATCTACAGTTACCCCTACTTTGGCCACATCAATAACATGCTCTAAGAATGAAAGTTTAGCATCTCTAAGCTGTAAGTTTCTGCTGAATTAAATAACTTATTAAGGTCTAATACAAAAAAAAAATTATTCATAGTTTCCGATGACAACAGTTCCATACAATCTTCACCTTGGCAACGAGAACACTCTTGGAAACAACAATCTCCTCGTAAAAGCATTTCGGATGCCATGTCGTTCTATTACCAGCGACCTAAGATCGTTATTTTGACTAAAACTGCATTTGTTATTGCTCGTAGAAAACATCGAAGGCCATACGATACCAATTTGTGCAGTAACGGAAATTTCATTTTCAAAAGTCATGAAAAAATGTTAAAAGAAAACCAGGGTTTCAAAGCATTGTTGAAGCCATCTCATCAACGTGACACAAAAACAATAAATGTTAATAAAGATAGTGATATTAAATGCAAAACATGGAAGGATGAAATTAAATATGCGTTAATAAATGAAGAAGATTGTTGCTCAAGTTCATCTACAGCAACGTTAACCGGTTATGAATTCACAGACGATCAAATGGAGGCTAAAACGCCAACACCGTCATCGATTTCTTTACCAGATTCATCTTGTCAAAATGGCAAACCATTTGAAAATAAACACACTGAAGAAGAGCAAATCAGTGCAACTAAAGAGAATAAATTAAAGGCTCCAGAAAATATGAATAAAGTTGAATATACTGATTTGATATCTACGATGGATGAGAGCGAAGGGACAGAACCCACTCTGAATGGCAACACATCAGAAGTACGCACTGTCAATTCCCAATCAGATAAAGTAGATTTTAAAGACGAACATTTTTGTGCACGTGATCAACGTGGTGACGATAAAAGACATAAGAATGGCAAAATTCGACTTAAGTTAAGCACAATTGTCCAAAAGTTGATTGACAGAATGCCTTTACGTCTTGCTCAACTATCGAAGCAAAATCAATCAATTGGGCCTACTAATAGCTTTTGTAGTTCTACTAATACAATCTCGCAAAAGGTAAGTTACTAAAATGATATTTGTAATCCAATATTTGTTTTTTTTTTTTGATGTTTTAATGGCTATTGCATTAGGTTTCACCATCGAATGCGTCAACTGCAACGCGTCTAGTCGAGTATCCACAGCAGCATGTATCACCGCGAAAGCGGATTCTTCGCGAATTCGAAAAAGTATCTTTAGAGGATAATTCAAATTCAGCTGGTGGAAAGCGAAGTCGTGCGAAAAATAACGCATCATCATCGTCGTCGTCTCCACATCATAGCATAAAATCGCCTAATAGTCGTAGTAATGTCAGTGCAAATAGTAACATCCCGTCTAAAATAAGCCAATCAGTTTCTTGCGGCAACAGCTCAATTCGGTCATCATCGGCTACGTATTCAAAATCAGAGACAACAGAATCAATATTAACAACGACACCTACACGCCTGTACAGCTCATATAGCATTCACTCTTTACTAGGGGGTAATGCCTGTAGTAGCACAATACCGTCTATATCACTTGCAAATACTGGTCCAAATACAATAACTAACGAAACCACGGTTCTTAATAGTAAAGGCTATCATACAAAGCATCAACATGTTTCACCCCAAACGCATTATAATGATCCGTCGTATTTGCGTGCAATGCTTGCTTCACCCAAATCACCAGAACAATGTAATATGGGTTGCGGAGGCAAATCACCGTCGACTTCGGCTTCAAAAAAACGTTCTCCACCCTATGTTTCACCATTGCACGATTTACACATTAATAGTGATATCGGAATATTAAATAGTAAAACACGTTACGCCTCCGAACAATCCAGTAATATAGATACCACATCTACGATACTTTTAGGAAGTCATTTACATTCACAAAATAAAGGGTTTTACGTGCCGTACATGCCATTATCAAAATATGTACCTCCTACGAGCACGTCAGTGCCCACAGATACAACTCCATCAATATCGCCAAGTTCTTGCGGTCCTCTTGAGGCGCGATCACCTCGACATCTATCAGCTTTTAGTAGAACATCTTCACCAGCTTCGATATCATCAGCAATTCTAGTTAATCAATCATCTTCGTGTTCTATTGGCAATAGTAGAGAAAACTCGCCACCAACACCGCGGACAACTTCCGATTCACCGCGTGACACTATACCAAGAACTGTACCAAAAAAGACTGCAGCAATTCGTAGACAATTCGCTTCGCCCAATGTCGTTGCATTAAGCATTGCCAACCCCTCGTCAGGGGAGCGCCACTCTGAGGAAATCTACTCAACACAGGACCATCAAACTCCTGTTTCTCTTGTGAATACTTGCAGTAGTGGAAGCCATCAATTGCTACGTGGATCGCCAAATAATAACACAGTTCCTTCACCACTTCATCACTATTATATGTATTCACCAGTGGCAAGTAATGACAGCTCAAATCAAGTTCCACGTAGTTCACCTGTCTCAACGAGTACATTTTCTATTGGGCCTGGAGGAACAAACAGTTCTGCTTCATCGTACATTCCATCGGTGTTGCCGACCGCTTATATGAATCCATACTTTGCTTTGGCAGCCTTGAGACAACCACAATTATGGTCACACTATGGTGGCATGTCTTTACCTTTGCATCTGTCATCAGTTGCGGCGTCGGCTTCTCTGCGACTTTCTCCTCCAGCGTTTCATACCTTTGCTTATAATGGAGTTAACGCGGCTATGGCGGCAGTAGTGCAGCAACAACAACAGGTTTTGGCTTCATCAGCCTTAATGCATGGGCATAGCCAGAGCAACGCATCTACCGATCATCCAACTATAAATCCTTGTGGTGGAAGACAAGTTTCAATGACTGAGCGAACGACTGATTTAGACGCTGGCGCAATTGCGAATAATGCAACGGGTCTTGATTTGGTTCCAGAAGAAATGTCTAGCAGCAAAAAAGAACATAGTTCAGGTACTTAAATAATTCATATAGATGTGGAACATACCAATGTGATGAAGAAAGTATTTTATTAATTGTTAGACATTCCTATGGTACACAGGGATGAGGATATATTTCTTCCGTATATTGTTCTTCCATATCCTTGTTGCTACAGAGTATAATAGTTTTGTTCACCTAACGGTTGTTTGTATCAACTAAAACTAATCAAGATAGGTATAGGGTTAGATATATATAAATGATCAGCATGACGAGACGAGTCGAAGCAAGCTGTAATTTGAGTAAAAATTAAAATATCTTTATTGTAACTATGGTTTAAAAAATTTTCAAAAGTAGGCATGGTTAAATTTTAGGCGAAATTATATATTTCGGGAACTACTTGATCAATTTCAATAAAATTTGGTACATAAAATTATTTTTACAATCCCATCTCACAATGAGCGAAATCGGACTACAACCACGCCTACTTCCTATCTAGCACAATTTTAAATCCCATATGATTCTTTCACTTTTCAGTATACAAATCAAGCACTAAAGATTATATTTGAGCAAGACTTTGCACAAATAGTCCTTTTAAGGTACATATACCATCTCAAGTCTAAAAATTGTCAAAAACAGACCATAACTGTTAAAGCCAACAGTTACGGAAAATGGGGACCCCAGTGCCTGGTACTAACTTTTTACGAGAAATAACGGTTAATCTGTGAGATATATTATTGCAATTCGGAGTCTCTTTCTGATAATAGTATGCAAGTATGTCAAAAATGGATTGAATCGGGTCAATACTTTCCTTAGCCTCCATATACCTAATATAATATATGTGAGCTATTTCAATAAAATTAAGTGGAGGTATTTTCTCTATAATGCTTCATCTTTGTGCCTAAAATGAGTAAAATCGGGTGGTAACTTGCCCTAGCCCTCATATAACAAATCACAGAATTTTCAAACATTCGGTCGATTTTACTCCACATACATATGTATGTATGTTGGTGATGGTATGTGAGGTACCTTAATGAAACTCACGGAGTATTTTATTCTGTTAATAGTATGTGGTATTGCCGAAAATAGATAAAATCGGTCAAAATTACCTCAATTTACTCCGAAATTCCGGTTTGCCTTGTTCCATATATCAGTCAATATGTACGATATCTTAGCAAAATAAACTAACGTATAATATTTATAATATATATTATTATATATATATAACAATAGTTTAATGTAGAAAATATGCGAATTTAGTTTATGAATACCGCAACTCCCAAATACTACCTATATTGATTTTCGTTAATCTAACAAACCTTATGCCAAACATGTCGTTCAATGTGTGTATTATATATTTATAAAATTGCTTGAAAATATGATCTCAAGTATACCTCAGCAATATCAAAATTAATTCAATTAGCCCATCCCTTTCTCTGTCTCCAATATAGAATGTATAGTAATTTCCAACTTCCCAGCTGACTTTAATAAAATTAAGTGAAGAGGTTTTCTTAAAAGTTGTGTAGAAATATGAATGTGATTAGTCTACACTTTTGTCCTAGCCTTGTATCCCTAAAATAAGGAATTGCGGTTCCCTGCTTGACGTTTTTACATAAACTCATTATACTAAATTTAGCTTCTTCAGCTGAGTTTGTAACCCATATATCTCATTTGAAGATGAGTTTAATACAATTTTAGCTAACGCGAAGTAAAATATAGAAATAAAATTAAGTGTGTATATAACCTATAATATAACTTAATAAAATACAAATTTTATTGTAATCCATTGACGATTTCATCGAATAATTAATGTTGAATTGTTTTGCAACATTTTTTAATATAAAGTTTTCTTAAAACCTGGGGGTATTTTCTTTGCTTTGATCTTTGCAAGTTGCAAGAGTATAAAATGTCCGGTTCCACCCGAACTTAGCTCTTCCTCACTTGCATAATATTCTTTTTCACCTAGAATAATTATACGTGGAACATCTAAAGTGTATCATTTGTTAACATACTCACAGTAAAAGCAGGGTATGTTAAGTTTGCCACGAAGTCTGTAACCCCCAGATGGAAACGTCGGAGACCCTATAATGTATGTATATAAATGGTCGGCGTGATGAGATGAGCCATGCTCGTCGAATTTGGCATAGATTATTGTCCGTCGCGGTCAAGTATACTGGTCAGATAAATGTTAATAAGGCACAATTAATATAAAAAAGCGAGTATTCAGAAATTGATAATTAAAGAAAATTTAGTAATACAGTAATGCCTCCTTGTTAGCGGATATGTGGTACAGTTTTCCATACAGTTTGTAGTACAAAGATTGATGGATTTTTTCTGTTTTTCTTCACTTAAAGGTTTTGTATGGTTTACATATCATACAGGTATAAACATTATTTCAGATCAACCACTAGCATCCCTAAACTTAGCGCATTAAATGCATCATATGCCTTGCTCAAAATTATAAGGATAATCACAAAAATAGCTCCATAAATAGTTTCTGAAGCAAATAACAACTGATTTATTGGTTGATTAGAAACTGTGTGCATTGAAAAAAGAGATTAATATTTAATAATATTATAATTATGTAATTTTACCTCAGCTTTTAATTTTAATTATTTTTTTCTAAATTGCAGACGTGCCGCTGAACCTGTCTAAGCATTGAGTGCATTTTCCATTAAATAGCTATGTAAGTTCCATTCGTTTTAGGTAGATGTTAGCTAACTCACATAAAGTATTGTATAGGAGATCGATACATTCATATAAGGATAATTATATAAAATAATTTTATAGCATGTACTCTTTCACTCATTTAAATCAATTGCGACTAACATCTTTCGACTTGTGCAATAATTTTTGTCAAAAATATGTCATTTTAGATACAAAGAAATTAAAAAATTATATATAAATAATAAATTTCGCGCAGAAAAGAACATATTACATATTTATTTACATCAATAATAATAAATATAGACTGTATACACGAGAAATTCATCAGGATTTAGAATCGCAGAGGGGATTTAAATGAAATCAACACTATTCATAGAATAAAGGCTGACAGAAGAGTGTTTAATTTTAATTATTAAAGAAACTTTTTTCTTTCAATTCACTTTCCTGATACAACAATTAGTAAACCAATATGGGTAATATTTTTGATTTACAACTCTAAAGAAAAAACGAAGTTATAAAAGTCATGTACTAATTATGTTTTTTACATTCATACATAAATATTTAATATTCTCTTTGTGCTTGTTCCTGTATTAATAAATTTATTTGATTTTTTCGATCTTTCGCTTTTGTATATAATAATTTGAATTCGTGTTGAAAAATGTATTCCAAAAAACAATGTTTTCATAGGCATATACGTTACACACAACAGTTAAAAGGTTACGCTAGAAAATCAAAGTTCGATTTTAATAATTACAATGAGCGAACGCCCTAGTGTTGGCCTTTAAGTAAATAAAAAAATACAAATATTTAAATACATACATATATATTTACAAAAGTTTTACGATACAAGTCTATAGAAATAAAAAAAGTTTTAATTCGAAAAAATTTTTCTAATATACATAAAATATTTACACTAAAAACTAAGTAGGTAGATAGGCATACAAATAACCATTAAAAAAATGTGAGTGGAATTTATATGAAAGATTTTAATGTAAAGAATTTATATATACACAGCTTTCCTGTAATTAATTTAAGAAAATAATTGTAATACAGCGTGGTCCGAATTGATGGGATTATTCAGCCGAAATGAACAAATAGATTTGCATATATTAATGTACATACAAGTGCATACGTTAAATGAATGATAATTGTTTAATAAAAAATATTTATAGTTTTAAAAGCTCCATCTCTTTAGAAAATGACTTATTTCTTTGAAGCACTACCTCGTTTAACGTTCTGGCTTAATAATTTATTTTTATATATCTGATTCCTTTATTCCTCAGTTAATATTTTGGAAAAATTGTAGTTTTAAAAGCAAAAAAAATACAATACAATAAAAGATACGAATTTTATATACTTTATATCATTTACAAATAAAAATAGCATGAATACATATAAACATTCGAATTTTGCTTTTGCAAAAAATATATATTTAACTTACTATAACAGTTCAAGGAAAGTAACAACAATAAAATAAACTTTATATATAAACATAGTGCCTTTATTATATACAGTCAATACTAAATGGCAAAAGTATAACACAGAGTTAAAAAAAAAGCTGCACAGTATGCAACAACTCAAATCAGAATTCGCACGATTTAACACACCTATGAGATGTAGTTTTTAATAATAAATGTAAAATAAAAAGTATTTATCTTAAAAAGTTAAAGTAAACGTTTAATTGAAGGGCTACCAAATGAATTGTAATAAAATAGTTTAAAACAATTAATTTAATTAGATGTGTATACCACTTATACATACATTACTGTTATATGCAGTATTTCTATTTGCAATTGCAATATGGGAATATATATTTGATTTTAGCAGTAATTGAAAGTGCTGGTCGAAAGACCATACAAATGGCAATTACCTATATTAATAACAACTGGCATTTTTGGTACGTATTACATTATCTAATATATAAAATTCTCATGTCACGGTGTTTGTTGCCAAACTCCTCCGAAACGGCAGGACCGATTTCAATGAAATTTGGTGTGCTTATCGGGTAGGTCTGAGAATTGGCCGACGTGTCATTTTTGTACTCCTAAATGTTAAGGGTGGTATAATCCAAATACTACTTTTTTAAATTTTTTGGACAAATTTTTTCCTTTTTATTTTTTAATACGCTTATATTAGCTTGGGTTGTATTGTATGTATGTAATGGAGTCTTAGAGCTCAATTTTCAACGGTTTCCAGAAGTTTGATTAACTTGAAACTTTGCAGACGTGTCAAGGATCGATGACAATGCAATAATTTGATAACAGTTTCCCATCATTTACGATTCAGCATTAAACAATACACACAATTCTTAATTTTCAGACTTATACCATCAACCTCCAATTTTTAATCGCGATTTTTATATTATTCAGTTCCATCCCCAGATCACGAGGGCAATCGAATATAATAATTTTTAGTATACTATAATTTTTATGTATGCATAGTTCTATGTACCAATCAGTTCTCCCCGCCAGGTGCCTCCCGTTGTCACTTTTCAACGAGCAACTATCAGGGTTTACGGATGAAAAGAAGTGGGCCTATTTAATTCTCATCAAGTCAACTTTATTTTATTCTCACAGTGTATTTAACATTATTTCTTAGTGCGTCTCGAAAACTGCCAAAGCGCATTTTTCACGAACGAAACAGAAACAAGAAAAAACGTTATCTTCGGTTGCACCGAAGCTATAATACCCTTCACAAATATAAAGGTTTCTTACAAGAACTTGATTCTGATCTAATTTCGTAAAGATACCACGCCAAATAAAAAAGTTTTCCATGCAAGCACTTTAAACCGATTGTTCAGTTAATATGGCAGCTAGATGCTGTAGTCATCCGATCCATACAATTTGTTCGGAGATTACATTGTTGCCTTAGGAAATAACACATGCCAAATTGTGTGAAAATATTACGTCAAATAAAAAAGTTTCCCCATACTTGATTCCGATCATTCAGTTTGTATGGCAGCTATATGCTATAGTAATCTGATCTGAGCAATTTCTTCGGAGATTACATTGTTACCTTAGACAATAATCATGCCTAAATTCGTGAAGATACCTCGTGCATCTCATCATGCTGATTATTTATATATATATCTATTTTATAGGGTATCCAGTTGAATCCGGGCATGCCCCGGTTCATTCAAATCAAATAATTTGGGTCGCGTATATACAGTCAATCCAAGGCAGACTAAGTGCTTTTACCTGCAATTGTTGTTGGTTAAATGGATAACAGTATCCAATATATAAAGATGCATGCCTGCTAGAAGATGACAATAATTGCGACAGTATGCTTGCTGAAGCAGCTTTATACTGCAAAACAACACAAATTCGTCTACTATTTGCTATAGTACTGGCGACATGTTTCCCGGCCCGATCGCAAAGATTCGATGACTGATGATATATTATATCGACATAGTGCAAGGTGCAACGGTCTAACAATATCACTCAGTGACACAGTGTACAATGAAGCATTGATTGCTATTAAGGATCATTGCATAGTAACTGTGAATTTACCAATCAGTCCTTTCAGTATGAGTTTACCAAATCGAAGTGCATATAATTTAATCAACACGTATATAAATCGTGAAATGAAGTATGATACTGTGCGCAAATGAAATCAACACTTGCTTAAAATTATCGCGACTGTGGCGTAATTGAAACAGTACAACTGACAGTGAACATGGGCGTTTATGTGTCAAGATCCATCTGCCAAAACTTTCTCAAAAAAATTGTTAAATATTGGCAATGGAAAAGTAGCTGAACATGAAAATACTGGATGCAAAAAAAAAAAAACCAACGGATTTGTGCACAATCATTAACTCACAACATACTCTCATAGACAATATATTTCTCGATGTACACACAAAATACAATATATAAATCTTGTGTGGCTTAGATTTATCTTAGTTTATTTTTAATTGAAATAATTAGTATTAGAAATATGAACTATTTTGATGTATTGAGGTAGAATCATTAATTGTAATTTAATATAAATTTGTTACTTTAATAGAGACTAATTTATTAACATAAATAAAGTATATTATATTTGATATATCCCCCATAGGGGGATTAGTTATATGGGTTCTGAAAGGTCTGAAACGATTTAATTAATTTTTAACACTTTAACTTCATTCAAATATCTTATATATTGGCTTATATATACAGTACAAAGTCGGTCAAAGGCACTATAAAAATGTATAATCCGATTTCGACCATTTTATATGAGAATTGCCAATTAAATTATTCAGAGAGCGTTACCAGATATTCTTTTTAAAGTTTCTGAAGGTCAAATTAAAGAGTGTGACCTTGTGTAAGTGTGACCTCTCAACCCTTTCTTACGCATAGGTTTTGTGAGTTGTAATGTATATCCATGTTAATTATACGTCCGAATTACGAATTTACATTTCTTTTTCTCTCGCAACCTGTTGCTAGAGAGTATAATAGTTTTGTTCACCAAACAGTTGCTTGTTGCCATAACTAAGCTCCGCAATAAGATACAAGACTGTTATTTGGTACACAGGATCACATTAGGTAGGGGCATCTGCAGTTAAAATTTTTTTTTAAGTGGGCGGGGTCCTGCCCCTAATAGGTTTAATGTGCATATCTCTTAAACTGCTAATGCTATAATAACCTAATTCACTGGGAGCAAATGTTTTTAGCACCTCTATTGACGGTGTGAAAATGGGTGAAATCGGGTGACAAGGCCGCCCACTCCCCATATAACGGTACTGTTAAAAACGACTAAAAGCGCGATAAATCAAGCACTAAACACGCCAGAGACATTAAATTTTATTTCTGGAATGGTATGAGATGACTTTATAGTAACCGCGTTCAAGATTAGACAGTGGGCGTGGCACCGCCCACTTTTAGGTGAAAACGCATATCTTGAGAACTGCTTAACCGATTTCAACCAAATTCGGTACATAACATTCTGCTCATATCTCTATGTTATAGTACGAAAATGGACGAAATCGGACTACAACCACGCCTATTTCCTATATAACACCATTTTCAATTCCATCTGATTCTTTCACTTTCCACTATGCATATGAAGCAACAATGATTATATCGGGGTAAAACTTTGCGTGAATAGAAACGTTTAAAGTATGCCACCTTGTGACCAAAAATTGTCTAAATCGAACCAAAACTGTTCAAGCCCCTAAGTACTAAATATGTGGACCCCAGTGCCTTTAGTTGACCTTCTACCGAAAATATCAGTCAATCCACAAAGAAATCTCAACAGAGTATACCATTTGACTTTGCGAGAGTATAAAATGTTCGGTTACATCCGAACTTAACCCTTCCTTACTAGTTTTTTTAAATTTTATTTAAAACATACTTAGAAAAACGATTTCCCATTCATTTTTAAACATACTGTAGTGTGTGTATGTATATTGAACGTTGGGTATTATTGAAAGCAAAGAATCTAGCTTCGGTTGCGAACAAAATGTTCTGAACACAAAAACGACGGCACGACACGATTGTAAGAAAACGAAATTTTCTGGTCGGCAAATATCGTCTTGAAGCCAGAAATCTAAACTTTTTGTTCGAAGTGAAATTTTTTTTCCAAAAAAACGTAAATAGGTCGATTTTTATTGTTTCAAATTACCAATTGTTATTACAAATAATATATTAGAGCTATTTTATGCTTCTAGTGGTAACACTACAGCTACTGCTATTGTCCTTGTCAAAATTAGAACTGGTATTAATTTAGCGACAGCGACAGCGACAACTACAAGCCTGCTGCAAGATGCTGCCTGTCGCTTGTAGTCGTCTATGTGTTCAGCACACAAGGCATGGGCATATCTGCTCTAAAACAGTGGACGGAATGAGAGGAACTGCGACTGTGTAGGTGAGCACGAAATTAAAGACACCAAATGAGAACTCTGTTACCTTAAATTTTGTGCATCTTTTTAATTTTTTATTTAAACAAGTATTTTTAAACTTTCTGATTTATTTTATATATTGTACGACTAAAATAAATATATTAAACCCTAAAAAACAATTATTTTATTGCCTTTAAGTAACGTAAAACACAAAATGTAATTCATAACCCCACAAAGCATTCATAATAACAAAACATTTCTCGCAGGACACATTTTCCTTAGCGGCATGAACATGCGCGACGTTGTTTCGTCGCTGTCAAGGATGTCGCTGTCTTGACAACGACTGAACGATGTAGCGTAACTGCCGTTCCTATGTAAAAGCGTCGAACCGTGCGTTTTTTTTACCGCTCAGCGTTAACGCCGATAAATAAAATAAATTTATAAAATTATTTATAAATAATATTGTACTTACATCCATCTCATACCATCGATAAACACTGATCCTTGATGGAGCCTCTTCGTCAAAAATTGATTTATGTTCATCGATGTACTGTTGCTGAGTTAAACCACGTCGCGATTTAATTCCATTTTTTGGCCGAGATGAATATTTTAAGTTACTGTAAACAACACAAAAAGCGCTCGTATGTCAAAACGTTCTGAGTATGTATAACATCAAAAATATCAAACTTTGCGATAAAGTTGTAAGTTACGTAAGCAGAGGCACTCCTCAAGGAGGTTTCCTTTCCCCACTTTTATAGGTGTTGGCGCTGAATGGAATACTACTTCAACTCAATGGACATAATGTTGATGGTATCATGGATGTTTCCTTCCAAAAACAGGACATAATAAGTTTTCCACGATGTTTGTAACACCCAAAAGAAAACGTCAGAGACCCTGTACATATAGTAAGTGATAAGCGTGGCGAGTTGAGTCGATTTTGAATTTGCCACCCCTTCTTTTTTCACCAAGAAGCTACTTATTTTTCGGAATGTCCGGAAGAAGTTGTTCAGATCGAGTCGCTATATCATATAGTTGCCATACACACTCATCCATGTTTAGATCAATTATAGAATTCTTGTGATAACCAATTTAACAGAAAGAATTTAATATTATTATTCTTATTGTAGCTTCTAAGCAAACATTGTTTAGTGGTTACCATTGATAATACATATATATAAAAAATAATCGCCATATGAGCAGAGTTTTATAGAAAAGTTTCGCAAAAGTATTGACTAAAAAAGTTTTGCTTTTCAAACTTCACCATTAAATATTGTTTCTAACATTTGTTACACAATAGACTGTCAAATGAAATGCCTATAACTTTGTTGTTGTTAACTATTGGAATTTTTCCATCATTGACAAAGGTCAAGGTCGCTGTGAATTAAGTAGGGGAGTGTGTGAGACGCCTAGCAGGGAAGAATGGAGAGCGATCTCTCCTCTCAGATAATTCGTTGTCGATGAAATGGTTTACTCTCAACTAGTTTAGAAGTCTACTATCAAATATTGAATTTGTCTGGGATTGATATGGAGGCTTTTGTTTTTCTAATAACATCTTGAATCTCTTTTGTGCATCGTCGGACAAAACGTCTTTTAGCCTTATCCACCAATGGATGCAGTATAAATTGACATCTAAAATAACTGACATACTTCTTCTTCTAGTCCGAGGCATGAAAATCAAATTAAATTTCGAAAGTTTCAATAAATATAATCATGGGCAGATGGTCTGATTCGAGGGTTAGCATAGGCCGCCTGGTTATCCTGATGGATGGAGGTGATGTATATATTAAATATTTTAAGCCTTGATATTATGGGGTGAACTTATAACGTTAAAATCTTTACAACTTAGAAGATCTGAGTGGTTTCTAACCTGGTCTTTCCGATCGCACTTATTGCAACTATTTCTTCGATCGCACTTAGGTTCACTTCATCAGAATCCCAGGTTGGTTTAGAGGGGAGACAATAGAGTGAGGGAACAATATTCCCGGTGGTATCACAATGGACCCCCTATAGGCCTAGCTGCGTCGTCAGACAGCCACTCTACCTACCTACCTACCTAGGCTCACTGTTAAACAGATTAGGAAGATAAAGAACAAACTTGCTGCTAGGAGTTGCTCATGTGAAAATTCAGGTAGAGGTAAAACCAACTGAACTAGAAGAACGTTCTTTGCCGAAATTTGCTAAGCTTGAGTAAGGTTTTAATTAAATGTTTCCTAGTCGTAATTAAAATATACAGTAACATAATATATTAAAATTGTCAATAAGTAACACATTTTTTTCATGATTTTTATTTAATGTAAAAAGAAAAGTCCGCATTATAAACTATGCTAAATAAAATGTAGTGCAATCACATCACTTAAATAATACAATTTTCAATCGAATTCTATGAATTGTATTTGTAAGTATAGCATCAACACATTATGTTTGATAATGTTTACCAAGACAAAATATGTTGTTTGTGTATTAACAAAATTTAGTGTTTCGACTAAACTGTAAATTTTTTTAACTGTAACTTCATGAAAATCATATAAATATTTGCTCATGCAAACAACAACAAAAAAACATACATGCACATATATATATGCAGTTGCTCACAATTATCACGATTGAACTGCTGCGCAAAATCAAGAGCTAAACCAGTTACTTATTTGTATTACCTGGAGTCTCAAACAATTTAAACCTATCTAAAAGGGGAAAGTTGCCTACAATGCAGAGAAAATAAACCATATTTTAGAAAAGGTCTTTTCAACTCTGTTGAATAGACTTTTTGATTTATTCGTTAAATGTTATACTCGTACCTATTTATCGGCAGATACACAAAGCTGAAAAATCTCACATTAATATTTTGAAAGGTATTATGAAAAACACATACCGTTCTGCACCCATGGTATATATTTATAAACCATATTTGTGCAGACTGGTTCCATAGCAAACATAAATATGCAAAGGTATGGAATTGCATGGCGATAGAAGTATGAAAAAACTTGTTAAACAGTATGGTTAGTAGGATAAAAGCTGCCATGGTTTCACAATGATAAATGCTCATATTTCTGTAACTAATTTATTTATGTATTAGGAAAAACTTTAAAATATTAATGAGTTTTCAAACATTACTCATGAAGGCTTAAAGTAATCAATGTTGTGAGTGACTGCATATTATAGCGCTGAACAAAATATACGTATGTATATTATTATTCATTGTTTTTAATGCCAACTTACAATTACAGAGCTATTACTACCATTCGAATTTGTTTTAACTCAAATTCAAAATGCTGATTTATGCGTTAATACTTTAAATGCATTTGTCTACTGCTTATTATTTTTTGAAAAATTATGCGAAGCCCAATTCAAAGAAGTTTTCCAAGAGTTGACTAAGGCTTCGCTGAACTTTGAACGGAAGTGTTCGCGGGCTTTTTCCTCGGTATAGTCAAGAACCTAAAATGAAAAATTTTTAAAAGCTAAGTCGAAGAAATGGAAAGATTTGCATACCAGAGTTTCCTTTAAGTAATTAAGATCTTTTTCAGAGGATAGTTCTGGTAATCCGGTTGATATCATCATTGAAAATAACGATAATATAAGACAGCCATGTTTTCGTAACACTAAGAATGCCTGCGATGAAAAAGGCAACACAATTAAAAAATATACATATGTATTTGTATATAAAATATTTTTTTTTAATAGTTTTCATTTTAATTTTTTTCATACCTTTTCGCACATATTTTGAAAATAAAGAAATTCTTCCGAATCTCGGTCGTTACGTCCTTTACTTATGACATATACAAAATCATGCGTTAATACAAAAGGAACTCTCTCACGACGCACACCAAATTTCTCCTTAAAGTGGCCTAGTATGTGACCGAAATCAATATGAAAAAGCTATATGGCAAAGAAATTTTAGATGCGAAATTTCCAAATTGATATGTATTGTGATATTTACCTGCCCGTTACGTTTAACCATTATGTTATCTGAATGTCGATCGGCCACACCTAGAACATAGGTGGCCACACAATATCCAGCGCAACTCAATGTAAATTCGTTTATTGCTTTATTCATTTCTTCTTCAGTACGATTATATTCCTTCAACCAACTAAATAGGGAACCTTTCTTAAATGGTGATGTTGCTGAGAACATACCCTTCTCTTTTTGAATATTGGCGATTGTTTCGGCATTTAGCACCACTTCGATCATTCCTAAACGACGTTCCATACTAATGCAGTTGTAAATATTCATGCGAAAATCCATACTATATCAAAATAATTTATATATAAAGAATTTATTGAAAATGTATGTAGTACAGTTAAATATAAGTCATAGGAGATTTAAGGTTACACTACTCTTCAGTTTTCCAAAAATATTTATTTTCTCTTAAAAGCTACTTAATGGCCTTGAAAATTCACCAATATTATTTTTTAGCTAGATTAAACACCCAGAGTATGTATTTCAATTCTGACTGAAGCCATTGCTGAGCACTTCGATCTCATAATAAAGTTTAAATGAGAAATTGCTTTTGCAATACGTGCGGAAATATAACTCGATCAATTCTTTACTAATTGACTTGAAGTTTGCTTTTATTTAATTTGTTATAAACATTTTTCGTTCACATTTTTATTAAAAAAAATTATAACTTTTAATCAGGAGGAGATTTGACCTGTTTCGTTTTTTTATAAATATTTACACATTTAGAGCAAAAAATACAACCAAACAAAATTTTTATTTTTTCATAGGTATATTTCTGGATACAAAACAAGAGAAGTGTAACCGGTCACACCGACAGTAACTAAAAAACAAGATTACGTTACTTACCCTTCATTCTTCCACAATTGGTCCATGACACGCAGCATTTGCAATGTCAACATATCCTGCCGTAAATCGTCGCCATTTTTGAAAATTATATAAATATCATTACAACTCTGATCCGCGTTTTTTAGCACAATCCAAAGTGGTCTCATTTTAGAGTCCATTACTTTGCATTTTTCTGGTTGTATGCCCTTGCATCGAAAACTGGGATTCAATGGGTTTTGTATGCTCTGAAATATACTACTATTGCTTGGGCTGGAAAGAAAGTCTTGCATCTCCTTTCGACCTTTTTCTTTGCTTCCTTTTTTTGCGATCAGAGAACCAGCTTTGAGGGCGTCTAAAACTTTGAGTTGTTTGCAAAGGTGAGGCACGTGTGGTTTGCAACCTTTGAGGTACCCTTCAAGTAATAGACCAAACCGAGTTTGCATGGAGAGCGTTTGCATTTCGGATCGCAAATGCCAAAAGAAATAGTGACCAATTCGTTGATTGCGCAACGCCCGCTCAAGCAGAAATGTTACTAAATCGCAGTCTAGATAAGACTCATGCTTCATGGCTTGCACCAGTTGTAAAAGATATAGCAATAGTTCCTCATCTCTATTGAATAGAAAAAATTTACTTTATGTTTGAATCAAATTTTTTTGAGATTATACCCACCTCAAAAAACGGAGGCAGCGTATGGCGAAACTTCGAACCGCTGGATCCGGATACGCATAGTCAAGTAATTCCAGTGATCTTTCTACAGATATTGTCGGCCATTGTTGCAATAGATTCCACGTCTCTGCTACTTCGTCACGTTCGTTCCAATTAACACAGTGCAGCAAAGTAGATAACTCCTCTGGAGCTTCGGCCAAGAGTTCATATCTAAAAAAATATATATGATTATTTAAATGTTTAAGTAAAAAATTAAAATATACCTTCTCGACCATAGTGCATTGCGATCTTGATCATGCATTTCGAATACTTTATCTATGCGAAGATATTGTGACAACATAGCGCTGATCGGTTTGGAGTTTTCATGTAATTTATCGCTAAGAACTTCCCCATGATGTAACTCTTCTGCATACTTAAGAACCGCTATCATCGATGGAAACTGTATATTTTCATAACCGGAGCTGGAATTTCAAAATTTTAAATACATACTTGTGCAATAAAGGCGAAATAGGAGCCTTAGTTTATCTTACCAATGAAATGCTAATTTCACTATAGCACATCCATCTTTACGAGGATTTGGTTCAATCGTACCTAGGGGATGGAAAATTTCATCCGACTGAATATCATCTGCGTAAGTCCATGTGTAAAGTGCTAGACACCCAGAACGCATTTGATGTTTATAGTCAAATATGGTCGTATTAACCCAAGCCAAGGGATTGTTATTCACGTAGGTATTGGCTTCTTTATAAATATTATCGCGATTTGTATTTGAAGACTTTTTGGATCTCGATGCTTTCGTTACTTCGTAGACAACCATGCATAAACGCGCCATTCGAGGCAAATTTTGTACTTGTATATCGAAAGAAATGTCTTTCTCGAATGTAAATGAACGATTGTTACTAATTGCGATTTCAATGGACTGTGTTGCACAAAGACGACGCTCCCCATGAAAAAGACCAATGTGTACACCCACTTTGATAGCGCGAGACAGATCGCAATTTACATTCTCGATTTGGTATATACGTAATTTAAAAGGAGTTAAAATGTCCCATGATGACGTGATCTTTCGGTCTTGGCACGGATCGTTTAGCAGAGATGGAGGATTATATTCCGGCCTTCGTGTTCGCTTGTGAGAAAAGTTCAAATCATTTCTGTAGTTTATATACGACTGCAGTGTGTGTATAGGCTTTAAAACAACATTGGGGACATCGGAGCCGGAGAGACTTTCCTTTATAATATGTATGAAAGCGGTGACATAAATATATATTAAACATTTGCTATATATAGATAGTACTTACCTGTATATATATGAACTGTATTATGGGATATTCACCGAAAATAAATTCGTCGCGACCACGGACTTTTAGTATATAGTCTGATGGTCGATCCCCTACTCTTATTTGAGAGCGCTGCATTTTCATTAGTGCAGATTCAATCACTGTACTTGAAGTATCGTGTTCACTAACAGGAATTGTATAGGAGCCTTCGTCATTCTCTAATTTAACAACTATAAGAAAACTTGTACCACCCAATCGTTTACGAATTAATTCAGGCATAGCCGGGGTATTTGCAACACGCATTGGATGTTCGTAAAGCAACTTCTCTGACCAAGTGAAGCGAGACCGCACCTGTTCCATTTTATCACAGAGATGCGTCAGTTTGCGCCGAAAGTCATCTACTTCGGGTGTACGTTGTGCGCTATATTCTTCAAATGATTTTCCAATCATGTTACTAACCAGCTTGGATAGTTCATAATCACTTGATATAGTTGAGGGCTCTGTGCGTTCTCCCAAACGAAGTAAACAAAAAAATGGTTGTATTTCCGATAGACGTTTCGTTTCGTCGGTAAAACAATCTACATTAGCAAAATTTGAAATACCACTGACTTCATAGTCGCAAGGATCCTTTATTAAATGACATAGCGGGAAGTTTTTTGCCTCTCTAATAACTTCCTAAAACATTAGATAAGAAAATTAAAGTCTCTAATTATAACTGCAGAATGCTCATTTAAATTATTAACTAATACAAGTATATGTTTCACGAAGAAATAAATATTCTTATTTATTCGTTACCCATTTTTGGCACAAGTTATAGTTCGATGTCGACAATTGTTCGAGCTTTGTAAGCTGAAATACCTTGAGGTCGCTATTTGTGGAAAGTTTTATTCTGACAACTTTATTGAAGTTTGATTTCTATACTGTTTGTTATATGGGAAGTAGGCGTGGTTGTCATCCGATTTTTCTCATTTTTGCAGTGTCTAATTAGAATTTTACATCGGTTAAGTAGTTGATGAGATATAGGATTTTACCTAAAGGAGGGCGGTGCCACGCTCATTGTCCAATTTTTACACCAGATACTAGAAAGACCTTCCTTACCATCCTGGTTGTGATATATAATGCTTGTGGCTTATTTATTCAGTGAGTTATCGCACTTTTAGTAGTTTTCAACATAACCGTTATATGGGGAGTAGGCATGGTTATTACCCGATTTTACCCATTGTGATAAAATGACATCCTCTCAGTAAGTATAGTTTTAGCGGTTTGGAAGATATGTACATTAAACCATTTATCCATATTATTCGGTATCTTAGTAATTTGTTTTATAGGTAGTAGATCAACTTAGTCTCATTACAACATGTATTTGGCTTCATATCCGAGATATTGCTATTCAACCTATTTAACTCAAATGAGATATATTAGTTACAAACTCAACCAAAAAATCTACCAATGAAACGGATTAGGGGCTTATACCATATTCAGCGCTAAACGTTTCGTTTCGTCGGTAAAACAACGTTATACTTAAGAGGATATTGAAATTTCAAATATATGGTAGGTATATTGGCCAGCATAAACGGCTTACGAGTCAGTTAGAAAGTCGGAAATCATTATTTTGTGTGCATTTGGGGTAGGGTTAGGTCTGGACTAATTGCGTTAACTTGTGGCATTACTCAAGTATATTCGAGAACATGTTCCTACGCAATTTTATAAAGATAGCAAATGTACTGACCGACATATGTGGCATAAAATTTGCTAGAATAACGAAAATCATTATACGAGTATGCAGTACAATATTATACGCTTACTTAAGTTTGTTAAGACATGTTACACATTCGGCGATATATTCGGCATAAAGCCAATCGGAAGTTTGAAATACTAATTATAATACACATATACCTATTGGGGCTAGGTGTAATACTGACCCGATTTTATTAATTTTCGGCATCACGACATGTTATTGCCACGAACAGATGGTATTTCAGTTTAATTGAGAAATCTCCCAGATTGTCCGATATAAAGTCAACCGGAAGTACAAAAATCTTTATATTAGGTATATGGGGGAAGTATAGTATTCATTTTTCAACCAAGGGAACATTTTTATCTCTCCAGATTTGACAATTTTTTTGAGCTTGAGATGGCACACCTTAAAGTCGCTATTTGTGCAAAGTTTTATCTCAATGTATTCATTAGTGCTTGATTGGCACGCTGTAAAGTGAAAAATGTATTATATGGGAGCCACGAGTATGCTTGTGGCTTGCTTTCGTTCATTTTCACACCGTAAAATAGCGATGTCAGAATAATGTTACGTACCGAATTTGGTTGAAATTGGCCCTAAAACATCACTTTCTTGATATTTTGATACCGGCTCCTGAGCAAATTTGGTTGATTTAGCTTTTGTGGTTTGGGAGATATGTACAATGAATCTATTAGGAGGCAAATATCCACTAAATGGCCCTCGATTAAGTGGATATTTGTATTAAATAACAGTTTTGTATCTTTTAGTGGATCTTAATTATGTCAATATAGGTTTTCAATTAATGGCGTTTAGTAGGCGTAGCACAATATGATATGTTTCCAAGAAATATGTGTACCAAATCTCATCAAGATATCTCAATTTTTACTCAAATTACAGCTTGCTCAGATGGACTCTTCTCAACATCGTGATCATTTATATCTATAACTCTATATCTATCTCGATTAGTTTAAGCTGATACAAACAACCGTTACGTGAACAGAGCAATTATACTCTGTAAAAATATGTTGCGAGAGTATAGAAAAAAGGCAACAGTAGCAATTATTCGAGCACGCCTCAAAAAAAAGTACGATGGCGGTGTGCCCCCCTGAATAAACTAGGATCGCCATATCTAAAGTTTTATAGGAATCATAGTATCATCAGTTCTTTGGCAAATAAAATCAAGGTCCTTTTCGGGTACGTATACCCGACCATCGTTGAAACCGTTTCAGCGGCTTCACGTTATATCTAAACCTTGGGTTTCATTTTTCGTAATATAATATATGGGTAATCCGTAAAACTAAAATACAACAAAGGACTTCTTTCGCACAAAATACGAGTGATACCATAAGCCAACCAATCGCAAGACATTATGAAACCTCTAGAAACTTTATACTTTATTACATTAGTTGACTTTGTATACTTTTATCTATAAAATTAAAAATGTGTTTTTATTATTTTCATTGAAAACTCACCGTTTTGATTTCGCGGATAGTACAATTAATGGGCACTACTGTTAGAATAAGAATACCATTTGGCATAAGACAGCTGACTTCGGCGCGTTCTGGCATCTCATTCCTCCAGAAATCGATGGAGTCAGTAGGGCAAGAGAGAGGAGCCATTCTTATGCCCTATATCCAGTATCTCAAATAAAAATTTGCCACGATCACCTTTGATAAACTCCTTATAAATCTGATAATGTATGTAGTATATATAACACTATTGATAAATCATATGAGCTGTTAGTTTCAAGTAGTCCCAGGATCCTTTATAAATATTGAATTCCCTTTCAACACGTATCGTGAAGATTCTTTTTCAATGAGAACGAAAAACGCTTTAAATATATTTTTGATATAATATTAACTCTATTATTTACTTACAGGAAGCTTTTGTTTGCTTTTCATTTGTATTAACAAGATATTACTTTAAAAATATTCGAATAAATCGATTGTTATATTTCCAGCTATGATAGCGCCTTTTGAACCAGCTTAACAGAAATTTGTTGGTGTTCCAGGAATTTTTTTAATCACGCTGATTGGTAAATGCCTTGTTAAACACGGTCTCAATTCAGATTAAACAAATACGTATATTTTCATGTATTTTTGATTTTGAATTTTCTGGGATACGACAGAAATATTTTTCTTTTAATATAATGATTAAAGAAATATCCATGTAGTGACGTTCTTTAACTATATTTACTCAATTTTGTGTGTTTTCGATTTTCTATGTTTTCGTTTTTGATATATTTGACGTTATCTGAACAAAATTGCAACGAATGTGAGCGTAAATTGTTAAACGTCAAACACAATACTTTCAGCCAGAGACCAGAGATGGTATTTAATATTTTTTAATAGTGCAGATTTTAATCCAAAAAATTTGCAAAAATGTACTAAAGAGTGCCAAAATAATGAAATTCGTATAAATTATTTATATAAAAGAATTTTTTTTAAACAATTCATTAATTCAAAACAATAAACGTATTTTTAATACTTACGTGCATATTAATTTGATTAATGATATATATTTTGTGTATACATAAATTAGCAAATAAGTCACCCAGACTTAATGATAACCCTGTATGCCACCTCTTGGTTAAATCACCGGGTTCTTTCTTTTAAGAGTTAGACCTAATTGACAATTCTATCCGAAACTTTTGTGTACGTGTGATCGTTCATCCCTTTCTTACGCAAAGGCCTTATGAGTTTTCAAATTCTAATTCTTTTAATGCATTGAGTTTCCGTACCCGTTACTTGTTGGGTATTGTGAATGTATTGCCATACTGCATATTATACACTTAAAATATTGTATTCGCAAATAAAAATTTTACTACGAATAGATTATAGATATACATACGTATTCTGGATAAATCGTCTACCTTGTAACTCACTTTTGAGTTCGATCACTGGATTGTTAAATAAAAGTCCCAATTTAATGTATAGCATTATCTTTATTTCTAATTCCAACAGAGAACGTTCTCTCTGATTCCAACAACTTTACACTTATTAATCGCTATTCGACAGCTTACAACTTATTGCAACACTCTAATTAGAACTGTGTCTGTTACACTGTGCAACTGAAGTTCGCTATTAGAACATTCTGGCAACTACGAATCTGCTTCTAGCAGAGAACTTAAAACAATTGTTTGGTTCTACCATATTCATGGTAATTCATTGCAGGCAAAATGTGTGACCATCATCTCAACATACAAATGAAATACGCAGCACGCAGTGTTGCGCAGTCGAACCGCACAAATATTTACGAAAATTTTGTGAAAAGGAATGCAGAAAAACTAGACTCGAGTTGCTGGACTCTTTTTGACCGTGTGATTGCCCAGAGCGACACCAAAAGAAAATTTGAAAAACATCAGACTCTTTTGAATCCCTGTGTAAAAGTGCACTTACAATATATTGTATATAAATTGGTGCAAATAAGAATGCCAGAACAAAATAAAATTGATGATAAGAAATAGAACCAACTAGTCGGGGAAATTGGTAGTTGCCAGCATGTTCGAGTGGCTATGTTTTGGTAACAGTTTACTATATAAGGGCAGCCGGATTGTATAGCAGACACAGTTCTAATTAGGACCATTTTCTCAATGTCTGGTTAAGCGCTTAACCAGAACATTATCGGTACCATGTTGAAAAACGGGTTTCTCAATATCTAGTTAGCAACCATCTGTCAGTTAAGCTAAGGTAAACGATAGATTTCAGCTGTAAAATCTACGTGGATTATTTTGTCGCTCATTATCGTTATTTATTAAGTATTTTCGCCTTTATATATGCGTATTACATAAACATATTAAAACACGCTGTTGCAAAATTGCACAATTGTGCGTAGCAGAGAACGTAGAGAAAAGGTTCAATTGCGGACCCACGTGGGAATTGTCAAATTCTAACAAAATAAGAGGAGCGTGTTTCACCACACAAGCTCGGAAGGAGAAATATTAGCAGCAGAGAACAAGCCCAGTGCATATTTTAGAAACTGAACACTGAAAATTTTGTTACCCGTTATCGGCAACTTTGCTTCTGGTGTCCACTTCGTTCACAGAAAACAGTTCAGGCAATTTTCTGCCATGCCCTTTTTTATTGTTTCCGCAGATTCTTGTACCTTTCGTTCCCCCAATATGTTATAATAGCAGGTGTATGTATTTGACTTTATTTAGACAATAAATTATCCCAACATTTATTATTATTTTTAAAATTTTATTTTTTCAAATGAGCAATTGAAAGCATCCAAGCCCATATACGACATAATTGAGTGTACATCTATCCTAAAAAATGGATTCGTATGCACACATTACATACACGAGTAAATCTCACTTGCGCATATACCGATTGAACGTCGTATATGGTTATTTTAATTTGGTGCCCTTTCCTCTTTAAATTTTCCGCCTTCCTAAGTAAAAGTTTCCGAATCTGAACGTAGTCTTAGACGTTGTTTGTCAATACCAAACAATCCTCAGAAAGTAATTACCAGAAGTGGTTTCGGTTTTCAATGTTTGTTTAAAATACAGTGGAAATAATTTTTGCAAACAAAAAAAAAAAAGAATGGAGAAAACAGTGAATGCAAAAAAGTGATGTGAAATTGTTAGTTTGTTTTTGATAATTTAAATAAAGCTCAGAATTCAATATTGTTGTATTTGTGGACAAAGAGACTCGCTTCGATCAATTAAAATGAGTGAATCTGATTCCGATGCAGGTACATATGTCAAATTTTCGGCTGTGGAGTAGTTTTTAATGGAAGATATACCTTTGATTGTAAACATGGTATAGTATATACGTGTATATATGTATGTATGGATATGAATGTACCATTAGGGTAAATTTTAGAGTAGTAATTGGTATGTGCGGATAGAGGAGGTACTCTAAATTAAGAAAATATATTCATACATATGTACATTTAGTTCCCGCTGACTTAAGGTTTTTATTTGCATTTAAACTCCAAAGATTCACCTATTTAAAGTACGGGTTTCTTTGATTTATAATACTTTTTTTTATTTTTATTTTTAACTTTTATACCCACTAACACTTCACTAATTCGTTTCTACACATTAAGTTTATATTAAATGGTTCAAAAACAACTTATTCAATATTTAACATTTGTTAAATTCTTGTTATTCACACAATAATAAAAGGGTTCCTTCAAACAAATAATCAGTGTTACCTTATCTACATATTTTACAAAGAAACCAAAAGGAATAAAGAAAACAGATAACACCCCTATGGTAGGAAACAGACAACACGTTATTAGTTTTTCGCGGAGAATTCCTTTCTTCATTGGGGGCCTTTGGGCGCCCTGGTCGGTCTAACACCATGGTGTTCTCAGTTCTTTCGCGTATAACTCCTTTTTGCGTTCAAAAAATTAACCGTAGTCGGTTCAACACCGGAGTGTCGTCAAGTCTATCGCGTAGAACTTGTTTTGCGTTGGCGGTCTTCGGACGCGCTTTAAAAAAAAACCCAAAAAATTCTGAAAGAGGTTGGGAATTAAAGTTAGATTTGCACAATTTAATGCAAAACAAATGTTAGAAACCATTATAAATCAAAGAAACAGACACTTTGAAACTATTTAAGTTGATATTTTGAACTTTAAAATCAAATATCTCAAAAACCATAAGACAGCGGCAACTAAATCTTTACGTTTTCTTAATTTGGAGAACTTCCTCTATCCTTACATGCCCATTATATTTATATATTTTCCTAATCTGGATAACTTCCGTTGGGGTACAATCCATTTTAATTCCGTATTCAGGGGATGCTAAAATATCGAACCCAAACGAACCACTGCCACGCCCACTAAATGCCATTAATCGAATCGTGGCACGATTTCGATTTCTTTGGTGCTGGGATCTAATGGTATGGTTCTCCAGATTAAAAAATATATACACATATCTATACCGGCCTCAGACTTATAGTTTTTGAGATATTTGTATATAAAGTCCAAAAATTTTAAAAGAATCGTTTGCTATTTCACAAAGTTTAACACACTTTGTGCACATTTTTCAATTTTAGCCGATGTCAAAATTAGATGATGAGCGTGGCACCGCCCCCTTCGGGGAAATCCCACATCTCCGGGCCTACTAGACCAATATGAACCAAACATTACCGAAAATTATCCGAAAATCGGACTCCAACCACGCCTGCTACCCTGATAACAGAACTTTAAATTCCATCTGAATCTTTCACTTCTAGTATACAAATTAAGCACCAATGAATATATATATTACATAAGTCTAAAAATTGTCAAAATCAGACTATAACTGTTCAAACTCTAGATACCGAAGATGTGTATCCCAGTGCCCTTGGCTTTTTATTGAAAATATTGGTCAATGTCTCACTCAAAGAGACTCCTTATGTGTATGTCAAAAACTTCCAACTGACTTTACACCGCATATATCGGCCAATATGCGAGTTATCTTAATAAAATTGTGTAAGCGTGTTTTTTTTACCGTATATATCAGTCAATATATTAGAGATACTATCTATTAATGCCAAAAATATGTGAAATTATATTATACTAAATGTAATGATTTTCGTTATTCTAACAATTATGCCAATATGTAAGTTGGTTTGTGAATTATTTATTTATAAATTTGCTTCAAAATATTTTCTCGAGTATACCTGAGAAATATCAAAGGTTAATGTTACAATTCTTTTTCTGCCCCCAATATACCCTGTATAGTGTCGATAAACCTTTTAGGTTGGCCAAAATGTGTGATGTTTTAACGAAATTAAGGGAACAAGTTTTCTTAAAAATTCTGAAACTACATTAATGGTTTAACGCTGAAAATAAGTGGAGTTTGTATACCTTGGTTTAAACTTCGTATCCCTAATACCATAAATTCCGATCTTCTGGCTGACGTGTTCCACATCAACTTAATATACCAGGTTTAGCGGTATGGAATGAGCGTTTTTTTGTGAAAATGATATACTAATTTGAATGGGATATCTTTGATTGTATCCTTAACCGATTTTACTTTGTGTGCGGGTGCATTGTCGTGTAGCAAAACCAGCAGGTCTCAGGTTTTAGAAGCTCATGATATACCATACCCTTGTGATCCCACCAAACACAGATCATTGCCTTCTTACCGAATCGATCTCTTTTTGCAGTCGATGTTGACGATTGTCAAGGATTAACCCACGATTTTCTCCGTTTAACATTTAACATGGCTGCCATTTGCTTCACTACTGATAGAGTATGATCACCATATACCTCGGTAAGCATTCGATGCGACTCTACAGCACTTTTCTTCAAATGGAAACAAAAAACGAATGCTTTTCGCAAATCTTCGTATTCCGTTACAAAATTTGACATTTTCAACACAATGAAAAAATATGATGTTGTTATATATATTTTATTTCTATATTTTACTTCTTGTCAGCGAAAATTAT